GGGTCACCCCCTGAGACACAGTGTTGGCAACATCACATTTATTCTCTGGAAGCTTTTTAACAGATAAATGAGAGAATATTATGATGTCTGAGAGTTTTTTTTTCCTTTAGGCATTACTGCTATGATAGTTTAGTATACTTTCATTATACTTTATACTGATTATAAGGGTTACGTTGGTGGGTTTGATATGATAAAGAAAATTAGTAATAAAGAAAAACAATTTGCAGACAAATGACAGTATTGCTTACAATGGTAATACTCATCATTGTTTTGGGTCACGTGTGAATGGTTACGCTGTGACATGCGGTGGGTGATGGGAGGGAGGAAGGGAAGTGAGGTGATGGGAGAGAGGGAGAGAGGAAGGAAGGAAGGGAAGTGGGGTGATGAGAGGGGGAGGGTACATCTGGGAGGCAGAGAGTAATGGGGCAACAGTTAAAGGGGATGGATTTCCTGCACATTGGGTGGCGAGAGGCCACCAACACAAGGATCAATAGCCAGGTGCTGGTCGGCCATGGTACGTCACGGTTACTGCCGCCATCACCGTATCCATCACCTCCATACACCTCCATCACCACCATTCACCTCCTCCATCATCACTCCGTCACTGTAGCCACACAACACCCGAACCACCACCATAATTTCTAACACTTAAACCATAACTTTATTTATCTTGTGGACCCAAGCATTATTGTTACACCATAACTGATATATTACTGGATTAGTAACTCTACCTATCGGTTTGTTTTTGGCTACAGAGGCCCAAGTTGGCATGCCTGAGAGTTGGGGTGGTGCGGGTGGGTGTAATCAAACGTGGCTGGCCCGATCCGTAGACTGATGAGCGCGTTGACCCCTCTACTTTGTGGTGTTTGTCCATTCGTGTCACGTTTCTCGGTCCGTGTGTGTACTCACCTAGTACGTAGATACGTACACACATCCCATTTTTCCCTATGTCATACGTGCTTACGTTCATGTGTGTGTGTGTGTGTAATTACCTAGGTGTAGTTACAGGATGAGAGCTACGCTCGTGGTGTCCCGTCTTCCCAGCACTCTTTGTCATATAACGCTTTGAAACTATTGACGGTTTTGGCCTCCACCACCGTCTTACTTAACTTACTCAAATCATCTACCACTGCATAAGAAAACTTTCTAATTTTTTTCGGCATGTTTGATTCCTTAGCTTGAATCTGTGTCCTCTTTTTCGTGAAGTTGTTGGTTTCAGGAATTTCTCTTTGTCAATTTGGTCAATTCCTGATAGTATTTTGTAAGGGGTGATCATATTACCTCTTTTTCTTCTACCTCCTAGTTTTGGCATGTTTAGCGCCTCTAGTCTCTCCTCGTAACTCTTGTTTTCAGTCCCAGAAGCCATTTTGTAAAATGCCATTGCACCTTTTAAAGTTTATGTCCTGCTTGAGATTTGGACACCATTCAACTGCTGCATATTAGAGTTTTGGTCTCATGACAAAAGTCATGAACAGTTTCTTTAGTATTTCACCATCAATATAATTAAAACCAAGTCTGAAGTTCTAAAGCGACGCATACGCTCCTCTCACAGTGTTCTTTGTGTTCCTCTGGCGACAGCTTACTATCCAAAACCACCCCTGGGTCTCGTTCTTTATTAGTTCTCTAATTCCTTTCCACATAATTTGTAAATTGAGTGTGGTCTGTTTTCTCCGAGTCCACATTCCATAACATGGCATTTATTCACATTGAATTCCATTTGAGACTTGACCCTCCAAGTACTTATTTTATCTAGATGTACTAAATGTATACTCCAAGTACTTATTTTATCTTTCCTGTAGTATCTCTGTAGCTCTATCATCAAAACTAAGTAGATTTGTTACACACAATCTTCCTGTTCGAAAACCATATTGTCTGTTATTATGTCATTACTCTAGGTGTTCAACCCATTTGGCTTTAACTATTGTGTGTGTGTGTGTGTGTGTGTGTGTGTGTGTGTGTGTGGGTGGGTGGAATGGACGTGTATATGCTGAGGTAGTTGTGTGGGTGTGGCCGCTGGTGGGTCAAGTTAGGTGAGTGCGTGTCTGGTCAAGACGGTACCCAGGAGAATGGTTGTGTTAAAGGTGTTGAGGCACGATGTGACGGAGATGGTAGACTAGCTGCTCTCCCCCACACTCGCCACCACCTCTCCCCCACACCCGCCACCACCTCTCCCCCACACCCGCCACCTTCTCTCCCCCACACTGCACACCATGTTCCCAGACCACCTTCCCAGCCAACACGCTCCCGCTCTTGACAGATACGTACCAATTACGGCGTCTTCGGGCGAGTGGAAACGCTACTGTGTTTTTTTTATTCATATTGCTCTGTTTCACAGAAGCTGTTGCTGCTGGCATTAAAACTACGACCTATGCAGCTGGTGACGGGGATAGGCTATGATAAATTATTCCAGAACACCAGTACTCTCCCGTCTCTCTCTCTTCTCTCTCTCCCGTCCAACCACTTGGGCTGGACGGTAGAGCGACGGTCTCGCTGCATGCAGGTCGGCGTTCAATCCCCCGACTGTCAAAAGTATATGGGCACCATTCTTTCTTCCCCGTCCCATCCCAAATCCTTATCCTGACCCCTTCCCAGTGCTGAATAGTCTACATTCCCGTCTCCAAATTTGGATTGCTACGTGGTGTGCACAAGGTTATCTTGAATCGATTTAATGCAATTTGAGAGTGCTAAATTGTTTGCCTACGTGGACAGATGGACATGTATGCACGCACGCACACATATACATGCATATGCACGCACGCACATACATGCATATGCACGCACGCACATACATGCATATGCACACACGCACATACATACATATACACCCACGCACATGAACGCAAGTACGCACAAACGAACATGCTATTATGTTCCGCATGTTTGCTCTATTCCTCCTTTCCTGAGGTATAGTGAGGTTCAGTGCGTGTGCGTTCGCTTATTTTTTTTATTTTTTTTGTATCTCCAGAATGGAGCTATTAGCGGGGTCCAAAACTCAATGCTGGATCCTGCAGGACCACACATAGACGAGTACAAATAGGCGAGTACACACACACACACGCACACGCACACGCACACACACACACACACGCACACACACACACACACGCACACACACACACACACGCACACACACACACACACACACACACACACACGCACACACAGTCGCTTTAAGCAAGACTCTCATTAAGGATGTAGTAGTTGTAATGGCTGTAATGTGTATGTGTTTGATGTGGTGTGTTTGACCTTGTACAGGTTGGAATATGTTGCTCGTGTGCTCGCTACTGGTAATGCTACAGTTGCTGTCTCTGTGAAGGAAACTTGCTGGTAATATTGTATTTATATACAAGGTACATTGGGTTATGAGAGTACATAATATTGTTCTTACATTCTTGCAAGGCTACAGACGCGCGAAGCGTTTCGTTTTTATTATAGTATAAAACTATTATTTAACTGGGTAATCAAATGTACATGGTGGTAATCCTGGTGGTAACGGTAGACCAACATTTATAACACGGTAAATAGGAATAATGTTAAACATGGTGTATAGGGAAAGTGGTGGTAGAAGTAACCAAGCTGTGGCAGAGAGGGAGGATTATTGTAACCTAGAAGGCACTAATAGGGCATCAAAGTATCCAGGGAATGTAATAGAGAACATAAGTAGGATACATAAGCAATTTTAGCAGTTATGTGAGCCTGCGGGCCGCGCCAAGTTACAGCCTGTTGGACCAAGTTATCATAAGTCGAGTCTTGCCCTCCGTGCCGGGCTCGAGGAGTAGAAGAACTCACAGAACCTTCTACAGGTATGCTCCAGGTATGACGTTATGGATGATAATTGTGGGTTGTGGTGGTGGAGTAGAGACACTACTCTTCTCTCCAACCACCATATGTGGATAGAGCGTCCCTCCCTCGCGGGGACCACTGTGCGCCTAGCCCATTCTATCCATTACCATTAAGTCAACAAATGCAGGGGGTTTGCCTAGCTAGCAGTGTCAGCACCTAGGCCGTCCACTTAACCTACCGGAGCCAATAATCATTTGGACCAGGAAGCGTCATTATTGCCGTGATTTGAATTTCATTAATGTGTGTGTGTGTGTGTGTGTGTGTGTGTGTGTGTGTGTGTGTGTGTGTGTGTGTGTGTGTGTGTGTGTGTGTGTGTGTGTGTGTAGGGTGGGGTAGGAGATTGTGTGTGTGTGTACGTACTCGCCTAGTTGTGCTTGCGGGGGTTGAGCTTCGACTCTTTGATCCCGCCTCTCAACCAGCTAGTGTAGAGATTCCCCTAACCTTTTGGGCTTTATCATATCTACGTCTGAAACTGTGTATGGGGGTCTGCCTCCACCACATTACTGCCTAATGCATTCCATTTGTTGACATCCCTCACTGAAAAAGTTCTTTCTAGTATATGTGTGGCTCATTTGGGTACTCAGTTTCAACCTGTGTCCTCTTGTGTGTGTGCCACCTGTGTTAAATAATGTATTTATTTACACTGTTAATTCCTCTGAGAATCTTGTGTGTGGTGATCATGTCTCTCCCGAGCCTTCTGGCTTGCAGCGACGCGATATTTAGTTTCCGTAGTCTCTCCTCGTAACTCATACCCCTCGGTTCGGGTGCCAGTCTGGTGGCTTGCCTTTGAACCTTCTGCAATTTAGTCTTGTGCTTAACTAGATAGACTCCACTTTGGCGCGCGCGTATCAAAACTTCTCTAATTGCTTACATTATCCCATTTTGCTAATGCAAAATGGACGTTATTGTTAATAGTGGGGGATTTAGTTTGTCATAATACAGAAAAAATGTAGTATTTATTCGTGTTGCTGTCGTTATTTGTATAAATCTAGAATATAAACTCGTATTTGAATTACTGATCAGACTTGAAGTCTTAACCAAGTGCCATAAAGTAGTGTGGATGATTGTACGTAGGCTTCACCACCTTGAATATGCGCGTGAGGATGGAAGGTTTGATGTAGTGTTGGCGGGAGTGTGAGAGAGGCGACGCGGGTTACCAGAGAGAGAGGGAGGGAGGTGGTGAGGGCGACGTGTACACTGTAACACAGCTCCACTGATACTAGCGTCCTCAGGCTGCCCGCCGCTCCTCTACCTACCTACCTCCCTCTCTCTCTCTCAGCTTAGTTCCCGCCTGCGTCGTCCTGGATTATTGCGCGCACGCTCTCTCTCTCTCGCTGGCTCTCTTGTCTCGCTGGATCTCTGTCTCTTGCTGGATCTCTTTGTCTCTCGCTGCCTCTCTTGTCTCGCTGGCTCTCTTGTCCCGCTGGCTCTCTGTCTCTGGCTGGCTCTCTTTGTTTCTTGCTGGCTCTCTTTGTTTCTTGCTGGCTCTCTTTGTCTCTTGCTGGCTCTCTTTGTCTCTTGCTGGCTCTCTTTGTCTCTTGCTGGCTCTCTTTGTCTCTTGCTGGCTCTCATTGTCTCTCGCTGGCTCTCTTTGTGTCTCGCTGGATCTCTTTGTCTCTCGCTGGATCTCTTTGTCTCTTGCTGGCTCTCTTTGTCTCCCTGGCTCTCTCTCTCTTATATTATTCTCGCATATAAAGTGTCAGATGCAGCAGTTGAAGAAATCACCGGGCAGATAAGCAAAATACAGAATAGCGTAAATAATCGGCAAAGCCAATACCAGATATCATCTTCCTTGGAGAGCGCTGGTAGTGTGGGTGCTGGTAGATGGTTGTGGGGCATAGTGTGGGTGCTGGTAGATGGTTGTGGGGCATAGTGTGGGTGCTGGTAGATGGTTGTGGGGCATAGTGTGGGTGCTAGTAGATGGTTGTGGGGCATAGTGTGGGTGCTGGTAGAGGGTTGTGGGGCATAGTGTGGGTGCTGGTAGATGGTTGTGGGGCATAGTGTGGGTGCTGGTAGAGGGTTGTGGGGCATAGTGTGGGTGCTGGTAGATGGTTGTGGGGCATAGTGTGGGTGCTGGTAGATGGTTGTGGGGCATAGTGTGGGTGCTGGTAGATGGTTGTGGGGCATAGTGTGGGTGCTGGTAGATGGTTGTGGGGCATAGTGTGGGTGCTAGTAGATGGTTGTGGGACATAGTGTGGGTGCTGGTAGAGGGTTGTGGGGCATAGTGTGGGTGCTGGTAGAGGGTTGTGGGGCATAGTGTGGGTGCTGGTAGATGGTTGTGGGGCATAGTGTGGGTGCTGGTAGATGGTTGTGGGGCATAGTGTGGGTGCTGGTAGAGGGTTGTGGGGCATAGTGTGGGTGCTGGTAGATGGTTGTGGGGCATAGTGTGGGTGCTGGTAGATGGTTGTGGGGCATAGTGTGGGTGCTGGTAGAGGGTTGTGGGGCATAGTGTGGGTGCTGGTAGATGGTTGTGGGGCATAGTGTGGGTGCTGGTAGAGGGTTGTGGGGCATAGTGTGGGTGCTGGTAGATGGTTGTGGGGCATAGTGTGGGTGCTGGTAGAGGGTTGTGGGGCATAGTGTGGGTGCTGGTAGATGGTTGTGGGGCATAGTGTGGGTGCTGGTAGAGGGTTGTGGGGCATAGTGTGGGTGCTGGTAGATGGTTGTGGGGCATAGTGTGGGTGCTGGTAGATGGTTGTGGGGCATAGTGTGGGTGCTGGTAGATGGTTGTGGGGGCATAGTGTGGGTGCTGGTAGATGGTTGTGGGGCATAGTGTGGGTGCTGGTAGATGGTTGTGGGGCATAGTGTGGGTGCTGGTAGATGGTTGTGGGGGCATAGTGTGGGTGCTGGTAGATGGTTGTGGGGCATAGTGTGGGTGCTGGTAGAGGGTTGTGGGGCATAGTGTGGGTGCTGGTAGAGGGTTGTGGGGCATAGTGTGGGTGCTGGTAGATGGTTGTGGGGCATAGTGTGGGTGCTGGTAGATGGTTGTGGGGCATAGTGTGGGTGCTGGTAGATGGTTGTGGGGCATAGTGTGGGTGCTGGTAGATGGTTGTGGGGCATAGTGTGGGTGCTGGTAGAGGGTTGTGGGGCATAGTGTGGGTGCTGGTAGAGGGTTGTGGGGCATAGTGTGGGTGCTGGTAGAGGGTTGTGGGGCATAGTGTGGGTGCTGGTTACTTCATTTCCTACTCGTGTCGTCATATGTTCACTTGTACATATCATGCCCAAGGTATAGTTTTGGTAATGTCAATTACATATCCCGGAGGACCAAAAAGCAAATCAAAGTTCCTGTTAGCAAAGGTAAATGGAGGTTATTTGCGGTGAATTCAATTTCATTAAGCTCCAGTATGCAAATCAGCTAACTAAATTGCTGCTGCAAACTCAATTTAGCTGAAGAATGCACGGTCACATTTTGAAATTCACTTCCATCACACCATATCAACCATACCTAGCTACTGATATCATACCCTTGGCTTGCCATCCATTCCTAGCACACCGGAAAGCACTCCTAGTAAAGTCTACCAGTCATACCCAGCTACAGATATCATATCTCAGCCCTACCATCCACTCCTACCATGCCCATTCAGTCTCTCTTAGCACGCTCTTCCAGCCTCCCCTAGCACACCCTGCCAGCCTCTCCTAGCACACCCTGCCAGCCTCTCCTAGCTCACCCTGCCAGCCTCTCCTAGCACACCCTGCCAGCCTCTCCTAGCACACCCTGCCAGCCTCTCCTAGCTCACCCTGCCAGCCTCTCCTAGCACACCCTGCCAGCCTCTCCTAGCACACCCTGCCAGCCTCTCCTAGCACACCCTGCCAACCTCTCCTAACACACCCGGCCAGCCTCTCCTAGCACACCGTGCCAGCCTCTCCTAGCACACCCTGCCAGCCTCTCCTAGCACACCGTGCCAGCCTCTCCTAGCACACCTTGCCAGCCTCTCTACCACAACCTGCCAGCTTCTCCTAGCACACCCTGCCAGCCTCTCCTGGCACACCCTGCCAGCCTCTCCTGGCACACCCTGCCAGCCTCTCCTAGCACACCCTGCCAGCCTCTCCTAGCACACCCTGCCAGCCTCTCCTAGCACACCCTGCCAGCCTCTGCTAGCACACCCTGCCAGCCTCTCCTAGCACACCCTGCCAGCCTCTCCTAGCACACCTTGCCAGCCTCTCCTAGCACACCTTGCCAGCCTCTCTACCACACCCTGCCAGCCTCTCTACCACACCCTGCCAGCCTCTCTACCACACCCTGCCAGCACTCCCTACTAAGCACTGGCAGCACACCCTACTAAGCACTGGCAGCCCACCCTACTAAGTACTGGCAGCACACCCTACTAAGCACTGGCAGCCCACCCTACTAAGTACTGGCAGCACACCCTACTAAGCACTGGCAGCACACCCTACTAAGTACTGGCAGCACACCCTACTAAGCACTGGCAGCACACCCTACTAAGCACTGGCAGCACACCCTACTAAGCACTGGCAGCACACCCTACTAAGCACTGGCAGCACACCCTACTAAGCACTGGCAGCACACCCTACTAAGCACTGGCAGCACACCCTACTAAGCACTGGCAGCACACCCTACTAAGCACTGGCAGCACACCCTACTAAGTACTGGCAGCACACCCTACTAAGCACTGGCAGCACACCCTACTAAGCACTGGCAGCACACCCTACTAAGCACTGGCAGCACACCCTACTAAGCACTGGCAGCACACCCTACTAAGCACTGGCAGCACACCCTACTAAGTACTGGCAGCACACCCTACTAAGCACTGGCAGCCCACCCTACTAAGTACTGGCAGCACACCCTACTAAGCACTGGCAGCACACCCTACTAAGCACTGGCAGCACACCCTACTAAGCACTGGCAGCACACCCTTCCACATTCCTAATTTTTAGGAGCTGAGAGTTGGGACACATGGCCCCCTTTTTTTTATTAAACTGGAAGTTGGCTAGCTTTCATATGCAGATGATGAGTCACAATAATGTGGCTGAAGAAATGATGTCCAAAATACAACTCAGAAGATGGAAGAGAGACATAATTTTGGTCCGTTGTGAACCATTATCAATGGCCACACCGCTTGATAATGGTCCAGGAGAGACCAAAATGTTGTTGCTTCACCATCTTCCGAGTTGTGGTTTGGTCACCATGGCTAGCTTCCTCTTTCTGAATAAATATTATGGTTTGTAATAGGCCAGGTTGATGTGCAATGATTCATGTTGACTTACGTTGGTTAGTGTTGGTATTTATTGGTCCATGTTGGTGTCTGTTGCCAACGAAACCTATTATCATCTGTCATTGTTGTTTCATATTTGGTGGTGTTATTTAAAGTCGGAGGATTCATCCAGCACTTGTGTGTCCAGTTTAAAAATCTGCACAGCTTTCATCAGTCATGGCAGCTTAGTGTGTTTATTAAACAGTTTATGAGCTTTGAAATGTTGTGTGGTTTGTTCTCACTAAAAGGAAATTGTTATAAACATCCTCTTATTGCTTTGTAACTCATAAACTGTTTAATACCAGCACTGTAAATGCAAATTATGCCACTGTAATTGATGAAAGATATTCAGGTTTTGTAAGTGGACACACTTAGTGCTTAATGAATCCTGGCCCTGTACTACGCATTTTATTACAGTATATAATTGTTTTCCAGAATGTAGGGGGACAGTACATGGAGGTTGTCAAGAGTCTCCTAGTTAAATTGGATAAGGATGTAACGAAATCTCTACAAGTCACTTTACCAACTGTGCTTCTCGATTTGCTCAAGAATATATCCTTGTCGGAAGATAGCCATGATCCTGTCCATAGTGAAGAGCTAAAGAGTATCACAGATAAAGTGGAACATCTTATCAATGCCAGAAACACACTCGTAGAAGCTGCAAATGGTGAGTTGCAAATTAGTTATATTTTACTAAACATTTGATGATTGGGAGAAATGGGTAAATGCTGTATAAAGTTTTGTTTATATAAAATACATTACAGTACCGTACTGAGAATAACTATGATTTTAAGTGTCACACACACACATGCTTGTTAGTACCTGTAGCTATGTTTTTGGCATATATGTGATGAAAATTTGTTTTCACAGAATTTGTGGAGCAGTTAGAAGCAGCTGTGGCCTTGCGAACATCATGTATCAAGCATGAGCTTGATGATCTGGTATGTCATATATTTTTTATTATGTTACTGTACCATGTTTGAGGGCAAATGGAAATGTTTTGGGGTATAAAAGATCAAACTCTTACAGAACAATCTCCAGATAGCTCCAAAAGTTTGTGTAATTGTGCTACGAAAATAGACGTTTCATAGAAATTCCTTGCATTATATTTCATTGAAATTGCTTACATTATATTTCATAAAAATTCCTTGCATTATATCCTGCATCTAATAGGCCCCATTGAGAAGACTGATTTTTTTATTGCATTAATTGGATAGCAATGCGTGTCAGTTTGCATGCACCAGTGACCAGGTTGATCAACCCATCAACTAGAAGGTCTGGTCAAAGACTGAGCCTTTGGGGCTGTGATACCCGGAACGCTTGTGATAAAGCAGATATATAGCAACTCATACGTTCAGTAGTAGTAGTAGGCACCATCAGTCTCAGGAGATTATGGAGTTGCACTCGGGTTGTCTGTCTGGAGTGGCCTCTCCAGGGGTGCAAAGCCAGGGTAGGTTGAATTGGGGAAGAAGCTATCACCCATGCAGCAGTTCCTCCCCCTCTCTATGGTGCCAAAAGTCTCCAATGGAAAGGCAATGCACTAGCACTATGTTCATATTTCATTACCTAATTATTTTTGTGTATTTGCTGCCACTTTTCAATTAGAAACAGATATAGCTTCAGTACAATTTAGTATGCAGATGTGTCATTATCCCTGTCAGTACTACAAACCCAGAAAAATGAGTTGACCCCAGCAGTTCCAGGCTTTTCCAAAGTTTTCAAAATTCTTTCAATATTAAAGTTTTCAATGGGCTTAAAATAGCATTTTTGATAATTGTATAAATTTTTATGTTTTAAAGAAAAATATTCAGTTTCTCCTAGTGATGACTCTGTAATCTCCACCTTGACCAGTCATCATTTAAAAATACAGGTATATCAAAAGATCTATTTAGGGTTTTCATAATATTTCTTTATTAAGAATTGTAATTATTTATGACAATTTTAAGGTAAAGTTGACTGCATTAAAAGTAGCAGCAAAAGAAAATCCAGAGAGTTCGAAGGCTTCCACACCAGAGGAATTAAATCTCCAAGTGGAAGCTCAACAACAATTTGTTCAAGAGTTTATGGAAATCACCACTAACGTCTACCAGGAGGCCCTGTCAGAAAAGGTATGTGGAACATGCAACAGTGTGGTTGAGTAAATACTATTTATCACCCACAGTAGTGCTAAAGGTAGTTACTTGTTCAAAGTTTCTGTACTTTTAAGCATGGCATTTTAAAAGGCAAATATATGTACTGCATTTAAATCCATGTTCTGCAGTAGGAGTATGTAAGGCGAGAGTAGGTGTAGCTTCCTTACCATAGATTAAGAATAAGAAGGTCAGGGAGGCAAGAGGGTGGCAGTGGTGTGTCATTGGTACTAGTTCTCTTTATGACATACAAATGAAGGAAGCAGATCATATAGTTTGAAAATATAATGGAGAGGAGTGGTAGAAAGAAGAGACATACACATTGAAACCTGAGGAGTTGGGTGATGGTGGTACACAATTACTGTCTGTAGCGGAGACACAGTAATGACTGACAGTGACAGTAATGTCTGACAATGAGATACAGACTCACTGCTCATGCTCATTAACCATGAGCAGTGAGGACTTAAAGGCCAGTTCATGTAGACTGCACAAGTTTAAAAGATTTCATTACATTATAATCACAATTTTGCTGCCTCTGGGTAATCACACAAAATCATTGATTAAATATTTATTAGTTGTATGTTGGAATAGGCTATAAAATGTATTGTATCACGTGTAATAAGAAAATCTTGACAATTTTGTAATAAATTGGCAAAAAATGGGCACTTTCTTTGAAAACTGGATTTCACACAAATTTTAATTGGATCTGAAATACTGTAATGATCCAGATGTTGAATTGTAGCACTATTATTTTGCAGTCATATGGCATTGATACTGGAAAACAAGTTGTGGTTGTAATGTTTGGTAGAAATATGTTGTGTGCAACCCAGCTATAAATTCAAGAAATTTCTAGCTAGTTAGAACGAAAATTAAATTTTTTTATTGTATTTGAGTATAGTCCTCTAATGGTTACAATATTTCCTTAGCTTCAGATTCTCAAAAGTCAGAAGATGATGGTCCACAAAATTCTTGAAGATAATCAAAGGAAGTTACATACTGTTTGTCAAGAGCATTTGGAGAATCTTAGGAGTGTAACCAATCTCCCAGGTACATACCGTCATCTTTTTATTTATTTAAAAACATTTTAGTTTAATTTAACATTTGGTATTCGGTCCAGGATGAACTAAAAAGTCGTCAGTTCTTCATTTTCAGATTTGTTGATTGGGGGGGTCTTTGATAATCAAGTGAGCAGCATACAAATTAGCAACTTCTTAAAATTGCACGCTCTTAATTTTTGTTGTCTATTTTGTGACTGAATACATAAATAGGGGTGGCCCGTGGTGAAAGATCCTTGGTGAAGGCCAATATTGAATTGACATACTGTACATGCTTTCCCTCTCTACATGTATCATCCATTTTGGTCATGAGGATGTTTTTTTGCCATCATCTTATTTAATGACTAATTAATGTGTGGAGCTAAGATTTTTTCAGAATACTATCTAAGGTCACTTATCTGGACTACATGGGAAGGACCCTTTACTGGATAAGCCAGACATGCAGATAAGCAGAATTCTCATAGGGAATGTCCATAAATTACCATATTTGCATTTTTTTGTTCCACAATCAACATTATTTGAACTCCACACAAACTACTGTATAGTGGTACCTACGTTTGCAAATTTAATCCATTCTCAGAGATGGTTTTTCAACCAAAAATTTGAAAACTGAAACAAATTTTCCCATAAAAAATAATGTAAATGGAGTTAATCAGTTCCGCAGACCCAAAAATATTAACTTAAAAGTACATTTTATACATAATACTACTCATATTTTGTACTACAATATGCATATCTTACATACAGATATACTGTGTGTCAGTATGTACAGTAGGGGTCTGGGAATTTCTCCTAATCCTTTCCATCGATTGTCTTGTTGTATTGGTGGTCCAGTTCACATCTCGTTTTTGTAGTAACTCGGGATATCTATGTAGAGTATTTAGCAAGGGGCCAACAGCCAGTGAAGGTGCGTGATTGTCAGGTATGGTATCATCGTTGGGAAAAAAGACGATGTTGTCCGATGGAGCATTGGAGTTGGTTGAAAAGGAGGAGTCGTTCAGATTGGGGGCGCCCCCATTGTAGGGTCTGCTGCGGTGTTGGCAGCCGGGGCAGCAGCAGCTGTATGAGGGAGGAGATGTAAAGGGAGATTGTCTTTTATTGAGTAATTAAGGGAAAGCATTTTTATATAGTCACCATAATAGAAGGGGGAGGGAAATCAATGAATATTATAACAGAAGAATTTAATGCATGTCACACAATGTAATTTAAGAATCAAGTAAAGACTCTAATAAATGTAATAACCAATGAAATTTAAATATCACTACCACAACTATACTGTAAGTAGACTTCAGTATATAGCACTTGTTAGAATCAATGAACAAGTACTGCACAGTTATTTAAATTCAAGTTTTTTATACACAAACTTGTACAGCATTTTATATAATTTCCACACAGGCAAGAAATCAAAATACAGAACATGAAAACAATTATCACTCACCTTATCTCAGAACAAGTGATGCAGCAAGCTATGTACATAGAATAATAATGTACACATTAAAAGTAAATTGTAATGCTCTTTCTTACAGATGCTCTAAAGTACAGCAATAATCTGGTGTCATCTTTGGAAAAAACTTTATCACAAGAAGTGTCGTGGGTTGATCAGCAGTATATGGAGCTGCTGGAACAATACAGTTATGAACAGAACCGTCACAAGGAATCACAAACCCTCACACTGCAGGAGCTCAAGACTAGGCTTGTTGGCTTGTTCAAAAGCACAGATATAGAGGTAAACATTTTGGTATTGGAGTATATATTACAATGTATCATTCAAAATCAATAGTATCCATATTTTTCTATAGATAAAGTACAAAATGTGGACTGTTGCACAGGAAAAAATCCTTGATTTGTTCTAATAATTTTGTAGGCTCTAATAACGTTGTAGGGGGGCCCCTGGAAAGAGGGAAACAACCAAAACAACATTTTCCAAGTCTTAATATAGTACATATATGTGCTATGTTAGGCCAAAGACTACGTTACATTAGGATTAAGCCTAACATTGTATGTGTTAGGATTAAGACAGGTTAGGTTTGCTTTGTTCTACGTTTGTTATGCCCTTTAGTATATACTGTAGTATATATATATATATATATATATATTATTGAATGTGACTGAAAGGATGAGATCAGTGAGTCTAGTGCGAATCTTCTCCATTTTCCTTACATTTTGCTTTACTTGAGTATATGCTAAAGTATGCAAAAGTAGCCACTAGGAAAATTAAATGACTATTTTGAACATTCATGTTTCACCAAATTATCAAGGAAATACAGAATAGCTAAAGTATATATTTTAGTATAAAGTACAGTATTTACTATTGTATATAACTTAGTATATATAAATGTGTATACAATACTTTAGTATATACATTAGTATAAAATTAAAAAATATACAATATTTGACATACTGTACATTGCATCAATAGGCACTATAGGTTGTGTCATTTTTGGAGAATGTGTTGATATATTACTGCATTTGGTTATTTACAGTTTCATTTCTACAAATTAGTTTCTATTGTGAATAATCCTTTGTTTTAGTGTAGTGGAAATATCATTACTTCAGTACGTACCTGTTAGACCACCTGTGATACTGTTTGGTATTTGTTATCAACTTGTTTCTGATTGGATTCTTATTGTTGATCTGGTCACTACAGTGTAGTCACTATTACACTACAATTGCTAATGTAAGCTAACCTAATCTCCTAGGCCTTATACACCCTATTTTGGGCCTAATATAGAACATGTATGTGCAGTACTAAACCTAGCAATATTTAAGTTTGGGTTTAGATTTATTTTTCAGGTCTCTTTAAAGTGAATAATACCAAATTCTATTTTCTATGTGTCCTTGTCAATGTTTGTACAATTGTCCACATAGTTACAAAAAGTACTATCTTATCAGGGGGATGGGTTGGAAGATTCAGGTTAGTGAGCAAATCGGTTTAGTTGTATAGTTTAGTTGGCTGTAATGTGATTATTGTTTTAGATTCAGCTGCTTGGAACGAAAAGTTCCAAGTACCATAGGCTATGGTGAGCCCGTAGTGGACTTACCTGGCACAGGAGCGGGGCTGTAACTGGCTTGAAGGGGATTATTATTTAGTAAATTATTAATTTTATCTTCAAATCAGACTGAGCTGAAGGAGCTTAAGTGTCAACATAAATCTGAACTGATGAAGCTTAGGGAGCAACATGCTATAGAAGTCCATCGGCTAGAACGTCAATTGGCCGCTCGAGATCAGGTGACACTGGTCAGTAAAACTGCTTTTTATCTTTATGAAAATTATTATTATGTGACTGTTTGATTTAATATTGAATTTAAAAAAAAAATCTTCCATTTAAAAATATGACTGGCTGTAGTGTGATTTTTTTTATAAATATGCTTTGTCTTCATATATTCCCTCCATGATGTCTTTAGATTATAATCTAATTTAGGTTCTCATTAACAAGTGTAACTTGTAATCATAATATTTTCTTTATTATTAATGTATTATTGAGTTTAGATTTCACTGTCTGCTAGGATCTAGCTGTAATCAAGGGGGGACTTTTAGACAAAAATATAATTCTTGCATATTATGTTGGATAAAACATATAAGCATCAATACATTTGCTTTGTCAGAATGTAGCTGTACTCATTTACCATTAGAAGCGTTTCTGCGGCAGTAATAGTAGTATGCTTTTCCTTGCAATTGTTACATGGTTGTAGACACTTTACAGTGCCACCTGATATAATAGGCTATGAATTTCCTTGGTATTAGATAGTATTGACGATACGTTTTCTAATGTTATTGATTCCTTCAGTCAAACTTATTCTGTGTATAATTGCATAAGTTTGCACTTTTCCCTTACTTCAGTGATTAGAAATGTCAGATGCATCACATAACTGACAAACCCGACAAATGCAATGCTTACCTTTCCTGGCACTGCAACTGATCTTGTGTCTCTTACAGGTTGTAATTAAAGACCAATAATTGGTTATTATAATCTATAATGCCTTTGCTTCATTTTGTTATATAGTATTTCAGTATTATGCTTTTATAAATAAATTGTACAGAATGTTAAAAAAAACTATTTTCCAGGATGACCATTTTTCAGTCATTAGTACAAGTACTGTACTTGTTCGCGTCGCTTTAACTTTTTGCCATTGCTACCATTCGTGCAAATTATTTTAAACGTCGGTCTGACCTTAAGAATGGAATTTTTGTATTTCATGTTTTATAAGCTTGTATAATATAGTTAACAAAGCATATCAAATTGTGAGAGGTAGGAGGGGCGGGTCTACAACAGTTATAATAATTTGTGAGAGAAATGTAATAAATTTTGGTATAAAATTGTCCCCTGTCATTAGATGCCATACTTATAGATAAAACCATTGTGCTCATGATTTACGAGAATAATTCAGCTCTTATTTTTTTCTTCTAAACTGTACTGTATCATTACTAGATATCCATTAAAATACATCCTCTGTGCATGCTTCTGGGAATCAGATGGCCTTAGATGATGAAGTGGAACAGCTTCGTGCTCAAATTGATCGTGACCTAGATGTTAGGTCTTGCATCTCTAATGCATTGTGCTCTGAGCTTGAGAACATCAAAATTCAAGTTACTCAGGTACAAGATGCTTGCTTGTGTGTGCTTTTGCTTTTCCTTTGTGTGTGATTGGCCAGGAAAATCTATTGTTTATACTAATGCATTGTTCATAGTCATACCAAGTACTGTATTGTATTGTAAAATGTAATTGTCACCAGAGTTTGCTGTATAAATATATTAGTCATTTTTATATTTTTGTATAAGTATGCAGTAATACAATTTCTTTTATACATTTGTGTACAATCGGCCACGTGTTATCCAAACCCCTTGGGACTGAGTCAAAATGGATGACAGGTTGTGTTCGGATAAGTGGTTAGTCATTCTGAAAAGCTAGGGGGGAAAATGGAAAATTTTGTTGCAGAAATCCAACAGTGTTTTGTTTGTACTCACCAGTATATGTTCTGATTTCCTTGTTAACAATGCTCCATCAACTATAACCTTCAAGTTATTTCGATAGAAAAGTTGGTGGTGGATGATGATAGTGTTGGGTTGACTGAAGTGGAGATTAATGGTGGTGACGTAACCTCAGGAGACTGCCATTTACCAAGTAACTCTAATGTACCTAATGCCATGGCAGAGTTGAAAGCTTCTGAGACATCAGTTAGTGTATGAACACTGCTCAAGTGGCACCTGTGTACGGTCACTGGGCAAACTAGGTCCAACTTTATTGTACATTTTTATTCAGACTGCCTGCTCCAGCAGTTATCCAAACTTTTTTATCCAAACAAAACTCAATCGGATAACAGGCATTCGTAAAGCATGTGGCTGTAGCACGAGGGAGCTATACATTTAAATAAGAATGTACGTTTCATTTTCCCATAATCTTCATGTATTTCTGTAACTTCGTTAGAAAAAATTTGTTAGCCTGTGACAAAAGAATAAAAATTCTGTGTGGGGCCAAACTAGCTTAGCCCCTCCACTCACACATTATAACAACAATTTTTGTTTTTTGAGTGGGGAGGGGGGGTAAATCCACCTTCTGGGGCTTACCACAAACAAAATTTAGCACCTAGAAGTTTTTGGCATTTTTTTCACAAACTTGTCATTTACTCTATAATTTCATATGCTCAAAATATTTGTTACATTTTTGTCAAAAAGTCGTTCATGGGAGGTCACCCCCAAAATTTCACAGTGGAAGGGTTAAATAGTATTAGACTTAACAGATTCCAATAAGGTAAGTAGGAGAGCCAATGATTAAAGTGCAGAAGAAATAGTTCAAGTGGTCGTGAGAGAGAGGAGGTGTAATTGGCCGGTGTACTGGACTGTTCCAGGAATGTGTATAAATGTGCCTAAATGTATATCCATTGCAATAAATGTTAGGGGGGGGTGATAAGCTCAAGTTTTTCATGCATGTTTTGTTTTTTGTAAAGTGTTACAAGTGCCATCTACTAGTGATTGTGCTTTTAATTGTCTTATCGATTCATTGAAGATAGTAACTAGTGAGTCTGCAACCAGGTTTGTGAATAGAGCATTGGTGAAATTCACCTTTTGTTTTTTATTGGCATATCACAAAGCTTTTCCTGCTGGTTGATTTCTAAATGTTGTATGTGTGTGGAATAATTACTGTCAAATGATTGCACATTATTTTGATAAACATTTATTTTTATTAATGTATTTATAGCACTGGATACAATTGTTCACTTTCACTCATTACTGAAGAGCACTTTAGTCTTCTGATGTGCATGAGATATAATGAATTACAGCAGGCCCTTTGTTTTTAATTACTGGAAACAAAATTGACAAAGTATTGTAAAAAAAATTCTATCTCTTTTGTGTACCTTGAAAATCTTTGTATTATTGAAACTGGATCGCTCTTTCTTACCAGATATTTGGGTGTTGCCACACATGATAAAACTCATCTTGTTTTAACCCTTAGGCAGCGGTTATCATCAGTTGTTAATTCAGAGTAGTACGGTTATCTTAAGTGGCTAAAGTCACTTGATTGCAGTGATGGTTGTTAACAGGGATGTTGACAGGGAATGACTAATGGTCACAGGAACACAGATTTTGGTGGAAACTCTCATACAGTGATGTTGACTATGAAAAGGCAGCTGCCCAACGATCTTATGCTCTCCACATGGTGAAGTAGTCAAATTCTTCTGAAAGCTGAGCTTTCTCAAGTTTTGCTTGGTGCAGTACAAGAGCAGTATAGCAGGAGATTCTATACTGCTGGTGACTACTTTGGTAATGCTGTTAACTTGTTAGACTAAGCTAGAGGTACATGGCTAATATCCTATTGTACTAGGAAAATGGCTGCAATCTCCACAATCACTAGTCAGGATGAGGTTTCTATAAGATGCTGGGAGGAATGTTCTATTTCTTAGTCACTATGTTACAGTTTTGGTGGGCTCTCTGTGAACTAATCAAAACTAGTTGTCATTGGTAGACTTGGCACTCCTGTGCAGCACTTTGAAAGTGACATTAATTATCAATGGTCACTCAGGTAGATGGTCGAAGTGCAGGCAAATGAACTGTCTCCAAATACAAATCTGGCACTTTTATTGACAGTCCAATAACAGTTTATTGACTGTGAAGTCTGTAATTTCTACAAATACCCTGCCAAACATGACAAATCTTAAAATAGCTCTTCTTCACAGTAAGAACATATGAATTGTTGCGACTTAGGCCACTTTTAGAGATCCTTCACCGGTATTGGGGATTGATGTGCAATTACAGACATTTGCATATGCACATGTAAGTGAATGACAGCAGTGAAGATGATTATTCACAGGGAATAAGACTGAGAGGAATCACTTTAAGAGTGAATGAATATCAGATATATCTTAGAGTAACTCACATGAAGCAGGTGTGGTGTAGTGCTGCAGATGTATTGGTGGTGTGTAGGGGTTCTCTCTCATGTGAAAAATATGGTGAATAGACAAGTGTAGGTTTGAGTGCATTATCTTCTAAGGCTATTATCCTATATTACTCTATTTCCTATGATATGATTGTTCTATTCCCCTGTAAGTGGGAAATGGCATAATGATGAGTTATCAATACATATTTGATATGTTTAGAAGTTAGATTTTATAAGACTCAAAGTGCAAATTATAGATTCTCATATATAAAGATGAAAAGAATTTGGTTAGATAAGATTTTCTCTTGTATAGGCAACTAGTAGTGTTGTACAGGAAGCGTGTGGGAGAGTTGGAACATTCTAAACTAATGTGTACTCACCTATTTGTGCTTGCGGGGGTTGAGCTCTGGCTCTGTGGTCTCTTTGGACGTGTGTGTCAGTGAGGGAGTGTTGGGGAGAGTTGTTTCATTTGAAATTATATAATTATTGTGGTTTCATATCACCTCATCCCTCCACCTCAACATTATTACTTTTAAATGTTTTTTCTCGTGTTACCGTCGAGTGTTGCAGGTGGTTCATGGGTGCTGCCATCTGCTCCATGGATGAAGCTCTTTATTGTGACTCCTCATCTGCAAGCTCTTTAATGTTTTAAGTTTGCTCATATACTTGAATACATTTGTATATTGCTTATTTTTTTCTTTTTGTCTTTAGAATTTTTCATGAGGCTAAGTGTACTGTATATTATTGACAAAAATTAGCTTATATTTATTTATAAGCATTTACCGGTATTCATATTAGCGTATTTGATTTATGTTGCCCTGTGATTGAAAGTACTGTACTCAATCAGGTTTTATTTGTATTTCCTTGTATAATGCTAATCCAAAATGATTCCATTATCATTTAAATTTTTAGTGTTGTGTATTCTATACATATGCATGATTGAGATTTTTTTATTTTTTTGCCTGGCCACCTTCACTAACCCCTTGTTTGTTTGTACTAACTGTTACGTAACCTCCTTTGTTTTGGTGCTTCTGGTGCGTCTTGGTGTCCCCTGCTTGTCCTCTTGTGTAGCTGGAAGATGCAAATGGCAACCTTAACAAGATAATAGAACCTGCCACTGATGTTAACTCTGTCCTATTCCAGCGGCACCTGCAGAGCCTCTACAGTGACAGGTTAGTTCTGGTCCTTACTGTGTTAAAGTAATAGTTCTGAGCTCTACCTCTGGTTGCTCCATCAAGTAAGATGTCACAGCCCTTACATGGACAGGGATCATGTAGTCAGGCAGGGCAATGTACAAATATTGCTGAGGAAGTCATTGGAAAATACTACGAAGTAACCATTAGAGTCGCAAGTTCAATTCCATTAAATGGCATCAGTATTCGGAGATTTGTCACTTTCTTCTGGTTACATTGTTTAATCATTAGAGTTGTTTCCACTAAAATTAAAGCCCTTCCAAACTGTCATTTTCAAGCTGGAATGAATATTCTTAAATAATTCCCTCTGCACAACACTATTTGAAAGCTTCAAAATTTCCTTGCGTGGTATCCTATGTTGCCACTGCCTGATAGCAAGATCCATGTTCAAGGCCACTGGAGTTGCATTTAAGGGATTTGCCAAATTATATTGCTGGGAGTTTTGCTTTAAACAAAAGTTCAGAGCCTCATTTTTAGTTTACATTAATTGCAAAAAGTATGATAAGGGATTTATGACAAAAGTCAATACAATAATGTGTATCTGATTTTGGTTCTGTTGCATCTTAAAAATACAGAGAAGAAGCTAATTCATGAAGCTTTAATGTCATTACTAAAAAACAGGTATACTACAGACTACCATTTTTCAGGGACTGGTACAAAAAAACAGTGGGCCTTTTGTCACATGTGACATTGCAGCTGCTGCATTACTACAGTGTTGCAGAAAGTTACACTACCAAGTCTCAAGATCACAAAATAAATGTGGTAAATATTGAGGATCATGGTGACATCCAGCAACCAGAGATGTCAAGTGGCAAGATTGTTGATCTCTCCTTTTTGTCTGATTGTATGCCAGATGACAATGATGCTAGTCGGCTGAATATGCTCCCAGAAGATAGCGTTCTTCCAACAGGTCTTATTAGCAAAACTGTTTATGCTGATCAAGGTGAAGATACAGAACTAACTAGCAACTCAGGTTCAGTATTTGATAGTACTGCAATGAGTGAAGGAATGCTTGATGATGTGGACAAGGATGAACAAGTTCGTTCTATACTCACAAAGTCGTATCCACAATTGATGTCTATATTGAAAGGCCGGTGGGACCGTGTAGTTGTGGAAAATCTGGAGAAGGAGGTTCAGGAGTTAACAATTTCACTGCAAGCATCGGCAGGAATGTTTAAAATTTTCATGCATTCGGTATCATCTGGTAACCAAGAGCTTTCTTCTCATACTATTAGAGAAGAAACGGAAGATGAGAATGCATCAAAAGAGACACTAAGTGATCCAAGTCAGCAGAGTGAACATCATCTGTGTGAGGCCGGTCATGCCACCAGTGATACATCAAGTAAACCTCCGGAGGATGGGAGGGCACACACAAGTATGTCTCAAGAGAAAAATGAATCATTTTTAACTGGGACTTTTAAAGCTGTTTTAAGTGCTAAAAAGAAACTTATGTCAGTTGAGATGCGCAGTGAAGACAACCCAACTGTAAAAGAGGATGCTGTAAGTCTGTCTACTCTCTCATCTCCCTCTGATGTGCTTAATAAATTAACATTGCAAGATCTTGATGATCTCTCTGAAAGCCTCAGTCATCTTCTGAGCCAAGATGAATCCTTGATGAATTTTACTAAGCTTAAGCCTCAAGAACTTAGAGATGGAGATAAACTGAAAAAAGCCCTTAAACACCTATGTCAGAATGCCCAGGCATCAGAGGGCCTTCGAGTGAAGCTTCATCATTTAGAGGGCTTACTGAAGGGCTTGGAGGAAGAAAAGAAAATAATAAATGATGAAAATAGTCGTCTTAATCACTACAGCAAGAAACTTGCCATGGAACTCCAGGCAAGTCTTAATACCTTTTTATTCATTTTGATTGCATAATGTTTGTGATTTGTCCAGTCTGCCTTCTGTCTTGCAAACACTTATTTAAGGAAAAGTTTTGATGGTTTGTGTTGTACTTTTTGTAATTTACAAAAAAAAATTATGTAAAAGAAGCCTTAGAAATTAAATATTAACTTCTATTTGTTCCAGAAAAGAAAATTAGTTTTTAAATCTTTTAAAATAAAAATAAAGGAGATTAATTATTATTCAAATGTAAAACACCATTTTAAGTATCATTCCATTTAATGCATGTAATATTTTGTTCCTGATACTGTGCACATGCAACAAGAATACTCCGTAACTTACTTATTTAATATAAAAACTTTTTATTAAATTCGAACAGGTTGCCAAGGACCAAATAGAAGAATTAGAGCTAGGGCAGCAGGGACAAGAGGGAGGAACTGCTTCAACTCAGTATGCAGCAAGAATGGAAGCTTCAAAGGACATAAGAGAACGAGGTACAGTATTTCTGCTTGAAATAGTGGGCTCTAATTATCCACATCTCCGTTTTACAGATTCCTTGAACAACAGAATCGAAAAACCTAGTTATTTCCGTTTAACAGAACATATCTGGTAAATAGGGGATATATCCCCATTAACTGGGTAGTTTCCCCTCCTTCATATTATTTGCATCATCGATGTAAATAGGAGCTGCCTCGTAAGTACCAATAAGCCTTACGTAGTTAGCGTAGTTCTCGTGTCTTTATTGGTACAGTACATGCATACATCCATGTGTATGAATAAGTGAATGTATCAATAAGAGCATAAAGACTAAGAAAGCTCCATAAGGCATATTGGCTCATACAAGATATCTATTATTTATATTATGGATATAAATAGGAGCTTCCTAGCCCAGAGTAGGCAGGTCCCATTTATATTCTCCTAAATTCATTCACATATTGGCCTTATTGACCTATATGAGGCATCTCATATTTATATTATGGATATAATTAGGAGCTGCCCCATTTGGGCCAATAGGTCCATATATGAATGAGTTTAGGTGAATAAAAATATAAGCTGCCTCATATAGGCCAAAAGGCCTTTTGTAGTACCTACATTATGTTCAAATGATGATTGATTGACCAGGTATACACTTATATAAAGTTGTGAAAACCATGTGAACATAATTACATATGTAATTATAATGGAATTTTGTATCATGGCATTTACTGCATTGGCTTAGTAACATTTGTGATGATAAACACATTTGCATAGTACGGTAATTATGAAACAGTAGCAGGATTTTTTCATGGCTCAAGGTAAACATTACTACATCCATATAGAACTAAAGCTACTATTATATCCATATTAGTATCATTGGTGTAAAACCCAGGCAATAATAGTTTAACTCGACATATGACAACCACATTACCCCATGAATCAACACTTGATGATAAACACACTTTAAGGTTTAAGTAAGAAAAATAAACAATTGAGGGTTTGATAATTCCAGGAGTTATAAATAGGAAATTTGCATATAACAGTGAAGGAATATTTTAAAGTCTCATGATGTCTGCGTGATACAGTCCTTGCACTGGACATACAGGTTTTGTTTACATTTCTCTATGACAATAATTTGTGCTATGTCATCCTAAATAATGTGAAAGATGGGATCAGTAAATGTTTATTAACTTGATAATCATAAATACCATGTACATGTTGTGTATACCGAGTAATTATTTTTTTCTCGTACAGTACGTGCTGCTTTGTCCGTCAAAAATAAGTCATTAATGGACCACAATGAACTAGTCACTCGTGTTGGGGATCTGGAAGGCATTCTTGAAGTTGTAGTGCGAGATAATGACATCAAAGTTGAAGCACTCAATTTTGAAGTTGCAGATTTGACTCAACAGGTACATCATTCTACTGTTCTTGAATGTAAGGTCTCTTCAATTTTTCATGTTCCCTTATTCAGGGTAAAGTGGAGACTCCCTTAATAGAGCTTCGTAATGGTGCTATAATATTCCATTTTTCACTCTCTTCATTAGATTGAAAATATGGAGATGTACAAATGTAGAATCTAATCTACATCATTCACATAGTTTAGGGACAGTAACAGGTTAGGAGTATGGTGTTGTATCAGCAAAATGTTGTATACAATTGAACTTTACATATACAGTATATTTATTGTTGTGTTTACTTTCACCATTAATAAACCATTTGGTAAAACTACAGCTGGAGGTGGCAGATCGACAGCTTCGATCATCTCGCCAGTTCTTAGAGGAGCATGCTAGCGAACGTGACCAAGAAATGGAGGACCTAATGCATGCTAGGGACAAGCTAACTAATCAGCTGCGTGAAAAGGACACCTTGTTAACACAGCATGCATCTTTAGAGAAAGAGGTATGAAATAATTTTTTGTTCTGTCTCTTTTGTGAGGAGTTGCTGCACACACACACACAATTTTCCAGGTAAGAATTAAACTCTTACTGGTAAAGTTAATTTTATAATTTACTTTGTTTTATAGGGAGGGTCATTTTGGGCTTCAGTTTAACCAGTAAATTTAACATTTTAAAAGCTCTGCTCTTCATTTGTTAACTTCCTGTAGTGATAATGTGAATGAGGATGTCTATTATTACTGTACTTAATATCAATAATGTTTTTATTAAATTACCCTGCAAGTAAATTATCCTTAAATGTGTAGTAACAATACAGAATAAATAGAATATATAAATAAAAAAAATATATATATATATATAAACTGTATACCACACTACTATGGATGTAACACTTCACTAACCTTGGGTAATAGGAGCCTCGAACACCCAACCTCTGGCATGGGAGGCACTACTGAGGCTAACTATAAAAGGGAAGGGTCCGAAAGCAGGTAACTGCTACCCAAATAGAACCTTATTTAATTTAACCTTAACTGGAAGTATTTAAAAATGAAATTAATAAAAAAAAATTAGCAGACTTTAAAGTACTTTATACTGTATATGCAAAGCTCTTGTTTAAGCAATATACATGGATACTTCATCAAGATTCTCCACCAGCATAAAAGGGGTTAATTGAAAGTCCTTGCTAGGTTATACCAGTGCTAGGAAGCCATTTAAGAAAAGCTTGGTTCTACCTAAAGTGTGGGAAAGTCACTCATGAACTCTCAGCCTTTCGAGGTCCTTCTTGGCATTGCAAGAGTTAACAGATAGCACTTTTGGACTCTGATCAACTGCCACCATATGGCAGCATCCATGCCACTCTAAGGTGTACTGCATTTACCCACACACAAATAAAATCTTATCAGTGGAAAGAAGAAAGCTCTGCAAAGGAGAATCAAGGACTCAAGGGTTGGAATGGAAGCATGGAAATGTCTTGCTCTGTATGGTGAACTGTAGATTGAAGTGAAAAACTGTAACAAACCAGAAGGATAACAATAATAGAAAATTGCTTGGGCCAGAAAGTGAAGTCCTTCCAGCAATAGGGCAAGAGACCCCCTAAGGGCTGCCACAGGGCACCCAGGATACTGACAGGTCCAGTACAGATTACATTGAGGAAAGTCATCCAAGTGCCATTCTAATATCACAGTCAGATCAGAGTTCATTTTTCCTTGTATTGAAGTATACATTTTGGAATCTTAGTTCATTGTATCTTTGATAATTGTTGGTATGGAAAATCGGAGTTTTCCTTGCATGGCAACTTAATGTCAAATCGTCTCATTGTCTCTCAGATGTCGTGGTCATATTAAATTATTAAAATGAATAAACTTGGCAGTATGTTACATTTTTTATGGTGAGGAAGTACAAAGTTCTATTGAATTTGTATTTAGATGGATTAAACTTTTTTTTTTTTTTTTAGTTTAATAAAACAACTCTTGTACTTTTGAGCACAGTTTCACACGGTTTATTTATATATTTTTCTTAGGCAATTGTTGTTGGTCACATCTTGGGAAGGTCAGTCATTTGTCTCATGCAACCTTGATGAGCATAGCAAGACTTCCTCTCTGATAGTACCAGACCATTGCTGTATATAAATAATGCATACACAATGTATATGTACATAATTTTTTGTATGTTATATTGGCAAATACGTATTTTCTTATTTGTTGTACAGTAACAACTTTCATTGTACTTGCCTAATTGTTTATATTATTCATTGTTCAGTTTTCTGTGGCATGTATTCCTTAAAAAATTTCTTATGGTGGACTTTAATGCTTGACAGTGTGTTTGATTGTTTGGGAACATTGATTGGTAGAATGTTGGACATGCTCATGCGTGACTATATTGTGCATAATAGAAGTTTCCTTTACATTACTACTGGTGGAAATTAGTTACTGTTGATAAAGATAATCAGCTGATTACAGTAACAAATTAGATTTATATAACTCAGTGAATTAATGAAAAGACAATAGTGAGATTTATTCCTCTTGCAACAACTGTGGTATTGTATCATAGGTGGAGAATTTAGAGCGACAGTTGCGGGAAAAATCCCAAGAACTTCAGGACGCTCTTGCCAGTAAAGAGGAAATTCAAGTCGAACATAAAGCTGCTGTTGATAAGGTAATGACGTACTGTAGTCTAAGAATTAAGCAACTTGCGAGTCTCGTGCTTCCTTGTATTAATTATATAGATTTGTTTTTTGTTCTGTACTGCACTTAAACAATGTACTGTATATGCACCTTCTGGAAATGTATAGAGCAGTCATGCATGAACATGTAACAATTTCTTGATGTGTCACATTTCTTATTTTAACTAAAACCATAAACAAGAAAAGTATTTCTTAGTAACTTAGTAATTGTATTAAATTTACTCCCTTATTTGTTGTCTGTAAATGTGCATTGTGTGTTGTGTGTACTTACCTGCTTGCAGTTGCACAAGTGGAAATGTGCTCTTTCCATGTGCCTCAGCCCTCCTTGCTTCCCTCACTTCTTCTCGTGTGGTGTTAGGAGAACAGATATAGGATGGAATGAAAATGCCATGAATAGATGTAGAGTGCAAAAGTCAGTAAGTTATATAATTGGAAAAACATAATGAGATTGTTTGAGCAAGTTGAATGAACATTTGATGGTAGATTTATAAATGTGTTTTCCTGTGAAATTGAGGCCAGGGGTAGAAGAGGCAAGCTGGGAAGAGAGTGGGTTGAAAAAGTGCGTGAAGAAGCTGGAAGCCAGTATGGAAGTACACAGAATATGGTTTGGATCAAGTGTGGATGGAAGTGTGCTGTTGGTGAAAATTGAATATAATAATGCATTTGATAACCGGTACAGTATAAAACAATTCATGAGAAGCACTGTGTACCTGGTCTATGGAATAGAGACAGTGTTGCTGTACTCACCTAGTTGTGCTTGCAGGGGTTGAGCTTTGGCTCTTTGGTCCCGCCTCTCAACTGTCAATCAACTGGTGTACAGATTCATGGGCCTACTGGGCTCAGGCAGTGTTGCTGTGGATGACTGTTGTAGTGTGCCTACCTATAAATGACTTGACTCGAGTATCCAGCTTCCATCAGATTCCCATTATCCTACCTCCTTTCAATTTAAATAGGTAGCACTTGTCTACCATAGCAAATAAGTCTTCCTTGTCTATTTCCCCTATTCTATTTCTTGCTTATATTTAGTGATCATATTTCCTAGCTTTTCTCTCATTTGAGGTTGAATTCCCTTATCCTGTGCTTATTTCTATCCTTGTTTTGAACCCTTGTCTCATTTTTCTTGTTATAAAGTCTGTTAAACCATGGGCTTACTATTGTATTTTCATCCATTGTTGTCCTGTAAGGGACAAACTATTTTGTTGCTTTTATGCAATTTCTGTTTATCCTGTTTTCCAGTCATAAATCTGTTTTGGTATAGAAATGCTGGTGCCCTTGTTATAGATTTCTTAATTTTGCATACATCCTGTTAACTAACTATTCTTGCAAAACACTTTTGTAATCCTATCTTAAAGTTCCCTTAAATTCCCTAAGATATATTGTACTTCTTTTTGAAGTCCAGCTTCTTCACTCTTCCTTTCTTGTCCCATTCATGTCATAATTACTAATAAAACATAATTGCTCCTAACTAATATGGCTCAGATATTTTAGATAAAAAGGATTCTTCCTCTTGTCTAGAGAATGAAGCCAAATGTTGATGGGGTATACCTTTTCCTTATTCTTGTGGCCTGCTTAATCTGCTGATATGCTGTAGCCTCAAGAATGAGGCTCACAAGTTTAACGTTTCATATATACCCGGTTCCTGCTTCGAATACCTCCGAATCTATTGGTTTTTAAACCAGTCACCCAGTACTAAAAGTTTGGCTCTATCTTGATCTTCTGTCTGCATTAACACATACGTGGCCCTCTGCAGTTCCTGCTACTATCTCCTCTACTACACTTTGCTCCTCACCTCTCTCTAGCCTATTTATTGCCTGCATCTACTTCCTCATCACAATCGACTTGAGAATGGTCCAGGATGGACCAAAACGTCGTCGTCCCTTCACCTTCTAGTGTGTGGTCTGGTCAAACAACATGCGTGAGTTTTGAGTCCCCTGACGTTTTTAGTCGTGTTCCTCTCTTTACTAAATGTTTCTTGCTGGTGATCTGTGGGATTTATGATTGTTAATTTGTCTGAGTATGTGTATATATGTATGAGCAGTTGTGTTTTTGTATATACAGTTCAGGTATATATTATTGACTGAAAACATGAGATAGCACTGCTCATTCTGTTTGATATAATTTATTTGCTGATTTAGATGAATGGTCATTTACATTGTGCTTGTTTGTCATGTGTTTTAATAACTTTTTCTTGTTTAGTTAATTTATGTATGGTTGTCTTGCACTGTGCTGTTACGTGTCATCTACTTTTACATTATTGGAATACATCTCCACTTAACAGTATTTGTAATCACTCTTAAATCCAGCTTAACTGTGTACTAATTGACTTAAGGGATTTTCTTTATACAATAGATATGGGACCTGAGAGAAATTATCCAGTCCCTTGAGGTTCAAGTTGATGGGAAGTGTGTTGAGGTGAGTGAGCTGAATGCTCGAAATGAGATGTTATCGGCGGAAATTGAACAGGCTCGGCAGCACTCCCAGGATCTCACTGCTCAGGTAGCAATTGTTTCAAGCTATTTTATTGTTTTGTATTAACATTAGTTTGCTCTTGGTATTGAGATAAGAGTGCATGTCTTAAACAAGCTTGCTCATGAGAAATGTTAGTATAGTTTGCTAATTTGATCATGCATTATAAAATTATGGAAAGTAATTTGGTTATTGATGCATGATTACTATGATCAAATAATTTGATAAACTTAACTGGTTGTGCATGGTAAGACTTTATGTAATGCAGGTATTTTCATTCATAGTGTTATAATGAATCTACTGTATCTCACTTTTAAAGAAATCTTGTCGTTGCTGTTACAGTATTTATATTACAACAGTGGAATCTCGATACAGTGTGTTTTCAATGTTCTGCGATGATCAATTACTCCCGATATTCAGAAAATTTAAAAATATCAGTTTATTGAAGAAAGGGCTAGGTAAGGCTGGAGGTGATGGAGTTTCTGACATCACTCCTCACAAACAATGGTAAACATGTACACTTTTCCTCTTTTAGAAGGCGAGGAAAGGGACATTAAACTTCCAATATATTTCATGCTACTGTGAGTAAATAATGAAGGGAAAGTAAGATAGAGGCAACACATGCTCTCAAACACAACTCCCTGCCTCCCACAAGTTACTTGATTTCCAGATGTGCTTCTCTGCTTTTCACGAAGTTTCTATTAGTTGGACAAGTGGATCGTGCATATTTTTGTTGCCTCCCTTGCTGGCCTCAATGGGGTGGCTGGCCCCTTATTCTGGAATCGGTTGTTTCCTTCACGGTATTTGTATTGTCCCGCAGGTTTTCTCTGTAAAAGTTCTTTTGTGGTTGCCCTCTGAGTGAGGATTTTGGGTTTTGTCTCCTCAGTTGTGCCACTTTCTAGCATTTCCTGGTGGTTAGTTGGGCTTTGTGTTATGTACACAGTCATGTACACAGTCTCCGTGGTGTAGTGGTAAGACACTCGCCTGGCGTTACGCGAGCGCTATGTTATGGGTTCGTATCCTGGCCGGGGAGGATTTACTGGGCGCAATTCCTTAACTGTAGCCTCTGTTTAACGCAACAGTAAAATGTGTACTTGGATGAAAAAACGATTCTTCGAAGCGGGGATCGTATTCCAGGGACCTGCCCGAAACGCTACGCGTACTAGTGGCTGTACAAGAATGTAGAATGTAACAACTCTTGTATATATCTCAAAAAAAAAAAAAAAAAATGTATTCAATGTGTTTATGTTGGCAGATTGTCATGTGTGTTTTATTTGGTACCCAATGTTTCTTCCCAATCTCTCAAATGTCTTTATCTTGAATTTGCAGTGCTATGAAGTAAGATCATAAAACATGTGGAATCATTTTGTTTTGTTGTGCTCATTTTCCCTCTTCCTGGCTCTTTGCTATCTTTCTTAGTTTTGGTCATGATGATCCTGTCTTTCTGTTGTGCTTTATTTCTCTATTTGCATTTCGTATCTAATACTGTCGTCTCTTATCATTTGGAACTAATGGAGCCACTGTTGCTTGTGTTCAGTATCACTACTTCTTTGGCACCATTCAGCAAGTTGTCTCGTGTATTTTTTTCACCTCCAGCCTGCTCATGCTCCTCCTGAGCTATCCTGGTCTCTTGAAAAGGTTTTGGTGTTCCCTCTCCTTATCTCGGTTCACAGTTTTTTCATTTGGCTTGTGGTGTCTTTCTGAAGGTGGTGTTCTTGTTGGACTTTACCTCTGGCTGCTGTGGGTGAGTTTCATGCTCTTCTCCAGGGAAGTGGGGGCAGTGTTGCTCCTTTTCCTTCTTTTCTGGTGAAAAATGTGTCGTGTAGTTTCCTGGAAAGGTCTTTTGTTTCAGCAGGGGGTGCATCATGTGTTGTCTGGTTACAGCTCTTTGCTGCTGCCTGCGGTCTAATGGTTCTGTCTGGGTTGAATTTTTGTGGGTTGATTCAGTTTTCTTTGTCCCTTGTTCCATGGGTTCTCTTTATGTTGTTTTCCATTTCTGATAAGCCAGTCTCCTCTCTGAGATCTATTATTCAGAGTAAGCTCCATGGAGCTACTGAGGGGGGCCAGCATATAAATAGTATTAAGTATAATGAAATGGGGCTTTCTTTGCAGTACCTCAGTAGCTACCCATACCAGCCCTTTGTACCATTATTCCCCGTGTGGTATGAGGTTGGCGCTGGTGGCTTGATAGTGTGTGTGTGTGGGGGGAGGGGGGTAACTGGCTGGGGTCGTTGGGTAACCTAGGATTCCATTTGGTGGTGGCTGACGTAGTTGGAGCAGTAGTAGTTTGTGTTTCAACTATCAATCAGATTGTTTGAGATTCATAAACCTTACTCATGAAGATGCTAGTTGTTTGGTGATATTTCTTTTGACTATCAGAGCAGTTCTCTTTAGTAGATTGATATATATGATCCTCACATGTTTTTTTCATCTCATTGTTGAACAATTTTTAACTACCCTGGCACCTGGTAGGCTGAGCAAATCTAACATTTTGGAACAGCTCTGTGGTGTTTTGTAAGCGCTGGGAAGCAATCAAGGTGCTGCCCAGAAAGTGATGTTTCATTGCACACAAATTTTTTATTTGTTTAAATATTATTGTTTAATGTAATTTGTATAATTGCCACATTTGAATTTAACATTTATTTAATTTATAAATATCTGATTTAGAGTTTGTCACTTCTTGCTTAGGGAAAATCTGATAGGTAAGCACAACCCTGGTTTAAATGCACAAAACTTCAACAAATTAAAAAAAAATCATCACCGAATATGAAAGTTTGGATTTTTCGAGGATTTCTTTACCAAGGTACTGTATCTTGTACACACCATATATTTTAACAACAAAATTTTGCTTCTGTATTTAAATTTTTCTTGTACTATTCTGTAGTGTATTTAAGATGATAAACTGTATTTTTTATTTAGCCTTGTATTCTTTATCTGATATATAACTATAACATAAATCAAGCAGCTTGAGGAGCATCGATGTGCAGCAAGTGAGCAAGGAGACGGACTCAGCAAAGGTCAGTCACTCTTGCAAAGTTCTCGTATTACCGAGCCTGAAGAAGATGAAGAAAATAATTCCCAACAAGCTAGTGCCTCCCTCTTTATGGAATTGAGAGACGAGTATGGACAAGGCACTCACAATGTGTCGGGTCAAATGCTGGTAATTTACTAGTGTCTTTTAACATTTGAAAGTTCCAATCATCAAATCAGTTTTTCTTGGTTAAAGCCCCTTGTGACTCCCTGAAGCTACTACACTGATACAGTGCCATAACATTAGGTGCCATCAGTCGCAGAGTTGTTTTTGGCCTACCAGGACCATGGGCCAGAACCTCGTCCCCTCAGAGGTGCAGGGAACAGTGGCACTATGGAAACCATTTATGAAAAGTTAATAATGTCTGCCACCACCAAGGGAAGGCACCAAGAATGTTTGAGAAACAAAACAGACTACTTTACTTTGGTTAGAAACAAGACTGCAGGCTCAAAACCACCAAAAGAACTCCCCTATCAATGTAAACAAACAATAGAAAATTTGTGAAACTAGAGCATGCTAGTTTCCCTGTTGCCTCCTGCCTGCCTCCCTCTTTCCCCCAAATGAGGGGAAAAATTGGGGCAACCTAGCTTGCGCTAGTTTTACACATTTTTGATTGTTTACATTGTTGGGGGGAGTTCTTTTTGTGGTTTTGAGGCTGTGGTCTTGTTTCTAGCCAAGCAGTATTGTGTTTTGTTTCCCAAACTTTCTGGGTGCCTTCCCTTGGTGGTGGCAGACATGATTAACTTCACATAGAAGGTTTTCATAGTGCCACTGTTCCCTGCACCTCTGAGGGGGGACCAGGTTCTGGTTCATGGTCCTGGTAGACCAGTAAGAACTCTGTGACTGATGGCACCTAGTGGTATGGCACTGTATCAGTGTAGTAGCTTCAGGGAGCCACTGTGGCTTATCCAGACATTGGCAATTAATAACATGCCATTATTTGTTTTTATTATTATTATTATTATTATTATTATTATTATTATACTATACCCATTTTTGTCATAGATTAAATAACAAAATACACAGGTTAAAGAACTACAGTATATTCATTCTGATATTAAATGAAATAGTTACTAAAGAATAATGTGAAATTTAAGTTAATTTTTATCTTTATTCTACAGCTTCAGATAATTGAGGAACGTTTAGATCGAACCACTCGAGGGTTAGAAGCTCTTCAAATGTCTGCATCATCTGCGTCTCAGTCTGCTGAAGATCTTTCAGTACAGTAAGTTTTTTTTATTATATCATTAAAATAATTTCCCTTTATAAATGGAACAAATTTAAAAACTCAACAGAAATGTATGATGCTTGCCCCCAAAACAAATGCTTCTTGAGGATGATATTCGACGTTTGTTGCAAGACAAATTCTTCTTGAAGATGATTTTCAACATTTGGTGTAAGAAGAGAAAGTGCTCCTTTTGAATAATACTAGACACTTGGTGCAAGAAGACAAGCACTCCTTTGAACAATATTTGATGTTTAGTTCAAAAAGATGAGAACTTCTTGACAAGGCTATTCGACTCATGGCACACGAAGATAAGTGGTACATGGACCTAGAAAAAGTTTCCTGAATGTTGTAATAATCAGCCATTCCTTGTATGGAACAATGACAATGACCTTCATAACCCAAGACAACATGGATTTAGAGCAGGAAGGTCATGCCTCACAGCTACTTGACCACTATGACAAAATCACTGAGGCATTATAAGAAACACAGAATGCAGATGTGGTCTACATGGACTTCACAAAGGCATTTAATAAGTGTGACCATGGAGTGATATCAAATAAAATGAGGTCTGTGGGAATAACAGGTAAAGTAAGACAGTGGATATTTAATTTTTTGTCGAGCAGAACAGAGTAACAGTCAATTAAATATAATAGTCCAATCCCAGTTAAAAGCTCTGTACCACAGGGCACGGTCCTTGCACCACCTTATTCTCATATCAGATATAAACAAAAATACAAGTCACAGCTTTGTATCATCTTTTACAGGTGACACAAAAATCAGCATAACAATTACTTTTGTTGAAGACATTGAAAAACTACAAGCAGATATTAATAAAGTTTTTGATTGAGCAGCAGAAAATAACATTGTTTAATAGTGATAAATTCCAGGTTCTCGGGTACGGTAAACATTAGAACTTTTTTTTTTTTTAAATAACAATTTTCAAATCTAGGGATCCCATCATAATGGTTGTACTATTCCAATCACTTATACTGTCCCATCTTGAGCTCTGCTCGATACTTGCTTTCCCCTTCAGAGAAGGCGAGATTGCTGAAATAGAGGGAGTACAGAGAACATGTACAGCATACATAGACATGATAAAGCACCTAAACTATTGGGATCATCTCAAAGCTCTCAAAATGTACTCCCTAGAAAGGAGATGAGAGAGGTATCAAATAATATACACAGGGAAAATATTGGAGGGCCAGATCCCAAATCTACACAGTAAAATAACATACTGGAGTGAATGATGTGGAAGAAAATGCAGAATAGTACCAGTGAAGAGCAGAGGTTCCATAGGCACAATCAGAGAATACGATATAAACATGAGGGGTCCATGGTGGTTCAACATCCTCCCAGCGAGAATAAGAAATATTGCCGGAACAAACATGGACATGTTCAAGAGAAAACTGGATAGTTATCTTCAAGAACTGTCAGACCAACCAGGCTGTGGTGGATATGTATTCCTGTGGGCAGCTTCAAGCAACAGCCTGGTGGACCAAGCCCTCACAAGTCAAGCCTGGCCCTGGGCCAGGCTTGAGTAGATCAACTCACAGGTAAAATCCAGGTATCTGATACAGAAAAATGCCTACAATATACTACAAACATCACTAAATCTAGCCATAACACTGTTATTATTATCAGATTCCTATCACTAAATCATGAATATGAATCATTTTTCACAAGTTTACTTTCTAAAGGAACATGAGGTCATGTTTCATTATGAGAAGATACACAAAACAGCAACTGTGTACTGTAAATGTCTGCCTCTCACCCTTGAACAGCATAACCAGTGTTGTGATCACTGATATCTGTTCCTTGTACATATTATAGTCTTTATCACAGTCAGGATCATCTGTGCATTATCATTGCGAAATAATTGCAGTTGCTTATTTTATTCATCGTTAATAAGTGGTGCTGTGAGCTCCTGCTGCATGTGCCAACCTTGGTTCCTCACTCAGTACTGAGGCTCTTACAGCTAGAAGGAATGCAGACGATATTTTTTTTTTCTTCAAAGAAAGCATCTGTTTACTGAAGACTTGAAGAAGTAGAGGTGAGCCCCAGATACCTGCAGGAGTGTTGATTTGTTCACCATACAGTACCTTTAAATGAGTTTTCTCAGTGAGCACACCACCCGTTAAATGAGGTACTCGGTGAGCACAGTACAGGGGTTAAGAAAGCCTAAGATCAAGCCATCTGAACTCCAAACCTTTCTACTGTACCATGTTTGCCCATTAACTAGCCATTTATCTTAATTCATATAATGTTACCAGTTATTTGTCTTGCTATTACTTTTTTTCCTAATTCTGTTTGTAAAGCTTAGTTTGGTTCATGAAGTCCTATTGCTGCTATTCATTTTGGTGACATCATCATTATTATTATTACCCCCTTTTTTCTACTTTCATCAGGTGGAGAGGCATTATATGTACTGTAGAGCCATTTTTATTTAATAAGTATATTTAATACCCATATATTAAATTGTATTTGTATTCTTTGCACACACATGTGTTGCAATTACTTTAAAAACTTCCACCTTTAAATGTTAATTTTGTGCATTTACAGAGATAATTTACATATACCTGCTTTAGAAGAACTAGAAGCTGATGATGATGCCATCTTACCAGCGTCTGTTGACCAACGGCTAGAAGACAAATTACTTGCCCTTGAACGCACTATGGAAGCTGCTGTAAAATATACTAGAGATCTAGAAATGACTGCAAAAATTCTTAGGGTGGAATATGAGGTTTGTGCTTCACTCCTTGTGGACTGTCTTGGCAGCAGCTTTGTGTTCTAAAGTTACAATAATATTGGAGGAACACAAGCAATTCTATTCAACTTTTGCTCTGTATTACCATATACTGTATTACTATATTACCGTATTCGGGTTAGTTAGCGATTATCACCTGGTGCTGTTATATTACTCCGTTCTAGTTCTCTTGTCTAGTTCTCTTATCATACATCTTTTTGAAGCTTTTGGTGTCTTTTTCATGTGCTCACTGCTTGCATTGCCAATGAGCACTTTCTTACATCTGAGTTAATTATTTCTAGCTTCACAATGTTTTCTCTTGCCATGTTTTCCATTATTTAAGAAAGAGCATTCCTGTCCACTTAGTATATTCATCTTAGCATTTTGTACATTGTGATTATATATCTCCTTTGGAACTATACTCTTGTAGGGTAAAGTTGCTGGTATCCACCTACTTGAAACAAGGTATTTGTATTCATATTGTATTTGGAAATAGAAATAATGCCTTTTGGGGAAACACCAAAATCATTCATCTATAGCAAAATCTATCTCTAGCCATTCATCAAAATGACAATCCACTACAACTACCACAATCTCATCTCATTTCTTCAGAATCACAAATATTACACCAAATCCACATCCAACCCAAACCACTACCTTCATTGACCTTGTGGTGGTAATGGAGGTCAGTAAACCCTCAGCCTGATCTCTTATCAGGTCTCCATGTTAGTCTAATCAGTCCCAATTTTCAGGTACTCTTTAGTACCTTTTGTGGTATTTAGCTGGTTAAGTTATCTTTAGAAAACAGGTCTCTTGGTAAATTCACTCTTGAAAAGAGTGAATTTACTTTCACTGAAAGACTGGTGACTGGTGACAAAGACTGAATTAATTTACAGGTCTCTTGAAACCTTGATGTATTTAGAATTACTGTATCTCTATGCATTTGTTGCAACCTTATTTTTGAATTTTGAATATTGCCCATTTTATCATGCCTACTGGTCTTGTAAGGAACTATTTGACTGTGGGAGATGTTGAACTAATTCTCCTTACTATTTTCCAGACATAAATTTTGAAGTGACTTTCTTGTGGTTGCATTTTAGGAAATGCAACCTCATTGTAGAAAACACTGTAGAAGACAGCTTAATTATTTCAGACTTCTTTTCCTCACTACTAGCATTAAATAGCTTAAAATTCAATAATAACATGCTTGTCTCTGAAGCCAGACCTAGATATATATACTGTATATTGTATATGGATATTTAATAAGGGGAGATCCGTCAAAATGTTTTAGAGTTCTTCTCACATGGGAATTTAGGAACATGATAAAGTTGCTGCCTCATGCTTGCAGTAAATAAAGACAATGTAGAACATAATCTTGAACTATCAAATAGTACTCTAAAAAAAAAGTGACTTAGATGAATTTTAAGAAAGTAGAATTGTGCAAACAGGAACTAGCAGATCCATTGTTTATCATAATGAAATATGTCAAATAAAACATCTGTTTGTACAAGTAATGAAATTGGTAGACTAATTGACATCACAGCTCGAATACGACTTGGCTACAGGTACCTCTGGGCGTTTGGCTTGTACAGAGACCTAGATGAAGTAAAGTGCAAAGTGTGTGGACAAAGACAGGGACACACACTAGAGAATTTCATCATAGTCTGTGGAAAAAAAAATTGAGCCATTTATTGATAAATCTAAACTCATGCCGAATAAAATGGTAACCCTCTTATTACTAATAAAATATATGAAATCCTTGTACAGTACTGTATCCATATTTTGCTTCTGGTAGAAAATGACATATATGAGACTAATGAATAAGCTATGTAGTGTGAAAACTAATAATAATAAGCTATGTAGTGTGAAGACTAATAATAATAAGCTATGTAGTGTGAAGACTAATAATAATAAGCTATGTAGTGTGAAGACTAATAATAATAAGCTATGTAGTGTGAAGACTAATAATAATAAGCTATGTAGTGTGAAGACTAATAATGAAGACTAATAATAGTCTTCATACTATGTAGTGTGAAGACTAATAATAATAAGCAGCAGCTCTTAACACCCAATATCTAAAAATTTTATGTATTAAGAAAAAAATCTACCTTCAATATCTATAATTTATTGTAAATACAAAGATATTGTAATGAAAAATGTTTTAACTAGCTGACATTATAATTATAAGGTGTTCAAATTAGATGTAATTGTTAATGTAAAAATCTCTGCTGAGATCTGATTAAGGCCTTTTGTGTCCTTTGTTATCCTTTTCTGTGGTACTGCTCCCAGGATGAGAATGGTATGCACAATAAACTAGTCTCCTACCACGGCAACAATCAATCATAAATGCTTATCCCACCAAAACTACAATGACCAAAAACACAATCATCACACAACAAAAATAACTGACAATCCTCCATTCACCTAGGCTCCATGAGACTCAAACCGTGGACCTCACGTGTGTGAGGAATTGAGTTTTTACTATGATAAACCTAAACCACTACAACCTCAAGCTTCACATCCACTAAATTTCAATCAGACGCCAGTCACAATATGACCCAGTCTCACTTTATTTGCTTTGCTTGTGTCATCAGTCCTGTATTCATTACAGCATCCTGTAATCACTGCACCCCCATGGATTTCATACATTACCCTGTTTGTATCACGAGATTCACACCAACCCAGGGAGTTCTTCTCATTTGCTTGTATGTGATCAAATGTAACTAATGTGCTGGCAATATATTTGTTTCAGGAAGTAACTGCAGAGCGAGACATGCTGCAAGAACATTCCAAAGAGCAACTAGTACAGATCTCTAGCCTTGAAGCTCGTTTAGACGAACTCCGTCGCTCAGACCATCCTATGAATGCAGAACTTAAGCAGAGGCTTAATGTTGTTCAAGAAGATCTGGAAAAGAAGAGAACTGAATTAACCAAGAAGGGAAGAGAGGTCAGTACTCAATATATTATAATTAATCTAAATCATACATTCTGTGTTTGTATATTTCCTTGTTTTGTTTTGTTTTTTTGTTTAGCTAATTCTCCTTATGTTTGCACAGAGAGAAGGTGGGGAGGGGGTTGAAGGGCTGTGAGAGCATGTGTGCACGTGCTCAAGCTCCTTAGAGCTCAGCCTTGGTTATCGTTCATGGGGAATTTATGCTTTACAGTGTTCCAGCACTACGATGTACTTGATCCTGAAGCAGTGAATGGAGGTGGCTTCCACCGTTTCTGCCACAAGCTTGTTATGCTTGTTTGTCACCCTTAATGCAACATTCAAATACATACTAACATACTTTGCAACATTCAAAATTTGAACTAAGTTCCAGATCCATTCCAGTTCCAGATCCAGTACTGTCATTCCATGATAGTACTTGATATTCTAGTACTTCTTCCACCATAGGGTATACTGTATATAACGTTATAAATGATTTCTATGTTTAAGTTTGAAAGACTGTCCATATCTTTACCTGTTTTGTGTAAGATGCCATTGATATTCTGTTTTGTGTGCCATTTTCCTATTTTTATCATTCGTGAATTTTACTATCTATTATTTCCTTCATGGAGGCTGCCTCTTGAAACTTGTGCATTTCACAAATACATGAAGCGTCCTGACAATTAAATATATTGCTTTAAAATATGCAAAGACCCAAGTACGGCATCTTGGCAAACAAACCTGTGAAATGTGCACTTTACAAAATTTCCTCATAGCTTGAGTGTAACTAGTTGAAGGCACCATTACCTGCTCTGATAGGTAAGTGGCACTTGAAGATACCATATTGTATGGGGGCCAGCACATCCTGCCATTTCTTTGGTTTGTAATTTATTTGGATATCAATCTTCCACATTAGCTCTGGAACTCGATAGTACTTTATGATCCATCATTTAGTAGAGTGAAGAAGACAAAATACAAAACAAGTAAATTTGTTATGATTGAGTGTTTTGTCTTTCCATACAGATAGAGGAGCTTAAGCATAATCTGTCAAGTACTCGGGGAAAACTAATGTCACGTGAGGAGGAGCTGCAGCGCATGCAGTCAAACTCTCAGCCTCACAGTCTGCCCCAGACAACTTCTGATCAGCACCTTTCAAGGCAGAGACAGTTGGAAGATGAAGTAGCTCAAAAAAATAAACTTGTTGAGAATCTGAAGGTTAGTTTTGATTTTGATAAAACAATTTATTGATAAATATACATGTACTCGCCTATTTGGGCCTACAGGATCGAGCATTGATTCTTGGATCCCACCTTTCTAGCCATAAATTGTTTATAGTGATGACTCCTGTCCTATTTCCCTATCATATCTAGTTTTAAAATTTTGAAGAGAGTTTGCTTCCACAACCTGCTCCTTAAGTTCATTCCATTTTTCCACTACTCCCACGCTAAAAGAAAACTCCCTAACATCCCTGTGACTCATCTGAGTTTCCAGCTTGTGTATGTGTGTGTGTACTAGTTTATGTATATATTTCATATGTAATAACCAGAACTGCACTACTTGGTCTAGTAGGGCCTTTATTTGAAGTGTATATGATACTACATTTCTTTGCTGTAATATAAAGTTCAATTCAATATTCCAGTCTGGGGGTGATCAATACAGTTTTCAATTCTAAATTTACCATTAATATACAGTATGTGGAAACACGAACTCACTCGGTTGCAGTAGACAAAACTGTTTTTCACTTTGTTGTCAAAACTTCAGGAAGGCGGATCTCGGCATAACTCAGATGGGCGTTCACAACTTACCATGACAGCATATCAAGGAGCTGAGAGAAAGAGGTGGTGATTTACCAGCTACCCTAAATGTGATGTTTACCCAAAAAGATGATGTAGAAAATGTAAAATTTGAGGTACCATTAAGAGCGCCAGTGACTACTGCATTATCTTGTTTGATTGCATTGTAGAACTGAAAGAGTTGGAAAAAGGGCAAGAAGCAAGAGAGAATACAGAAGAGGGGACTGGTTGGAATTAGTAGTTGGGTGGGGCAATAGTATATTAGCAAGAATAAATTTGGTGGTCCCTGTGATTTCATGTAGCATTTGCATGGGCTTTGAGTGTAGTTGGAGAAACATTTTTCAAGGCCATTCCTTGATTAATCCTTAAATGTGTCATTTGTACCAATATGGCCTGGTCAGAGACTGGGCTGCATTATTGGTCCCCAAAATCAACACAAGGTATATGACCCATTAGGGATGTTTTATTGGTGTGGAATGTTGATCTTCACTGACAGCATACTCATTCCTGCTCATGGGAACATCAAGACACTGCATAATGGAGCAACAAAATGGTAAATCTCATAAAGCATGATTGTAGTTTTACTCACCTCTGTTTTGTCCTCACTCTCTTTCAGAAGAAGCTTGTGAGTGCTAGCAATCCAAATAACATCTCATCATCACTAGCTGAAAGTCTCATAGAAGATAAGAATGCCGAGATTAAAGAACTGAACGAGAAACTGAGTACTTTGAAGTCCCGAGTAAATGAGGTGATTACACTCATTGCTAATGGAGGAAGTCTTGAAGAATGCCAAGCATTGGTGGGTATTATTGGCCTCATTCTTTGTTAATATTGTTAGTATTTGCATTGTCATTTTCCTGTTATCCATTTTCATGTAGCGGGGATGCATCATAGTGGAAGAACAAGAGAGCAATATAGGAAATGAATGTAAAGAGTCTAAAAATTAAAGCTTACAATATAATAAAGTGCCCGTTTATGGGTGGCACCTCGGTCACCTCCCCTTTGCTTAGTTCCCCCTGGCATGGCTTGGGCATTGAATACTCCAGGCTCTTGAGTAACCATTTTGACCCACTGTTGTTACCCATCTAGCTGGCGAGTGTAGCTGTAAGGAGCTTTTGTGCTAGTAGTGTCGCTAGGGGATACAATTTTGTTGGAAGTGACTTAAAACCTCAGTGACTCACATTGTCACAAGATTAAAATATATTCACTAGCGGTGGTGCTATAACACCACTTCATATTCTTATTGTCCGTATTAGCACTAGTACTCCTTGTCTCATCCTTTAAAAAAAAATAATGCAGACAATGCTACCACCATTCTGTAACACCAAGAGAAACCCCTTTATAATACTTGTGAATCAGTTCTTAGTAGTGTCCACTTTGCTTGTAAGCTTGATGGGATGATTTTGTGACTACAGGGGCTCTCACTTGAATGTACATTTACCTAACTAGTTTGTCATCTCTCAAATTACCAGCTCTCCCAGGGAAAAGATAATGTCACTCATCTAGTCCTTGGGCAGATGTTGCCCACTCATGAAACCTTGAACAATAGATATAAGACTAGATGATGATGATTTGATGATATTAAATCAAACAGTTAAACAAAGTAATGATAATTAAACTGTGATACATTAGTTTTGGTGACAATAAACATAGTATAGTAATCAAGTTTATATATTTGGATGAATGTAGTTTACAGTGGTTTAATGTTGAAAGCATGGTAGTGAATAATGTGACAGCAAATGACTAGTTAAGTGTTATAATGTATGGTGATGAATGTCGATGGCATTGGAAATGGTCAGCAGTATATCCAGAGTATTTGTCACTAATGAAATATATCCATGACTTTGAACATAGAACAGTTTTACTTACACCACTGAGGACATAATCCAAGAAAAAACAAGAGGTACGCTTCCTCTTTTTTGTCAATACCCCGACACATTCTTCCCCCAAGCCACACTAACACACCTCTCTTAGTCCAAGATCCTGTTCAAGGCACATAAAACCATGTCCCTGAAATGCCGACCTTTTGTAGGATTAACCTTTTACCTCTTGGTCTTCAAACCAATCATAGAGCAATGTCTCCAGTCACCCTGGAGACAAGGGAGTGTTCTTGGCTTCTCATCCCTTGGTAACAAGAAGAGACTGCCCCTCTAACAGTTTCTCAAGGCCTTGTGTTCCCACATTCTGAGGGCCAATGAGGGTCATCTTCTATATTTCTCGTCTCGCAAGCCATTAATCTGACAAAAATCTGACAAACGTCTGTCTGTACAACCTAACAGCTTAATTGGTCTGACTCTTCCCAAAACAAGTCTAATGACTGTTGTCAATCACAACACTGACATAGATCTCATTTATACCAAAATGAACACCTATTGAGAACAGTTACGAGCACCCATTCCTCTCCAGAACAAAATTGTTAAAATACACAATAAGGTAAGGTCCTCAATCCAACCAGCCAACCTGCTCACTCCCTCTCTCATACAACCTCAGTGACCCACAGTCACAAGCTTATAACATCATGTACTGTATACTAGCTGTGGAATGCAGGAACAAAAGGTCAACCAGCTAGCCAGCCCACTGGCCCACTATGTAAAACTTTCACAACACGTACAATGCACAACTGTACTTAACCCTTACACAGCGCCTATGAAGAAATGGTCATACCCGCCTGTGTATAAAAAAAAATAAAAAAATAAAAAATATTTTTCACGTTAGAATTATTAATTTACATACAGAATGTTAGAAAAACACAAAAATAAGTGAATATTTATAGTTTCACTGGGTGGAGGCACTCTGTAAGTCTGCGTCTGGCACTTGGCACTGGCCTGGTGCGTAGTTGTCTGCTGATGCTTCCTGATTTATCCTCAGATGTTTCACTGATTATTTTATCACTTTAATTTTGTTTTGATGTAATAGTTTTGAAAGGTATCCCAAATTTACATGAAATGTAAGAAAAAAGCTATTTATAGACAGTACATTTTATTTCTGTGTACACTACATGAGTGTGTATCTGAAATTATGTAGTTATAATTATTACATTATGTAGTTATATATTATACTAGTTTTACCAACCCATCCTCCAGCTTACCTTAGATAGTACTTTTTGTAACTATGTAGACCATCATACATATACAGTAATGATGTAATGGACAATTAGATAGTAAAATTTGGAACTACTTCATTAACTTTATAAGAGTTCGAAAAAAATTAAGCTAAAACCCAAACTTAATTATTCCTAGGCCTAGTATAGTGCACATAAATACTACGTTAGGCCTCTGATAGCATGTATTAGGCCTAGGATGGTTAGGTTAGGTTTTATTAGGAACATAAATACAAAACCTTTTCTAGTTTGTCCAAATTCAATAGTACCAAAATCTATTCTCTAATTGCCCAGTATGTCAGTATAATGTCCAATATATGTCTATGTCGTTATTATAAGTACTCTCTAAATGGAGGATGAGCTGTATTTTTAATCATGTTATTAATTTTTATCTTGAATCATTAATAATAATAAATATCTCGGTTTTGCAGTTGAAAAAAGTTATTGAAAGATATGAGAAATACTCTGCCAGATTAAGTGATGATGAGGCTCCTGAAATTATGAGAAAATCATCGCATGTACAGCAATCTGATTCACCTTCGCTTGCGGTAGGTTCTTTTGTTGTGTTGTCATTGAGTTTTCAGTCTTCAGTTCTCCTGGTTCTCAGGAGCATTGAAAAACTTAGCTCATAAAAGTACCATAGTGCTTTACTGCACTCTGTGCAGTATTTATTGTTTATATTTTGTATGGTATACATTTAGAAGTCTTATCTTACCATGATTTTTGCTTCTTACCCGAGCTGTGACAGCCCTGTAAAATAAAAATGACTGAAAATAAAGTAAGATTATGATTTTATTCGAAAATAATATGTAGACATTCTCTATAATTAAAAAAACTGCATGCATGCGAGTTCCAAAAAAACAAGTTACTGTATAGGCAAAATATAATCGGAATACAGCACATACGCTTCAAGCCTGAACCTGGTTTGCTGTTAATGGCCAAATGTCATTCAACACAAGCAGTTGTACTGAGGGTAACTGTTAACACTTAAGAGTTCAGGATTTCTGAATACGAGATGACATTGTAATGAAAATAGTCTTACTGAATTAATGACATTAACAGATTTTAGCCTCTACAGTAAATGAATTTAAATAACTATTATTCATAATAATATTTTAATGGTTTAGTGTGTATTAATGTTCAGGAGTGTAGTATTTTATAATGTAGTCCTATTGACTTATTTGTTTTGACAGATACATGGCATCAAGGAGTCTCCTTCAGCTTCCACTGTTTTTAGCAGCAAAACTGATGATGGAGGATCATTTTCAACTCGCCCATCAACAGATAATTTGACTCTCATGTCAGTACAACCTGATAGCCACATTGAATTATCCAAGATATCATCTCGTACTTCAAACATGACCAAGGTAATGTCAAAGAAATATTCTGTTGATGCAGTTTTACCTGAAACTAAATATTTATTGTACATAATTTTGATTATTCATTGCCGAGAGTGGTTAACAACGAGCACATATACGTGGCCCGATACTTGCACAAGTCTTGCCGATTGCTCTCTCCCTCTTAGGTCTTAAGTACCCTTCCTTTCTCTTGCTAAGCCCTCCACTTTTTTCATATTCATACCACTGAATCAATAATGTTGATATGATAGACATGGTTATTAAATAAACTTATGTAGAATTTTTTTTTTTTTAACAATATAGTAGGTGGATTTTTTTAGATTTAAAAATGTACATGTTTTTATTATGTTTTTGTTTTCCTCTTATATTCTTGGTGGTTTTTAATATTTTGGCTGTAACCTGCAGGTTTCACCTGGGTCTGAAGACCCCAAAGATGGAGAGTCGTTTTCATTTGATGGTGCTGTTCCTGCTGGCAAGGTTAGTTTGCTGAAAGCTGATGTTCAAATTGTTCTTCTTGGGCAGCATTTTGTTTGATTTTCTTCTACTTTTAACTATTATTTAAAACTTCTGATGCCTTTTTTGTTAATATTGTAGATTCATTCAGTATCTTTTGATCTTTCTCTCTTTCCTGTTGCTTTACTTTTTGTTTTACATTCGTATCATGAAGGAGGATAAGCAAATGAATGAAGAAGAAAATGCAGCTCTTCATTCTTCACCATTTGAGGAAGAAATTACTATTACCAAGGAAGAGTATGAAAGGCTGTGTTCTGCTAGTGGTGAAGTTACTGTCCTTAGGGCTCAGGTAGAGCTTTTGCAGGAGGAGATAACCAGCCTGAATGACTTCCAGGTAGATGAGTTAAAGCTGCATCATTGTGAGCCCATTGTTTGAATTGAATATTAATGATTTCTGTTTGATTCTAACAACTAATTGCCCTGTGCATTTGGCTACATTATTCCATAATGGGCAGTTTGAATTGAAGTTTGCATTAGTAATTACTAACCAAATAACTGAAGCAATTTCGCTTAAATTTTCTGTATTCACCTGCAGAAAAATTGTCCTCTCAACCTGTTCAGTAGTCAGATCTTGTTGTTCAACAGTTTTGCTTACTGAATTAAATTTTTAAGATCAGATCATGGTTTAATTGAAAATTTCTGAGAACTCCATCACACACACACACACACACACACACGTGATCATTTGCTCTGTACAGTACATATTATTTTTAGTTGATTGTGTGCTTTAGGAATTATGTACACAGAATTGGACTCTGTGTAAAAATCCTTACCTGATCATCACAATAATTTATTCTTTATTTGAATACTTCTACTTGGTTTTGTCAGGTATAACCGAGCTCAATATTTTTAATCCACATTTAATTATCGTGTCTAAATGACTTGCATTGATCATCACTTTAGCATTTTCATAATTTTCATCATCTTTCAAACCAGTCATGTTGGGATACATTTTTTGGTTTGTTTTACCCTCAAAATAAACCTCTATCATATTGCTAGCTTTTCTTTGAATTGTGAGATATAATGCTACTGTTTGGCAAGTACACTAAGGATATAACAAGAAAGCCGAGATGCTACAGAAACTGTTATGCGAGGAGAAAGTTTGTTATGACGGAAAATTTTGATTTGCTTTGCTTATGTAAGGCAAAACATGTGAGGAAATTAGAATGAAGGTAAGGATTGTAAGAGTGAGAATGAGAGTAAAGAGGGACTAAGCCTTATAATTAAAATAGTAGTATGGAGGCCTAGTCAGAGACCGCAGGGAACCTTGACCCTCAGAATAACCGCAAGGTGGTTAATAACTTTTCATGGTTAATAGTGGAGTACCACAAGGTTCAATTCTCGCAACATTAAAGGTCATCATCTATAGAAATGAACTTCCAGAAGGAATATCAGTAAACTGGAAAAGGTATATAGACATGCTAGTAAGTGGCTTCCAAAACTGAAAAACAAGAACTACAAGAGGAGGTTAGAGGTGTTAAATATGCAAAAGCTAGAAAATAGAAGAAAAAGAGGCAACATGATCACTCCGTACAAAATAGTAAAGGGAATCTACAAAATTGATAAAGAAGAATTCTTGAAAGCTGGAGGAACCTTAAGAACAAGAAGTCATAGATTTAAGCTTACTAATAAAAGATGTGGTAAGAACATTGGAAAGTTCACTTTTGCAAAGAGAGTGGTAGATGGTTAGAATAAGTTAAGTGAGAAGATGGTGGTGACCAAAACCATCAGTAGTTTCAAAACGTCTTGACAGAGTGCGGGGGAAAACGGGACACAATGAGCATAGCTCTCATCATGTAACTACAAGTAGGTAATTACCCACCCACCCCACCCCCTCCACTCACCACCATCACTGCACACACTCACACGAAATGCCATAAACATTATCCTGTCTGTGATCTACATTTTAGCTCATGCTGTCAAGAAGATTTTTGTTCTTGTAAAGTCTTGTGAATGTCCTCATTGTTCACCCTCAACTGTGCCACATTTTTTTCCTTGCATGCTGTGAAAACATTTTTATACCATTTTGCCTTTTCCCAGAGCACACTTCCTCTTGCTCTGACATCATATTATTGTCACCATTGATTACTTATGTTGCATCTCTCCATTTCATTTGACACTACTATACTGAAATCATTGTTCTTTACATGTGCAGTATTGTGTACTACCAATATTCAAGACATTTACTATTTTTCTACTGTACAGTATTTTGGAACTCATTGCTAATTCATGAACATCTGCAATTTTACGGTTGCAAATCTTGAAAATGCTTAAAGCTTAAGTTTTCTTAATTTTGTCCATTAGTAAGTACCAAATGAAATTGCACTGTGTCAATTGCTAAATTTGACAATGTACAATCATTGACTTAAGTTAATAGCCATTATTTCAATGAGTAAAAATGGTTTCCTAGATGCTAGAATTATTGCAAACTTGATACTGGATGAAACATTTATATTTTCTGTGAGTAATTAAGGTCATTTATTCATTCCAAAGTATATTTTCTATGCACTGTATACTATGTAAATTGTTGGCTTGAAATATCCATCAAAATGCTATGTAGGTTTGGGAGAAGACTTATAACTTAAAAACATTTACAGATTTACTGCATAAGTAATAAGATTCTTTGATGAACTTGGTTTTAAAAACCTAAACTGGTTTGCTAATTATTGGATCAAAGTTACTATTCACAAGTAACCATACCACTGATTTGTGTACCACACGAATTCAATTAGATCAATGTTAAAATTGTAATTTTAAAGCTTATTTTAATTTGAAAGAAAATTAACAGAATATTGTTATGAAGAAAACAAAATGATAGAGCAAGTGATATTCCCCACATGTAGGGTTTGGTTCAGAGACGTGTCCTTACTGTACTTTGGTTAACAGTTGTATGCATCTTTCATATCAAGACACTGACATGTGTCAGACTACCAACACTAGCAACAAAACATCAAATGTGTAGAAAGCCATATAGTCTATTATGACCTATAATATACAGTATATATATATAATTGATGTTAGCAACTTTGTTATTCTGAATCTGTCAGCATCAGATTCTCGTTCTTCTCCCCTGGATAACAAACAACATGAATCCTCTCTGCAAGGTCATGTATTGACATTGAAACAAGTTCATTGAGGTATAAATACACTCAAAAAGATGAGGTAGCTCAAGCTATTCTCACCCCGTTCAGTGCAACGTGTTCATATATGTAGACATGCATCACAAGACTCAACATATTACAGAACATTCTGAGTGATAAACATATACATTTCTTCCTTTAAGGTCATGTAAACTTGAGATGAGTCAGATGACCCATCTGATTGATACGTGAGCATATTTTTCTTGTCCAAGGCAAAATTAACTTGGGCTCAAATTCAGATATACTGTGCATGTTAAATACTTTTGGTGAATATTGACCTTACATGGCTCCAGTCACCACCTGCAATTTTATCCCATTTGATTTATGAACCACGGTATTTTTAGTCATGCTCAGTGTACTTTTAAATTGCTGCATAGTTAAGAGTGAAAGAATGGGTACTGGGACATTGAAAAGTATATAGAATTACCTATTCTTGGTACTGTATATGGACATCGAAGGCTTAAGGAATGCCAAGGAGCCTCAAATAATGCTTATATTACGTTACATTGCAAGCGTGTTGAATTGCAGGCGACTGTAAAGGCACATGACAAATCATTTGGGCATTGCATATGAGAAAACACAGTACTGTATTCTTAATGCAATACAAGTATGTGTACACATTATAAAGAGCTTCTTTTCCTTGTTAATGACACAAAAATCTGTAGTTGACTTGGCATTTTTATAAATGTTGAGGATTTTTAGATATGCTTGCTTCAATGAAGTGTATTATTTGCTGCTACAAGAAATAATACATTGTGCATCTTGTATAATCTGTCATGGCTGCATGTTGTGTTTGAGCTGTGTATCATAATTTATTGAAAAAGGTACAGTAATTGAATACTTACTTATACGTTGATTTTAACATATTGTTTTCAAAGCAAATCTTTTTAATTTTTTAAATATAAAATATACAGTAGTGTCAGTAGTAAAATACCTTACTGTACTTGATAAATTTTTTGTCAATAAGTCATTCTTTTTAAACAATTATCTTTATCTTATTCTGCTTTGTTAAGGCATTAGAAAACATGTTTTTAATAACTTTGTTCGATAGACAAGACTGGAAGAAGACTTCAAAGCTGCTCAAGAACTGTTAGAAGCTAGAGAAGAGGAGATTATGCAGCTATCAGATGAAATTGAAGACAGTGGGCCTTTACCTTTGCCATCAGAAACTCTTCAGATGCAAGACAAATATTTCAGGCTGGAGGAACAGGTATAAACCTTCTAATTGTAATGAAATCACTTTAATATATATATTTATATATACACTATACTACTACTACTACTATCAACACCTGACATAGAGATGGGGGAAGAAATACAGGGCTTTGGTTGATAAGTATGAGAAAAAAGCTTTATAAGCATTCCATTTTTTTATTTAGCATTAATAGTTATTAGTTAATTTGATAACTTATCTATACATTTCTTATTGTCATCATCAAATTTATTCTCTATAATACTGATGATGAATAGTCTGGCCTAATGTTATTCTTTAATTCCAGTGTATTAGTACAGTACTCACATTTTATAGGTTTGTCTCATAGTATGTTAGAGACTGTGATAACTGATATTGTATCCAGATTACAAAACTGTGCCTGAAGATTTCAATATTATTTTAAATATAATTTTTATTAATGGTTATTTATGTAGGTTTCAGAACTACAAGAAAGGCTAAGGGAAGCAACTGCAATCAACAGAGAATATGAAGAAGAAATGTTAAAACTTGATCTCAGAACCAAAGACTTGAGTCAAGAGATTAAAGAACTCCAAGAAAATATCAATTTACTTAGAAAGGAGATCAAACAAAAAGAAGAGCTACTTGATCAGAAGGAAAGATGTATGCAAGACATAAAAAATAAAATTGAAATAAATGCTGACCAAAATGAAAAGAAGCAGGTTAGTGATTAATGTATAATTGTAAAGGGAAAGGGGGAAAGAAAAATAAGGCTTTAAGCTTTTGTGATAATCTCATTGAGATAGTGAGGGTTGTATTTGAGAGGCTTGAGCAAGATCCCACTGTGTTCTTGGCCATGGATCTTGCCTGCATTTAGGGTGACATACAGGATAGTGCAACAGGAAATTTTCAAGCATCCTGACAAGTCATACTGTACTTATCTAAATGTATTTGTAAGGGATGAGCCACGGTTATTGGATACTGGCTCTTATGCATTAATCGACTGGTATTTAGGTTCCAAAGTCAGTTTGGCTCTATTTTATCTACATCTAGAACTGTGTTTGGAGTCTGCCTCCACCACTTTGCTTCTTAGCACATTTTATTTGTTCATTATCTTGACATTGATGAACTCGTGGAGAATTTTAAGTAGTGTTTTAACATGACCATCAGATGGTCATTCCACAAAAAAACAAAGCCCTTCGAAGCTCTCACTTACAATGACAGGTGAGATGCTAAGAAGGGCTCTAACTACCAGCTGGGTATCCTGGTTCATCCCACCACTCAGGACCAGATTGCATTACCTCTCACATAGGCTGTGATGGCTATGTGGCATTGGGGGCTATAAAGACCTCATTGACCAGGTAATCACAATGAAAGGCTGGCCCCAGGCTAGGCAGCAAAGTGAGAAGTACTGTGAAAATAGTCAACAAGTAATCTAGAGGGACCTGATTCAGATGCATCCAAATTCTGCTTGAAACCATATAATATTTAGTTTCATGTTTTCTGGTGATTGTTTGTCAGTTTTCAGTTGATTTTGAATCACCATGCTTCACTTGCAATCTAGAGGGAGTCTTATTGTGGTCTTGGTTCCCATTAGGGAAGGCTGGGTCTTAGAGGTTTGGTGCATCTTCCCAAGGCTTGGCTGGACCACCACTTAACAATGGGTAGCTACTTAAGACCCACTGGAGAAGTGTACTTAATTACATTCGATGCTTGATTTTTGTTCTCACAAACTTAGTGACCCATATTTCTTGTTTATTTACCGCTACATTGATTTTTAGAGTATAAATTTCTTTGTTAATATTAAGTGTCTATACTCAAAACAGAAGGAGCTTCGTAATGAGGTCAAATTTCTTCATGAACAACTGGAACGGCTAAAACAGCAGCACATAGAACATTTGGCAGCTATGCAGCTGAAGACTGAGGAAGTTGCTCAGCTCTCAGCCCAGCTGGATCTGGTGCACTCTGAGATGCAGGAGAGATTATCTCACAGCAACAGAGATATGGCACAGCTAGAGCAGCAGTACCAGAAGGAAATTTCAGGTGCAGTATTCTATATTGTTTATGTTGTTGATTTAGGGGCAACGACGATCGTGGGATCAAATGCGCCCCTCTATATTGTTTATAGTATGTGTAGGTTTAAGAGTTCATTAACAAATTGATAAATACCTTTTGCGATCATTATAAAAATTCTTTAGCACTTAAGGATCCAGAATGTCCTTAGTATGAGGAGCCTACCCAAGAGAAAAGGTCACTGGGGGTCTAGTGAGCCAAACATGTCAACACAAATGATTCCTAACAAACTCTTGGAGTTTGAAGACTGACAGCATAATTTCTAGTAGTTACTTAGTTAACTTAATTATTGCGTAGGCTTGGACCATATTCATTATACCTATTCAAATTTTGGAGTCGGTTTAATTTTTGGATAGCTAAGCTGGAAATATTAATAAGGCTGGGAGTCTTATTAATATTTCCAGTATCTTCAATAAATGTTATTACTTTCTCATGTAATTTTTTTGTTTGTCTTCTTTTAACCTTTTGATAGTAGTACTGAGTGTATTGACAATTTTGTGAATTTAAATGAGATTTGTGACTAGACTTGATGTGTTTTGCTTTAAAAGTTTATGATAGTTCACATTTTTTTTTTTAAATTAAGGTGAATTACAGATGCCTTATCAATTTTCTACATTTCTAGATTTGAAAGAAGAACAGATACTTCGGGAAAAGCAGCTATGTAGTGACTATGAGGAACGAATGGCAGCTCAAGTAAGTTTCCTCTGTTGGTTTCACTGTTGAATGTCTTGGGCAAGAGAAGGTTATCATACTAAGTATTTTTAGAATTTGCAGGAATAATGAATCTAGTAACAACATCATATACTGCACAGCTGTTTGAGGAGAAAGTTTTGTTAACTAATATTTCTCTCAAAAATTGTTACCAATGTACACGGCCAATTTTGGTGCTATCTTCATGTTGTACAGCAGGGTTACTAGTTCACCTATTGTAATGTTTTAAACTTCCATATGTTTTCCTGTTTCAGGTTTCCCTGGTACATTGCTATATTGATGGCTTTTTTACATTATAGGTGAGTGACTTATCAGTGAAGCTTAGCAAAGACAAAGAGGAAGCAATTGCACGACTGCAACATTTCTACACATCTGCTTTGCAAGAGTCAAACAAGGAAAAAGAGCAAATCCAAAAGGAGCTGCAGGATCAGCTTCAGAGGGGAAATTTGTGTAACCAGAGCCAACAAATATGTTAGTAAATAAGTTATTTTTTATGTATATATAACTAGACCCACCCAGACCCACCCAGGACAGACTGTGTGCTAGACTCGAAATAACTTTACACTTCAGAAGGAAATGTACTTACTCAGATTGTCTTGACCCCCAAAACAGAAAAGCATGAAGCTTACTGGAGAGCATACCTCAGATACTTAATACTTAGACCACAAGCTCATGCTTGTGGTCAAACAAGGTGCCATAGGCATAATCAAAGAGCACTGTCGGAACATCAGAGGTCTACAACTGTTCAATATCCTCCCCAGCAAGCATTAGAAATATTGCTGGAACAAAGGTGGAAGTCTTAAAAAAGCATTTAATTCGTTAGTTTAGTTCTTGCAAGAAGTGCCAGACCTATCAGGTTGTAGAGGATGTATGGGCCTGCAGGCCACTTCAAGCAACAGCCTGTTGGATCTAGTTGTCACAAGTCGAGCATGACCCCAGGGCCAGGCTTGGGGGAGTAGAACAACTTCTGAAACCTTTTCCAAGTATGCACTTTAGGTAATCCAGACTGTAGTAACTGCTTGCAATGACAGAGAAACCCTTCAAACTATTCAAAACTCCAATGTCATTACCCCTTGTAACTTTGGGTGAAATGAAACTCACTTCTGCACAAAGTATGCATGAGTGGACTGGGCTTAAAGTGGGAGTTGCCAGCTCTGCCAACATTGTTAGTTGTGACACATTATCATTAGTGGCACTCAATTAATATTAGTGAATTCATAATTAATAGTGTTAGCATATCTTTCTAATTATCACTTGCAGTGGAGCATTAACGGTGTTGCTCCTTTTGTTTTATAATAAGCTGGTTCTTCAGTGATTGCCTTATTATACTCTCCAGTGTTTCCCTTCTCTTAAATCGTGGTAAGACTATTTTAAGAGTTTTGTCATGGATGGACAAGGTCGACCAAAACTTATGGATTATGAGTCCTGGGTGGAGAACCACAAATGTTCTGGCTTGGAACATCTGAGGTATCAGTTAAAAAAAAGTGTGTTTTGTACTATAAGTTTTCCCTGCTATTGATATCAGTGCCCATAATAAAAGTATGTCTAGATATTTACATCTTTATCGTACCCTCATGCTTAATGTCAAATATGAAAGCAAAGTACAGGTACTGTGTTATATTTTCTAGCTCGTCTGTGTGACTTTGATGGACTGAGTGCTGGAGGAAATCAGGACCTTGACAAATTAAACTATTTGGACAACTCTCTGGTATCATATGTCAAGGATGGCCATGCTAGGGCTGATGCAGAGCAATCTACAAGAGCATCTAGTGCTGTCAGTGACATAAGTGATGGAGATGAATCTTGTGATGTTGCAAGCAGAGTCCAAAGAGTAATGAATAAGGTTCACAAGGATGGCATAGAGGTAATATAATTTGCATTGTCTTGTCATTTTCCGCTTGTTAGTAATTTTACCATATCTATTCTGTATTGTGGATATAATAGATTTAATTTGTTATTGGAATTTTAATAGGAGCTAAATTTTCACAATTTTTCCAGATGCTAACGTTGATAGATCTAATGTTCCTGCAAAAACATCAAACGCATTTGGATAGCAGTCAGAAATCTCTTATAAGTAGGAGTGGATTGATAGCTTCTGGACCAGCAGATGGTTCCATTGCTGACTTGCAGGAAAAGTCATCACAATATGACCATGCTAGAAGTGAAGGCATTGTGTCCACAGGAGAAAGGACACAGTTACTTCGCCGCATGGCAGCTTTGGAAGAGGAGCTGAGTAAAAGAGATCAAGAGATGACGACAAAGGGTTAGTAAACATTTTGAGTTTGCTTTATATAAATACAGAATAGTCATTCACCATGGCACAACAGTCTGTTTCTATGCACTGAAATAACTAAAACTGTTGAATTCTACATTGTAAAATTGTATTGTATTTGGGCAAGATATTTAGAATCTTCAGAAATTGAAAGGAAATATTGACCAGACCACACACTAGAAGGTGAAGGGACGACGACGTTTCGACTTGAGAATGGTCCAGGACGAACCGAAACGTCGTCGTCCCTTCACCTTCTAGTGTATGGTCTGATCAACATACTTTACCCACGTTATTGTGACTCCTCGCCTGCATTTGAAAGGAAATATTGTTATAAAGGTAGTAAGGTTTGTATCAATGTTTATACTGGCGTGTTGTTCTTAATGTGCGTGTTGCAGTGTTTGTAGTAACCTCGTAGGCCATTTGTTACTATATAGTCACAGCAGCCTAGGTCACTGTGTATGGCATATTTAATTTAATTTAAATTTGTTATTATAACTGTGTCAGTAAAAGTTTTTTATTTAGCATTTATATTTTTAATTTCCCCCTTAATGAATTCTGTTTTCCCCATAGTGTTTTAATTTGATTTTATTCTGTTAGCTTCTAGACTTCTCTAGGAATGTTTCTCTGTAAAATAAGGACCTTATTGCAAGTCTTTAATCAATCCTCTAATTAAATGTTTAGAATTTTTGTTTTTGCCTAAACTGTGCTTTAATGGCTCTGAATCTCTAAATGAAAGCATATCAAATTTGTCTTTATAGTTGGCTTGAAAGAATTTCAATTGGAACAAGAGATGATGTCTGCAAATGAATGGAAATTGTCATTTGAAGCTGAAAAAAAGAGAACTAATGAGTTGATGGACCAATTAAGGGAGGAGAAGCTAGCTTCAGTAGACCAAGTCTCGGAACTGACATTTCTGCGCTCACAACTCTTTATTCTACGCCTCCAGCTTCAGAAAGCTCAAGAGGAAAACAACAGTTTTAGGTAAGTGAACGAACTTTTGAATAACAGTATAAAGTGAGAGACCAATTGGGAGGTAGTGAATACAGGAAGGCTTTTTAATACTTATTCATGAATACTGGTGTACATACATACTATATAAGATAATGTAGTGTTATCTGGTCCTTGAAACATACTCTTGGAAAGTTTTTATTTTATTTTACAAGATTATATCAGCTTTATTGTTAATAAGCATTCATAAGCAAGCATTCAAGGCTTTCATAAGCATGTGTCTTAAAATTAAACAGTAGTGTTCTGTTCTTTTAACTATCAAACTCCATACAGGCATGCCTAGTGGAAACCCACTCTGAACTTACTAGTCATATAGGCACTAAGAGTTGGTGTGCTCTTGAAACTGTGAACCATCTCTGGCTCATGTTCAGTATTACTCTCATTTCATACAAGTATTTCCCAACATTTATCTGGCTCATCTGTGTTTCCAGTTTGCAACTGTGCCCCCCCCCCCCTCATTCTTTTGTCACTTACCCGGAACAGATTATCCAGTTAGTCTATTCTTATCTTTCGTTCTTATGGTGCCATAGCTTTGAACTTCCTCAAGTTACTACTTGTGCTGGTATGGTTGTTCGGGATGAATCATTACCGTGCTGGTATGGTTGTTTGGGTTAAATGAATTTATAATAGTGGTAAAGGTGTGGACAGGTGAACATCAGAGTAAGAATAAAGGGAAAAGACAAAGAATGAGGACATATGTGTAGTGTCTTAGAATATATGTTGTTACTAGGGCTAAGTAGAAAGCAGTTTGTTCGGAGAAAGTTCATAATTTCATTACTTTAACAATTACCATTGATAATGAGGTAACCTAATATCTCTAATAACCTAATATCTCTAATAACCTAATATATATGAGAGATCTCTGAAATAACCAGGATAATGCAATGGATATTTTGGTGGGGCAGCATTGCTATGGATACATTTAACTCTCTCTTCCTATATCCTTCTTTGAGAGCGGTTTCACTTCATGAATGTTGTGGTGGTGCTGTGTTCATCATTTATTTTGTTTGCTAGTTTCAATATGTAATATTTTAAATTTCAGTGAAAATGTGGACAGCCTTAAAAAGGAGATAGAGACACTCAAAGAATCTTTGCAGGCAGAGCGTAATAATTTCAGTCATGTTTCAAAAGTTCTCAGTCAGCAGCGACGGTTGGCAGCAGTGACACGAACTCAACAGGACAATGTCATAAAGGTAATTATTCTTCTAAGTAGAGCTGGCTAGGTTGCCAGCCTATCTAGAGTACCAGAGATCATCAAGCTCGGTCCAGAAATGTTGGAAATTCTTGTTTCCTGTACATTATGACTTGCTTTTTGGTATAAAATAAAACATTTAAGGTATTTAAATATTTTTCTGTGTAGCTCTTCAGTAGTTCCCTGGGCTTATGTGGGCACTAGTTTGCTAGGGATGTACTGGGCATGCCAGACAACTAGGATTTGTTTCTATCCACTGGCAACAGATAACATGTGGAACAACAGCCTATCACATAAAAACACCATCATAATGACAAAACCCAAAAGGGCAAAGATGTCGAGATGGACCCAAGGGTAAAGAGCCTGGAAATTGACACCAATCTCTAAGCAGAAAGACAACAAAAGTAAACAGGACAGAGAGAGAGAGAGACTCGGCCTGCAAACTTTAGAGTGAAATGCCCTCCAGGTGTTGACAGTCTAGTGATTCCCAAAAAGGCAAAGATAGTAATAAAACATGAAGCTGGGAATAAATGTACCAAAGTCTGGGCCTGACCATCCCAAAACACAATCTTGAAAAATGCATATTCCTGAAAAGAAGCAAGATATGGGGCAAGCCCTGGCAGCTGTTCTGGGTTAGGTAAACAAAGCAAAAAGCCAGTTAGCTGGCCTAGGTGAAGGTAAGCTGATCCCAGCAAACTCTTAAAATATCAGAACAAGTTGTGCACAGTTGAGAACAGAACACTCCTGGCAACAGGGCTCAGCCTGGCATACCAATAGTGACCCTTGAATTTCAGTTTCATTAGCCAAAAGAAACCACTGAGACACTGCCAAGAAATGGTAATTTCCTTACATTCAATGCTCTGCTTGTTTCAGCTGTTTTCTTCTTTTTGGCAGAATCATCAATTTATTAAAGACTTGTGTTAATTTGTCTTAGTTATGTTGCTTTGTTGGTCATTGGTAATTGTGCTGTAATATGTTTACAAGGATTAAAAAAAAGACAAATAAAACCTCAGGACTTCATTAAGAGGAAGATGTAAATAATTCATTATCACTATTTTCATGCTAAACTTCAGTGTGTGTGTGTGTGTGTGTGTTACTGTGATTGAATTGTGATTAAGTAATTTATGCAAGTTCAGATAGTGTATTCATTAGCGGCCCTGTTCTTTGGTATTGCAGGATCTTCGTAATTCTCTTGATAAAGAACGCGAGAGAAGTTTGGTCCTTTACTCAAATGAAAGATCTGAAAGAACCTGCATTACACCAAGAGCTATGGAATCTGATAGAATTCCCTCTGGAATTAAGGACAGTCGTTCAACTGGAAGACCTACTTCTGAAGATCTCAAGGTTAAAGAAATTACTGTAGTTCATATTCTTATAGAAATGCTTAGCAAAATTCCAAATTCTATTATTTTAGTAACTATAGTGTGAAATATATTTTGTTCTTATACAAGATAAAAATAAATATATTATTTAAAGGACTATCTTCATCAGCTCATTTGTTATAAAAATATCATAAATTTTCTGCTTTCCTGAACAACATCAGATTGTCTTCACTATAAAAATTACTGATGACAGCTCATTCCATTTTTAGCATTTATATGATTCAAGAGTATGAAACTATCTCATTTCACTTATATTATAGAGATTATAGTCATTGTTAATTGCTTGATTTTTCTGTTAGAAACACTGACACAAAAAAAATCATAAATAATTATACATTATACTGATGAAAGTATGTTATTTTTATGAAGATGCAGTTGGCAGTCGAAAAGGAGCGTTTTACAGAATTACAAAGGTCATATGAGAGGGAGCGTCTTAAAGTTGTGACCCAGAATGAGCAAGCTCATGCTGAAAGAGCACGTGCCCGAGTTGATCTAATGGAAGAACAGGGAAAATGTGCAGAATTGACTAAAACTGTCAGGAACTTGGAAATGGAAAAGGATGCCCTAATGAGACAGGTAAGAGAATACTCCAGTTTATTTTTATTTCACGAGTTATTATTGGCAATATTTGTTGCTTCCACTGTTTTTATTGCTAGTATATATTACATTTTTTTATTACCATACTATATTTTATTGTTTGTATAAAAACTATATTATATAGTATAGTTTTTGATTGCATCATAGTATCCTGTTTATTATAGGATACTATGATGACCACAGTGAGTAATGACTTTAGTCAATCTGCTTCCACTAGTTTCATAATAATAGTGTTTTGACCATTGAAGCAACCTTAGGCATAAAACTTATCACAAGTTTAAATAGGTACAACTATAAAGCATGTCATTTGTACTAAATATAATTATCACATCCATTCAACTTTATTGGGAATGAACTCAAAAGTATCATAATATATTATTATTAATATAGAGCTAGTTGCAGAACGACAATGACGTGCAACATGATAGTACCTTACCATTCAGCGATCAGTGCACAACAACAGTGGGCCAGGGAAACTAATGAGCTAAACTAACCAATTCTGTTTTATTGTATATAAAGTTAAGTTACCCAACTACATCAAGATGTTTACATTGACACAATGGAAATCCCTGCTTGATACTAACAATGCTGTTTACTTGTGCACTACAGCTTAAGTTGAAAACAAACTGGTCTATCTTTGGTACAGACATCAGGAATGAAAATAGATGGAATAACTTTCTTGTAAATGCTGTATCTCGGTAAATTTAGAAATGGATTTGTAGTCTGTCATTTATTTTATATCATTTATAAAATCTTACGTTAAACTTTTCACATTTGGAGTATAAGACTGTGACATTAAAGCAAAAATAAAAGTTAGAAAATATACGGAGCATCATAAGAATAAAATTGGGCAACTCTGATCTCCATATAACTTGAATGGAGATCTACCCCAATGGATACAAATTATTGAGCAATCTATGGTGCTGAATTTAAAGAATGGTATTCATACCTAAATTTTATTTTAATACCATTGTCAGATATATTCTAAGGTTTGTATTTTTATAGTTAGTGAATATACATGTACAGTACTGTATTGACATCGGTTCACCGTCCACAGATGAGTAGTGATCGAGAGCGTTTACAAAGTCAAGAATCACGCATCCGAGTGTTAGAAGGAGAAATAAGGAAGCTTGAGGGTGATTTAAGAGCTCAAGCAGATGCACACCAAATTGCATCTCACAGAGTCCGTGATGAAGATACACAGCTTCACATATCATACACACGCACACTAAATAAATTAGTGAGTATAATTTTAATTTTAAACTAAATTTTAAAAGTAAAACATATAAAAAAGCTTGTTTTCTGGCTTGGCCTCCTTTGTAGCTTCCTGGAGCTTAAGGCACTAGTATACTGTTTTTCTTTACCTTACATTGTGATCGTAGTGCTGGTTAGTGTGACTTGTGATGTGACAATCATTTTAGGAGATATGTAGTGAGGAACAGTGGTGAAATTTATGAAAACATGAATTGTGATGCTGGATTTTTATATTAAGATGCACCTTTATCTTAGCCATTTTCTCAACAAAATAAAAAGTGTGATTATTTTTCATATAATCATCTCAACAATTTGTTGTCCAGATATGCCTGACCATTTGGCCTCAAATTTTATGATTAATTATGTTGGAACTGATGCCAACCAGTATTTCTGGTGGATGTCAAAGCTTACATTGTAGCTGGCATTTTGGAGGATTGCATCCCATTTGAGCAGGAGTATGGTGCATTCTGATTTTGCTAGCCGTAACTTTTTTTTTTTTTTCACAGGGAGAGGCAGAAGCTGAGCTCTGTACACTGCGTCACAAGCAGAGAACCTTGACCAAAGATTTAGAATTAGCTAGAGAGAAGGAAGAGCAGCTACAGAAAGAACTTGCAACAGAAAAGATGGCTATAAATAGACTTGGACTTCCTGCCTTAGCAAGGATTAATGTAAGATTTTCACTTTGTAATTGGGCGTGTCTAACTTTTTTGAGAGAGTGAGTGAAGGAATGAATAGCATTAAATTGATTATAAAATAATAATAATAAAAATGGACAGGTGAGAACTTATTAGGTATTATAGGTACTGTATATTTATTCATATTTCTCTACATAGGAAGTTGTAAATCTATGCAGTTTTGTTGTAGGCAGCATAAGATCAAATGTCTAGTTTCATATCTAGTATTAAAACTTTATTGGAAAATTTTATATTGTATTTTAATTATTGATAAGTAATTATTTTAATTACTTGTGTGCCTCCCAGAAAGAGGTACTTCATTGCACTCACTGCCGTATTTGTATCCCCCGATTTTCACAATCATTGTTTTTGACACCATTCCACAAAGGATCCTGGTTTTGTATTTTGCCTCTTTAGTATTTATTGTTAATCTAGGGCTTTTAGATGTTCAAGTTATATTTGTCTTTACTGGCTAATCTTGGATGAAATTGTATATTAACTGTATTTTCATTTACAGAATCTTGATGAGTATTTTGAACTGCAGCTTAAAGAAAATCTGGAACTTTGTAAGTCTGTATTACGATTGACTGACGACCGCCAATCCATGAGGCAAAAAATTCACAGTCTGGAGAATACTGTAACTGATCTCACTGGACAGCTTGCTGAAGCAAAAGCTGTAAGTCAACCAACTCTTCCTCTCAGTATTATGCATATTTATACTTGTTCCTAATAGGTATATCCTATGTATTTTGTTTTTCTTAAAATATTTTGTAGTGTATGTCCAATATCAGGAAAATGTCTTCATGTATAAACTCAACTCAAACAATTTGTACAGTCAAGATCCGTATTATTGTTGAGTACATGTGTAGCCACTGGATGATAGATTAAAAAAATGTGTGATTGAAGAGGGGAAAAAGGTTTAGTGAAGGGAAAAAGGAAAATGAGCAAGTATAATTGTACCAAAATTTGGGCATATGTAGGGGCAGAGTGCTCAAGATTTCAAATGGTAGAAACAAGTTGTTGATAAAACCATGTGTGTGTGTGTAATTACAGGATAAGAGCTATGCTTGTGGTGTGGTGTCCAATCTTCCCAATACTCTGTCATATAACACTTTGAAATTACTGACAGTTTTGGCGTCCACCATCACCACATTTAACTTGGTCCAACCATCTTCCACTTTCTTTGCAAAAGAAAACTTTCTAATATCTTTTTGGCACTTTTGTTTCCTTAGCTTGAATTTGTGTCATCTTGTTCTTGAAGTTGCTGGCTTTAAGGAATTCCTCTTTGTCAATTGTGTGTGTGTGAGGATGGATCTAGGAGTGAGGAAGCATGTACGAGAAATGGTATGAGTAAGAGTCTTGTTGAGTATTAGTAGATTGTCTTAGATTCATTTAATGAGAATGGAATTCAAGGGCAGAATAAAGGGATTATATGGTAAAGACAGCTGACCAGTTTCATGGCATGGAAGAATGGAATAATAAATGATAGTAAGGATGGGGAAAGGAGTCAAGAGTGCTTGAAAGATGTGTGTGGTGACAGAGCCTTGTGGAGAAACCTCTGCTGTGGCACCCCCTAATTGAGAGCTCCAGGGAGGGAGCAAGTGTATGGGATATAGATATACTGCACCTTACAACCTATTATTTATTTCCACAGGCTCTCGGTAATAATCCTAGAACAGAAAAAATGCTTAAAAAGGAACGTTCAATATGGGAAAGAGAGAGAATCTCTCTGCAAAAAATAATTTCACAGAAAGAAGGTGAAGTAACAAAATTGCAAGAAGCGTTATACAGGACCACTCAAAATGTCAACAATACTCAGTTACGGGATGAGAGAGTAAGAAACATTAGACTATTCAGAATTTATAATAAAACTTGTATGTCTATATATAGTTTGATAAAACACTTAAAATATTTTATGCCAAAAAACTTCATAGTTTGTAAATTGAAGTGATAATTAAATATGATCTTTGAACATACAGGATTTAGAACTGCTCAGTATTTTGTTTATTAGTGTTAAATTTGTACTGTAACTTTTCAGATGCAGCATATTTATGGGAAATATATACAATCCGAGCACTGGCGCAAGGCATTAATTTGGCAAAAGCGATACCTACTTGTAGTTATAAAGGGGTACAGAGACACCGAGCATGACACCTTATCTCGGCTACATACCATGGCAAGTAGAGTTAATGGACCTGTCAGAAGTGAAGCAGCAGAAGCCGTATCTAGTTCTAGAATACACAGATTCAGGTGCGTGCATGTTATGTATTTAAAAAAAATACATGGATGATATTTAATTTTGGTTGAAATTAATTACAACAATTCTTGAGTACAGAGTATTTAACTAAGTTATTAAAAGAAATTTGTTAAAAGAAGCTGTTTAATATTTCAGGGTTGGAGTTTTAGCAGTAATTGCAATCTGTCGGATGAAGAATATGATTCAAAGGTATCGGCAGAAGAGACAGCTTGGATTACAGTTTCTTTTCCCTACTTCTCACGCGGCATTTACCATCACATCTGCTCAAGGTAAAATAAATTTTAAATACCATATACTGTGTGTTTAAATTGGATACACGTATTTAATACAAACCTTACCTAGATCTTGTACTGCTACTTTTTTATAACTATTTGCTTCTGAAATCCTTTCTTGACAGTATAGTGTCAATGAGTTTTCCAGTGAGTTTCAATATTTCAGGTATAGATATAAAAGTACTTTGTAGAATCAAAAGTATAGTACTTTATTTTATCTCAGTTTTAATCAATTATTCTTTTTAACAGCTACTCTTCCATGAAGTAGTGGTCACATATATAATCCTCACCAGACACATAACTACTTTTAAGAGATTTAAAAGCAGTTAAAACCTTTCCAATAATTCAGTATTCAGTTTGGTTACCAAAGCAAACTGGCACTGGTAAACACCATTATCTTGCACTGATTGTCAACCAAAATTCTCCTTCAGTGAATTGGTGACAAAGGCTCTGGATATACTAGGAATCTTCTCCAACACTACCAATATTCATCAGCATATGACACAACACTCAATGAGTCGAGTTCCAACCCTCACCCTAAATGCTACAAGCCTCACTACAGAGCAGACAGTCAATCCTGCCCTTTTTAAGTTGTCTACTCTAACCCCTCGTCCTTGCTCTCTGCTCCCACCCTCATTTGAGCTCTCCTCTCTCAACCCCCCCCCCTCCCCTTTGAACTCGTTTTCTGTCATTCTCTCCCCCCCCCCCCTCCCTTCCTTCTCATTCTTCTTTGAGATCTCCACTACCAACTTCACTCAAGTTCTCTGTTCTCAGCTCCAGGCCTTGCAGAAGCCCTCTGCTTTTGGCCACCTTCATCACTCACATCCTACCTGACTCCACCAGCAGCACATAACAAGCATCCTCATCTCAACTTATCTTGACATGCCTTCCAACTGTTGTAGTCTAACTACAGTACTGTATATTAAGTAAACATAAAATCTGCCATACTCTTTGAATGTTGTCACCCAAAACTGTATGTTACAGCATCGGTATGAGAGAGCGTCGGTGTGTGAGAGTGAGGGAGAACAATGGGGGGTGGAGTTATGATATGGAATAGTATTCATTTAGGGAATTACTTATAACTTTTCTATGGTATTTATCTACCATCATCCTAATGTTCAGGAGAGGCTTCCGAAAGCAGCAGGCCGGGATCATCTGATCAAGTTGTAGCTGGAGGAAGCCGAAACTCTATTACTGGTCTGACTCCTCCTACCAAAGGACCATCAGATATCCCTAATATGTTGTGGTCTGCACCTTCCTCCTCCCGCAGGTACAGTATTGTTTGTTTGAAGGTACAGGTACAGTGCTGTTATTTCCCCTTACGCTTGAAAGTACTGTATTGCCATTTACCCCTATATTTGAAAGTATTGTGTGCAAATATTTTAACTGTAGCTACATATGCATGTCTACAGAGATGTGGACTGTATTCATTATTTTTGGAGATAAAGTGGCATTCTGACTTCAATTTATCCCCCATCAATTTATATTGTAGTTATTATGTTAACCTCAAATTTTGCTACAGTGTACCTCTTAATAAACTTACATATTATGTTAAGGACCTGCCCGAAACGCTATGCGTGTTAGTGGCTGTGCAAGTGTGTAAAAACACCATTGTTATGTACTTTCACAAACCCAATGTACCTTCTTGTATATAAAAAAAAAAGTGAAAATAGTCACAAGCAGAATAATTATTGTTTGAAGTGGTAAGGAGTTGGCCAGTGTCATCCCTTGATGGTACCCCCCAATTTGCTATTTATGCACTATGCTTAAAAAAACTGAAATTCAAAAAAATGAAAAATGTGATTTTCTGTCATTTCAAGGTATATGACACATTTTAGCATCATCAGAACATTTACTGTCAGAATATAGATGACATGTTTTAGTGTCATCAAAACACAAAAGTGTTTAATTTACAGATTTACAGATGTTTGCCACTAGGAAGGCTCCAGAAGTAAGGCAATCAAGCTACAAACACATGATGAGAGTTCAACATAGCATCATTGAAAAACACAAAAACACAGGGGAGACATGATTACAATGTACAAAATATTATAAGACTTGGACAAAGTGTACAAGAATAATATTTTAAATGAAAAATAAATCTTGAGTATAGTCGTAAAGCGATAAATCTATCTAATAAACATGTCGTTTTTCAAATTGGACAGATGATTATAAATAGGCACAAGTGGATGTATAAGTCAACTCCCTAGAATTGCTTTTGAAGAAGTACAGTATATACAACAGAACACTGGAAATTGGTGTAGTTGTGCTAGGAAATTGGTAGAATGCTGATAGCTAAGAGGCAGGGCTCAGGCTCTGGAGGCCTCTTCCTGTAAACACACCTCGCTAAACAATCTCTTGTACATTTCTACATGCTACATTTATTATTTGAATTTTATAAAGATAGCAAAGAAATACAACTGTTAGGACTAATGATGGAATCTGAAAACTTTTAGTAATTTATTAATGAAATATTTGTTTTTTATAGTGTTCAAAACCCTAACAATGTTCTGACTTAAATATATGAATATCTTATTTGCAGGAGCCTGTTCCATGAGGAAGAATCCCCCAGATTAAATGAGTATATTGAAAGGCTCGACAATATCCATTCTGTGCTGGGTTTAAATTCAAAGAATATTTAAAACTGCTTTAGTTTTGTGTATAAATTATCTAAAAATCTAAATGAAAAATATATATACACTTGAATTTTTTGAAATACTAGGTGTCTAAATGGGACATTAGTGGAGTGGGGACCCTTTTTATGTCAGTTCTCTTAGAATCTGTGCCATTAAGCTACTGTATATTAATTTTAGATATACTGTAGCAGTTAAGAATTGAAACCAAAGTCATAGATATTAAATGCTGGATAGGTAGTTAATTCATGGCTCTCATAGAAAGTAAGTTGTTATTGCCACACTGGATTCTCTGTGATTACATGTTTGTTATTTTTAATCATACATGTGATTTAATTGTAACTTAGGTGTCAGGATATTAATTTGTTTCTAGTTGTCATCATCACATTATAGCTAAATGCTTTATTCATGAAATATATGACTACTGTACAGTGTATATATAATGTCTTTAGAGATGCACCTCATTTGTAGTTCAAATTAAATCTTGGATAGTCACACCCCGAGTAGAGTTGTCATGTGTTGAGGGATTACAGTCGATGACTACAATAACTTCTCGGTCATTGCATACTCAGTATTTCTATTTGATTCTATTTATTTTTTTAAATTATAATGATCGAATAGCTGACGTGTAAGTTATGCCTATGATTACTTGTGCTATTGAATAACTTAAAGTTCTATGATGTGGGAATTGATATTTTCACTATCTGATGTACCTTCTGTATAGACTTTTAAGAATGATATGGATTAAAGTATGATTCGGGGGTAAGATTTTTCACATGAACTTGGCATTACCTTATATAAGCAATAAGAATAGTAAGGAAAGCTGCTACAGTAGCTACCAATTTTTCTGCTCTACTCTGAAATCAAGTTAGATGACGCTAGTTCTGCGTTCTTCATTTTTAAGAATGATTATCTAAAAATAAATATGTAACCTCTGCAGTTTGAGATTGAAAATCCGTGGTTAAATAATATATGTCAGCTTAAGTATAATTTACAGTACAGACTTTATAGACCATTTTCTGGCTTTCTGACATACATTGTTATAAATATAATGGGAGCATAATAAAAGACAATGTATTATTCAAGGTTGAATTGTTCCCCAAATTTTCTCTGAAGGAGGACTGACTTTTATGCATGTGTTGCCAAGGTTGTTTTTATGTCTAAAAGAAACATATCTTTTAATTCTAGAGAAACCAGTGAATGTGCCTGGTTCATTGCATGAACATGTCAAATTTTATAGAGCTTCCATTTATATATTTTAGAGATGCAAAGCTTTCTTTTTATGGCGGAGCTTCCTTTTTTGTTATGAAATATCAGATTTTATCTGTACAGTGTGCGCATCACTAGTCTTCGGTATTTAAGGATTACTTTTTTATATACTACATTATGTATTCCATGTAACCCAGATCATGTTAAGCCTACACAAAGGCCATTTTTATAATCCTGTTTATTTAAAAATCCTACAAATAAAATTTTATGGATATACTGTAGTAATTTTATTAACCTGTGATTCAGAATAAAAATATTTATTTTCTCAAATGCCTTTGGGTAGACTCCTCAGTTTTTAGTTGTCCCTAACTTAATAATTGACTCATTATATTTCCCTAGTTTCTTCTACATATAGTTGTTGTTGAAGTTGAATTTATCAGTCTGAAAATAGAGGCACATGTGTGACGATGTATATTGAATTTTGTAACTAGCTCATCAAGATTGTAACTTGCTTAGCTAAATGAATTGTGGGGTTCAGTCCCTGAGCCCATTATGTGCCTCTGTAACCCTTTCCACTACCGCCCACAAGATGGGTATGGGGTGCATAATAAATGAACTAAACTAACTTATCATATGCCTTAGCTTACATGGCCACCATTTTCGGAACTTCCGTTAGTATTAGCTGACCAATCTAAGCTTAGTGAAATTGAAAGTCAGTGGCGCCTACTGTTAACCATTGACTAGTCCAACATTTGTAAGGGACAAATTCCGACATCTGAATCGTCATTTTAGACCAAGACAATAACTGTCAAGAACACTGCTGGCGATCCCATACTGATTGACCTCGCTGAGTTTGTGTTGAAAATATACAGCTTGCCGATCAGTAATGCCCCGGTTGAACGGATATTTTCGAGAGTAACGTCTATGAAAACTAAACTGAGAAATCTTGAATGGGAATGGGACTTGAGCTTTTGACATCAGTCTTGAGAATCAAAACATATCTTGAAGAAAATGTAACTTGTTGCTCGTCATTTGAACCACCCATGTCAATGCTTAAATATGAGTCTGCAATATACAAAAACGAGGTTGTGGATGCAGATCAAGATCTTGGTAATCTTCAACTGTAAAGATGTGGAAGGACTTCACACCCATTAAGCTTCAAACAGTAAATATTGGTAAGTTATCCTATTATCATATTGGTTAAATATATATATGCAGAGATAATGTTAATAAAACAATTAAAATCGTTTAATGTACTCTATATATCATAATAGATTACTTTGAAACCCGTATCAGTCACTAAACAAAAAATTGGGCTACTCTTATTACACATTCGTTACTTTTAGACCGTTAGCTCGCTACTTTTAGCAATTTGAATTTGGCAATCCTGATTCAGAATTCGGCTCAAAAATCACGCTCAGGAGTCAAATTTCGGACATTTCAAATATTTTGAAAACTGCAGGGGGGTTTGGGCAAAATATGACCCATTGCCGTTTTCAGTAATTGGCATATTTTCGGTATAAAAAGTCGTAATTTGAAAATGAAAATAGGTGCAGAGTCAGAATTCGGCTCAAAAATTACGCTCAGGAGTCAAATACCCGACATTTCAGATATTTTGAAAACTGCAGGGGGGGGGGGGCAAAATATGACCCATCACCGTTTTCAGTAATTGGCATATTTTCGGTATAAAAAGTCGTAATTTGAAAATGAAAATAGGTGCAGAGAGTCAGAATTCGGCTCAAAAATCACGCTCATGAGTCAAATTTCCGACATTTCAGATATTTTGAAAACTGCAGGGGGGTTTGGGCAAAATATGACCCATCGCCGTTTTCAGTAATTGGAATATTTTTGGTATAAAATTCGTAATTTGAAAATGAAAATAGGTGCAGAGAGTCAGAATTCGACTCAAAAATCACGCTCAGGAGTCAAATTTCGGACATTTCAGATATTTTGAAAACTGCAGGGGGGTTTGGGCAAAATATGACCCATCGCCGTTTTCAGTAATTGGCATATTTTCGGTGTAAAAATTCGTAATTTGAAAATGAAAATAGGTACAGAGAGTAAGAATTCGGTTCAAAAATCACCCTCAGGAGTAAAATTTCCGACACTTCAGATATTTTGAAAACTGCAGGGTGGTTTGGGCAAAATATGACCCATCGCCGTTTTCAGTAATTGCCATATTTTCGGTATAAAAAGTAGAAATTTTAAATTGAAAATAGGTGCAGAGAGTCAGAATTCGGCTCAAAAATCACGCTCAGGAGTCAAATTTCCGACTCTTCAGATATTTTGAAAACTGCAGGGGGGTTTGGGCAAAATATGACCCATCGCCGTTTTCAATAATTGGCATATTTTCGGTATAAAAAGTAGTAATTTGAAAATGAAAATAGGTGCAGAGTCAGAATTCGGCTCAAAAATTACGCTCAGGAGTCAAATATCCGACATTTCAGATATTTTGAAAACTGCAGGGGGGTTTGGGCAAAATATGACCCATCGCCGTTTTCAGTAATTGCCATATTTTCGGTATAAAAAGTCGTAATTTGAAAATGAAAATAGGTGCAGAGAGTCAGAATTTGGCTCAAAAATCACGCTCAGGAGTCAAATTTTCGACATTTCAGATATTTTGAAAACTGCAGGGGGGTTTGGGCAAAATATGACCCATCGCCGTTTTCAATAATTGGCATATTTTCGGTATAAAAAGTTGTAATTTGGAAAGGAAAATAGGTGCAGAGAGTCAGAATTCGGCTCAAAAATCACGCTCATGAGTCAAATTTCCGACATTTCAGATATTTTGGCTTGCGGTTACACACCTGGTCTTGGTCCAGTTACACACCTGTGGTTGGGGTCTGGTTACACACCTGGTTGGGGTCTGGTTACACACCTGGTCAGGGTCCGGTTACACACCTGGTTGGGGTCTGGTGACACAACTTGTCGGGGTCCGGTTACACAACTGGTTGGGTAACAGTTACCCTGGTTACCCAACCAGTTGGGTAACCGGGGTCCGGTTATATTTTTAATAGCTCCTATATATTTTTTTATATAGGAACTATATATTTGTAATAGTTCCTTTATCTTAATGTAGTTTGGTATTTTGATTGGTGGTTATTCATTGTATAGTTTATTTTCTGGGTTTCCTCAGAATTGCTTTTAAATGCATGGATGGAGAAATACTAAAGAAATTGTTCACGAGTTTTGTTAGGCCAAAGCTAGAATATGCAGTAGTTGTGTGGTGCCCATATCTTAAGAAGCACATCAACAAACTGGAAAGGGTGCAAAGACATGCTACTAAGTGGCTCCCTGAACTGAAGGGCAAGAGCTATGAGGAGAGGTTAGAGGCATTAAATATGCCAAAACTAGAAGACAGAAGAAAAAGAAGTGATATGATCACTACATACAAAATAGTAACAGGAATTGGTAAAATCGATAGGGAAGATTTCCTGAGACCTGGAACTTTAAGAACAAGAGGTCATAGATTTAAACTAGCTAAACACAGATGCCGAAGAAATATAAGAAAATTCACTTTTGCAAACAGAGTGGTAGACGGCTGGAACAAGTTAGGTGAGAAGGTGGTGGAGGCCAAGACCGTCAGTAGTCTCAACGTGTTATATGACAAAGAGTGCTGGGAAGACGGGACACCACGAGCATAGCTCTCATCCTGTAACTACACTTAGGTAATTATACACGCGCGCGCGCACGCAATGTGTGTGTGTAGAAATAATATAAATACTAATATATAATTGTTTTATTAATATATATAAATATTAATAAAACAATTAACATCGTGTAGTGTACTCTATATATCAAAATATATTACGTTGAAACCCGTATCAGTCACTAAACAAAAAATTGGGCTACAGTACTCATATTACAAAAATAAAAATAGCTACTTTTAGACCGTCAGCTCGCTACTTTCAGCAATTTGGTTCTGGCAACTCTGCTCAAGAACACAACAACATCTCCCGCGCCAGGAGGAGAAGCTCCTGTGTGTGTGTGTGTGTGTGTACAGGAAACAAACTTCCCTTCATGCAAACTGCACCTACTATCAAGAAGAAGAGGAGGAACTACAGTTACTACAAACTACAATAATACAAGAAACATTACTCGTGGAGTCATCAGGAGAAAAACCTCTATACAAACTGTAGTATCAAGACGACGACGCCGACAAGTATTTATTTGTTTATTTATGTTCAAGAAGTTACATTGGGTTTATGAGAGTACATAGCATGATGTGTTCACATTCTTGTAAAGCCACTACAGTAGTACGCACAGCGTTTCGGGCAGGTCCGTACTCTAACATAATATACATAATATTAAGTACGTAATTTCTAGCAAGATTTATAAAATGTTATCAAGTTTTTGCACCTGCAAGATAACGTAAGCTTTTAAGGGTTGATAGATGTTAATCTTCTTGTTTGAGGAGCTGTTCACTTGAGACAGTTAAGCAAGTCCCAGCTGTGTCTGGGTACAAGTGACAGGTGAAAACCCAGCGGGTTTTCTTCCTATTGAGGAGTGTTGTGAGTGGACGTAATGCCATAGCAGCATGTACAAGATGAGTGGCGCTGCCCAATAAACTCGCCCCATGGGGCAAAATTTAAAACAATTTAAATAAATTGTAAGTAAAAGTAGCGACCTATTCACCTCCACAGGTCAATCTGTGATTACAGAGAGAAGCTAACAGATACCGTGGAATATCTTTAAAGAAGTAGGGACTTCCTTCCAGTTTTCAAAGTCTTTGGACGTGTGGTTCAACTTTGATTCCTGACGGAGATCTGTACTCCTACTCTGCCTTAGGGTCCACCAGCTAAGACAGTTAGTGCCCTCTGGGTCACAAATCTGCTGTCTGGCAGTCCTCTTCAACAGCCCACTTTCTGGCACCTGGCACTCCTATTGCCCGGGGTGATAAGACGATATGGCTCCCCTCCAGTTGTCTTGTTGGCTCTTGAGATGACTTACTCTGGCACCAGTGTGGTCTAGAGGTCTGGGGAGTTAGTGGGTCTCAGTGGATATCTTGGTGTGCCCACTGAGTACTCACCTACTCGCCTAGTTGTGCTTGCGGGGGTCGAGCTTTGGCTCTTTGGTCCTGCCTCTCAACTATCAATCAACTGGTGTACAGATTCCTGAGCCTACTGGGCTCTTATCATATTGCATATGAAACTATATGGAGTCAGCCTCCACCACATCACTGCCTAATGCATCCCATCTGTTAACTACTCTGACACTGAAAAAGTTCTTTATAATATCTGTGTACAGGTGTACTCTGCTGGAAGTCACTGGAAGACATTGCTGATTTTTTTGTCCGATTGGGTTTAGAATTTTAGAATGGTTTTCGTGATTTTGGCTTCAACTGTGTTTGGCCTCCCAGAGTTGAAAAACATGTGACACATTATAATGATCATCTGGAGTCACTGGGCATCAATTAATAGTCTTGCAGTTGGCTCTGTGTGTGTGTGTGTGTGTGTGTAATGTCAGTACTAGTACTTTCCTCCCAGGGGAAGTACTAATACTTTCCTCCTAGGGGAAGTACTAGTACTTTCCTCCCAGGGCAAGGTCAGGGTGTCACAAAACACCTGCCATGCAGTATGTGTATTATAAAGCCCTGTGTTATAGCTTCCCTTTAACCTAATAACAGCAACAGTATTCATAACACTTGTTGCACTTACAGAAACAATAACCACTAATGTATGACCCAAATTGAAATTTATGAACTGGGTATAAGACTATTAATCAATTCATTATGCATCCCATACCCATCCAGTGAGTGGTAGTGGATCCCATACCCACCCTGTGATTGGTAGTGGACCCCATACCCATTCTGTGAATGGTAGTGGACCCCATACCCATTCTGTGAATGGTAGTGGACCCCATACCCATTCTGTGAGTGGTATTGGAAAAGGTTACAGAGGCACATAATGAACTCAGGAACTCAGATTCATTTGGATTAGGATGTTAAAGAATTGATAAGCAAGTTACATAGACATAGCATAAGAATAGAGTTAACTGCAGAAGACCTATTACTCCTGCAAGTAGTTCCTATTTATTCAACCTGCCTTACAGAGAACGTCGCATTTTGGTTGTATGCGTTACATAAGGCCAAAAATTGTCGTACTAGAAAATAGAAGCAGCTCACGAAAGTGACGTACTGTCCCATTTTCTGTTTTGGGTCCTTTGGTAGGTTAGGAGAGAACACTTTAAATTGACTATTTTCTGGACTGACTGTTTTCTGGATGTTGGAAAATCTTAGGAGGACGGGCTAATTTATTAGGGATACAAGTCACATCATACACAAGATGGTATGATGGTCCAGCACTTCTTAAAGAAAACTATTCAATTTTATCTTGAAGATGTCCACATTTGTTCCAGCAAGCTGGAACCGAGCCTGTGTATACCTCCTGTGCAGACCGGTTTATGCCTCGGTTATGGACCCAGCTTCCTTCCAGTTCGGTTCTTCGTCCCATTGATGGGTGCGTTACGAGGTTCCAGAGTAGTCATGGATGGCAGGCTATCCTTTGTTTTTGTTTGGGGCTTTTGGGGCTTGGTGCAGTTTGTCATATCCGCACGCTTCAGTGGTGACAGGTATCTACTGTGTTGCAGGTGTTTCTTAGGGGTTCTTTTGAGTCCCTCAATGCATGCTTCTTTGCTCCATGAGCCAGGTTCTGGCTCATGGTCACTGGTAAGCTAATAAGAACTCCACGACTGACGGCACCTAGTGCTGTAGTATGGCACTGTATCAGTGTAGTAGCTTCAGGGAGCCATTGGAGCTCACCCAGTAATTGGCATTATTTTTATTATCATCATTACATTTGTTTTTTTGTTTTGTTTTTCAGGTGATTGTTGAAAGATGTACTGGTATTCCTTAAAATTTGGCTTGGGGAAGTGTCATCCACATTGGCAAACGACATTTAGCAATCCTCTATGGCATCGATTAGTTTCACTGACAGTTGTGAATACCGAATCAGACAAAGTTGATAGTGATACATTTGGACGTTTAGCTGCGTTATCTAGTGTAAATAATAATAATTTAAAGGATAAAAATGGCCAACAGACAGCTCCTGGCAGCTTTGCAAAATTTAAGTTCAATGAAAATATTTATAGATTTAAAGAAAATGGAAGAAGTACACCATTAGTGGAGAGTTTGGAGAATTATCAACAAGAGAATATTCTTGACAAATGGAATAGATTTAAAGATGCACATTATGAGGAACTCCTGAAGGATTCGGGAAATATTTTACAAGACGATAATGAGGATGATTATTACTACTTCCAAAAGAAAAATGCCAAAAAGAAAACTGTGAAAAGTGAAGATGGTAACACCTCTCTAAATGCGTCTCTCAACGAAAATACAAATTTGCGCTTGGAAAAGGAAAATGAAAGTCAGCCAGAACAAATAAGCAGCGATAAATTTGGTACAATAGCTCCACCAAAGCTTGATCATTTGAATGCAACTGGTGATGAAGGCGATGAGAGAGAAGAAAGGTACCAAGAAGCAAAGCTGGAAAGGAGACATAGACCTGCATACTATGGGCTGCGGATGAAGAACTTGTGCAAGGAAAGAAAGGTTGGTACCCTCAATAAATTGAAATATATGAAATAAATTGATATGTGTATATAAGAATATGTGTAGATATATTAGGTGATCTTAGAGAAATCAATAAAATGTTAATTTGCAGTTTAATCACATGGTAAAAATTTTCACATTTGAATTTTCTGTATCAAATCATTATTCATTTGATGGTTAGTATGATATTTCTATACAGTTAATATGTTATTGACTGAATTAGTTTGCAAATTTATTTATAATGTACACAATCCAGATTGTCACGTTTGATGCCAGGAAATGTTCATTTACAGTATATTAAAGTGCTGTGCTTGAATACCGATACATTACTAGGCATAAGATAGAAGAATGTTTATTGTTAATTATATGCATGAGAAATAGAAGGCATTCTTTTCCAGTTGCTAGATGCTCTGAAGATTCTGGAGGAGGAGATGCCAGCTGTGGCGGCCAAGCCTGATTACTTTTGTTACCAAGTTCTTATAAATGCCTGTGGAAGGGCTGGGTATACTAAAAAAGCTTTTCACCTTTACAATCAGGTAATGTTTTAAGAGTTAATCATTTTATTATCGGCATCTCTTACCTTTCTGGTAAGAGATGCTGATTTTAGTGTGTGTGTGTGTGTGTAATTACCCAAGTGTAATTACAGGATAAAAGCTACGCTCGTGGTGTCCCATCTTCCCAGTACTGTACTCTTTGTCGTATAACGCTTTGAAATTACTGATGGTTTTGGCCTCCCACCTTCTCACCTAACTTGTTCCAACCATCTACCACTCTGTTTGCAAAAGTGAATTTTCTAAAGGGGCATTTCAATTTAATCACTTTATTTTTGTGTATTCAGTTATAATACGAAAAAATTGAAATCTGTATATGTAGTACAGTATTCGTAGACCTCAAGATAGTAGAAAGAGACAGTTAAAAATTTTTTTTTTTTTATCCTTATCCTGACTTATCCTGACCAAGGGATATATAGTTGTAATGGCTAGGCATTTTCCCCTGATAATTCCCTTCCCTTCCCCCATGTATTGCATTGGAATCAGGCCTCACTTTACTTAATACAGTATAAATTTTGTATTTTCCCAGATGAAGAGATGTGGTTTTCAAATTCAGCCTGTAGCATACACTGGACTGTTCAATGCATGTGCCAACTCCCCGTGGCCAACCACTGATGGACTGAAGCGGGCTACCGGGCTGCGAGAGCAGTTACTAGAAAAGGGATACATTTTCAACCAAACAATCACCCATGCTATGATAAAAGGTACATCAGATATTAATGAGCAACACTGCATCAGATGAATATATTAAACACACTGGGATGATCAGAAGATTGAGAAACGACGACATTTTGGTCCGTCCAGAACCATTATCAAGTTGTATGTGAAAATATTTTTCTCAGACCTGTCTGTAACTTGGGGCCCCGTGGCATAAAATGGTGTCATTTCTCCATCCTCTGATGTGTGGTCTGGTCATCATATCTTCAGTAATGACAGTATTCCAGTCTTCAGTCATGTTATTGTGACTCATCGTCTATTGAACACGTGTTTGCAAGGATTGCGCTTCAGCCCCTAGTCCCCAGCTATGTATATGTGCGCTGTTTGTATATGATTTAAGGGTATGAGCTTGAAAGCCATACTCTAGGGTACAGACTAACAATACCCGGCCTATACTTCTTCACTTACAGTATACATACGTTTCTTTAAAACAGGGGGTGTAGAACCAATATGCATTTATAAACACTTCAAACACAAGAGTAACCACGTGTGGCTGATACCATATTTTTGAATTGGTGGGACTACAAACAGTCATTGTGTGTGCATTACATTTATTAAGACACAGGAAATGAGATAGTACACTACAATGGAATACCTTCTCACTCACCAGATTAATGACAGTATTCCAGTCACAGATATAATGGAGGTCAATAACCTCACACTGTGAGGTTGGGGCCCCTCTCGAGCACACACCCAGTGTGTGAAGGCTCGCTCCTCTCTCCTCGTGGAGTGCAGGGACACAACTCTTGCGAAAACGCGCAGGGAAACTTTACACACACTGAAGTACATATACACATTTACTAATTCTGAACATACTCTCAAACACTTACAAATGAATCATAAAATTTAACAAATAAAACAAGCTGTTATTTTAACTAAGAGAAACATTTACATTAATAACAACAAAAGCTAAACTATATACAGTATACCAGTTATTACAGTGAGTGCATCTTCATCCCTAGATCTTTCAAAATTTCTGATTAACCTGTTTTGGTATGAAAATTTGAGTTCTTTCATTATAATTTTACAAAGCTTAGTGTTCATCTTGGTTATCATTTCCTATACCAACATATTTCCCAGTCAATTCATCCAAAGAATTCACTTAATTTCCTATAATGTTCACCGTTAAAGTTCAATTTCTCTTATATCTTCCTGGTGTGGTATAAAACCTTATACAAAATTTAATGCATTATGATAAAATTGGCATGCACTAAAAAAAAAAAAAGATTAAAAATATAAATCTGAGAATAGGAAGAGGAAGGTTGTCTTGAGATAGTTTCGGGGCTTGGTGTCCCCACAGCTTGGTCCTCGGCCAGACCTTTTTTTTTTTTTCTTTTTGTTACACATCCTCAGGAAGTAGGCTGTAGCATCTGTCTAGCTCTCAGGTACCTATTTACTGCTATGTAACAGGAGCATCAGGGTGAAAGAAACTCTGCCCATTTATTTCCACCTCCACCTGGGATCGAACCTGGAACCTCAGAACTACGAATCTGAACCGCTATCCACTCTGCTGTCTCGACTGTACTACCGGGAGCCTCTTACCAGGACCGGGAAAAATATGTGCATAGATGTGTTTCTGTCATTTACGATAAGAAAATGACCCAAAATTTTCTGACCCAAAAATGACCCAAAAAGTAATAAATTGGGAAAAAAAGGCAAAATTCTTTGAAACCAAACATTTTTGAGGTTCCACTGTACTATAATTTCGTATTTTCTTTCTTTTATATCCTTATATAGGTTGTACGATGCAGTGTAATTTTATGTCCTTGTGCCTAAAACATGTATTGGTAATACATAACTATCTTTCACTGCACATGTTTAGGGGCGCTTGTTGCTTCTCTGAGACAGCGACCTCTCAAGATTCTGGTCATGGTGGCTGAACAAGTTATTACGACTTGATAATGGTCCAGAACCATTATATTTTTTTGAAACATCGTCGGTTCTCCATCTTTTGATGTTTGGTTTAGTCATCAACAAGTTATTAGAGCCTGTTTGACCAAATGTTTGTGTAAACCCAAATATGTTGCTGTCTCAAGGGAGCAACTGAGGTATCTCTTCAGGAAGGTGCATTATATTTACCTAAACACCCTTTATTTCAGCATTTGGAAGATGTGGAGATATCAACACAGCCTTCCAAATTGTTGATGACATGATTGAGCAAGGATTGCTAGTCACCACGGAAACTATTAATTTTCTGCTTCAGGCATGTGTTACTGACAAGCAAACAGGTTTTAGGCATGCATTAATGGTAAGTTATCCCTTTCACCATAGTACTATAGATTTGTGCAATAAATGAAAGCATTAATATCTTATAAATTGGCAGCCACACTACCATGGATATAAACATTTCATTCACCTGGGCACTAGTCGACTTGAATCGCCAACCCCACGAGAGTGAGAAGCTCAGAAGCGTGAGGTTTTGAGCTTGTCTTAATTTTTGAGCTAATCTTAATTTTTACAAGATTGAATTTCAGTGTAAATATCTTGTCAAATGTGGTTAATTATAAGCTATGTAAAATGTAATATGTTGTATTGTGCCAAGTTACAGACAGGCCAGAGAAACTGATTTAATTTATTGATTTTACTGAAATAATAAGACATGATTTCTTTGACAGACTGGTCTGAATGATAGTGGAGCACTTGAGTTATAATGGAACATAATTAATTCAAATACAATTTCTGGGAGGGCCCACTTGTTTGCTTTCCTAGCCCCTGAAACACACTGTTGCCTACAGGTAACCAGGATTAGAATCTTGGTTTCTCTTTGAGGCAGGGGTAATGTCCTTGACCTCTAGAGGGGTGTCTCATTTAGATGCTCGTTGTTCGAACTCCAGTATTTGTGTTTGCTAAGCGTCTTTTTCTCTGTGCATATCTTGCACTTCTGTGTGTGCACATCAATGTATTTTCTAGTGTTTGGCTTGTAATGCCTTATGTGGCAACAACGCCTCTCCTGCTGGCTCGAATGTTTGATGTTTTGAGCTCTGTGGCCTGCTCTACACTTAAATACCTTAAATTTGGTAAGCTACCGAGGGCCTAACTCGTATTAAATCGCCCATTGTTTAACTTATTGGGTAATCCAGCCCTGACTAGCTAGATTTTGAACCAATATTGTTTCATTAATGTCAACCAGCTTCATTTTGTTTACAGTAATTTGAAATAATCTTGTTTATTTTATTAACAGGTATGGAGGAAAATGCGAGAGTTGAAACTATCTCCAGATATTTATTCATATAATCTCTTGATACGTTCCATCAAGGACTGTGGCAGTGGAGACCCACAATTGACCTCCAGGCTGCTGCAGGAAAAAGTAAATGCCTCATGTAAAGGAGCAAAAGAGAAGATGAAACAAATAGTAAAGGAAAATATTCTGGTCATAGAAAGTGAGATCAAAAAACATGATCCTGTTCCAGGAGATGCAAGCAGCACTCAGGATATATCAGGCAATGTGGAAATAAGTAATAGTAATTCTCCCGTTACTAGTGAAAATGTAAAAGATGAAAAGATATACAAATTGATTGAAATCAAGAGAGAAATACAGAATAGTACAAAAGAGGATCTTGTATTACCTAATTTATTAGGTAGGAAGATAACTCCCGGAACTGTTGTGGGTTTGGGATCACTGGATCAACCACATGACAGGTAAGCCAATGTTGATGGACGTATTCTGTCTTTCATGTTTAACCTTAAATGACTCGGCTAATTAAGTTTTACATTATGGTGCTTGTGACAAAAAATAGTTCACAAAATTTAAAAATCATATACATATGGCAATTCATGCACAGGAATTAATTGTAGATAGTGATCCAAGCTATATGAGTTAAACAAATGTATCAGCTCAGAAAACAGACATTTGTTAAATTTCTTACATATTTTCTATTTTACAGCTTTTGCTTGTGTACTGTATTTAATTTGGCTCAGTGATTACCAGATATTTTTTGACATATTTGGTGTTGTAAACATTGTCTAGTTGATATTTGATGTTGTTATTACTTCTGCTTAAACCCTATATTTGTCAGTATTAAACTACTGTACTACTCTCAATCCATTTTAAGTCTTTTAGTGATTTTGAATCTTCTGAATTTATTTCCTGCCAATTTTTGTAACCAAATTTACAAATGATGATGATCAATCTTGTATCTAAATCATTAATATATATATGTATAATAAACAATAGTTCCCAGGACAGATCCTTGGGACCCTAAACTTGCGACAGTCACCCACTCACTTTACTTAGGATAACTTCCCCAGATACAGAAGGTCTCAATACCCTAACATTTGGAGGGGGCAATCCTGAGTTGTCAGTACTGTACCTTGTGCTCCAGGAAGCGCAGGCTGAACTGCCACACACAGTGGTGTTTTATTACACTATGCTCTATTTTTGTTAGCCAAATTATTACAAATCTGAGTTAAGATCTTACAATTTGAAGTATGTACACATCAAAGAAAAAATCATTATATACAGTGGCCTATTGGTATATAAATAAAGTTATTGTAATTCAGTCTTTCAAATAAATAGTCTGCTGTAGCATGAAACTTTTTAGAATACAGTACATTGAATAAATAATGTAGCTGTATATTACATTTTGTTAGTCATAATTTATTAATAATAAATTTATAGGGTGTTAATTTACACTTTACCTAAATATCATTGCTCTATTGTCATACTTTTGTAGGTTAGCTCTTCTAGGTGGGCCCAGTGGAATATTTAAACAAATGGAACGAGACCGAGTAAAAGCAAATTTGAAGTCTGTCACGCAACTTCTGGATTCTTTACCTGCAAGTACTGAAGCAGAGGAGGTTGGTGTGGATTCATTTTGATATACACTGTTCTGAATACTATTTCTTAATTACTAAGGCTATTCTGCCATTTACCTAGAGGGGATTTGGGGAAAGAAAGATAGTTGATGAAAGAAGTGTGTAAGTGATCATGATTGGATTTGCTGGTGTGAGAAGAGTGCAAGACCAGAATGCTAGGAAATGAATCCACGAGAGAAATGCATCATTATGGTCAAGCAATACTCTGTTGCTGTGTTTTTCACCAATCCAAGAAATTAATATTTTGCTGTTTTTATTTTTCCATTCTTCATCCTTGTTCATTTCATGTTAAAAACTAAATTTGTTTCATGTTCCCACTGCTCTCAGTGAAGGAATTTATAATTTAAGTACAGTACATCCATTAATACATACATTTACACAGTCATCCAAAACCTTGGTATATACTGACAGGTGTCAGCATCCATGTTCAATGAACAAATTTTTTATTATTATTATAACTGTTTCTTTTTAGGCCCTCCTCCAGTCTATGAAAAATATTGGCCTCAGTCCAGACACACAATTTTGCAACATGCTAATTCGCAAACGCAACTTCCGGAAAGATGCTGGGGCTGCAAAGGTATGTCGGTACTGAACAGTATATAATGTTTAATCAATTTTTAAAATATTACCAATGTTTATTGTTTAAGTGCACCTATTTAAGTGGTTGCAATGGAGTTTGTAGGAATGTCTAGCACTTTCAAAAACATCCTAGATAGAAAGCTTTGGTTTCTTTTCTTTGCATATTACAGTACTCAGTTATACATAGTTCAACAACTGTACATGGATTGTACGATTGAGAACAGCTTAAATTCCTGACAAAGATTTAGAGAAACACAAGTTAGAGCAGTTGTTCTAATAGTATCTTGTTTGTGACTCTTCAGTCCCGCTAGTGCCCAATGTGTGACCCCCCCCCTTTTGCCTTGCTAATACCCCATGTGTGACTCTCCCTTTACCATGGTTGTACCCCCTTGTTTGACAAGGCCTTCTTGCAGCACCCAACAGCCCTCTTCATTTCTTGCTCCTTGTGAATTTTGCATCATCTGCAAACATCAGTATGTCAGAACTCACTTCCCCAGGGAAGTCATTTACATAAATTAGAAAGAGCAATGGTACTAGGACAGAGCCTGTGGGAACACCATTGCCTACTCCTCTCCAGTCTGACATATCCTCTCTGACTATGACCCATTTGTTTCCTATCAGTCACATACTCCCATACCCAGTCCAGTGCCTTTCCTGTTATCTTTGCTTGTCTCTCCATCTTATGTATTAGTCTTTTGTATGGAACTGTATCAAGGACTTTCTGGAAGTCAAGTTTATTAAGCATGATTTTCCCACTCTGAAGTCATGTTGTTCCTTATGTGTGACCCCTCATCCTGGTCACCCCCAGTATCTGGCTTCTTGTCTTGGTAGCACTCCATACATGACCCTTTGTTCTGGCAGCACTCCATGTATGATCCATTGTCCTGGTAGCTCCCAATGGCTGGTGCCCCTCATCCTTGTAGCTCCCCATGTAGGATCCCTCATCCTTGTAGTCCTGCTTGCAAACATTTGAACTTTGATGACCTTTTCAGTGTTCCTTAGTAAAATGTGCCCTCTTCCTGTGTGGAGTCCCATCGGCTTCCTGAAGCTACCTTACTGATCAAGAGCCATACCATTGAGTGTCATCAATTGCAGTTCTTTGTAAGCCTACTGGGGGCCATGAACCAGATTCTGGCCCCCCTCAGAGAGGTGAAGGGAGCAATGGGAAAACCCCGGCAGGCTCGGTTGTACAATGGCACCTTTTAAGTCTGTTGTCGCCTTGTACGAATTCGTCTGTTGCTCGTCGTCCCTGCCTCTGGGTAGTGATAATCTTTTCTGCCTCTGCCTTGCTGCCTGTAGGGTCGGGTGATACCTCCGACCCGCAGTCCTGTGGGACTCGTTCCCTACTTGTACTCCATTTTTACTCATCCCCATCAGATATTCTGCGGGATCGGGGAGCATCGTGTTGCATAGTTTTTGTGATGCAACGTGACAGGTTGCATCACAGTGATCAGTAAGATAGTTTCAGGGAGCCTCCGGGGCTCATCCAGTAACTGGCGTTTCATTACATTCAATGTTTTTTTGTTAGTGTGATGCATGTTTGTTTCTTTTCAAATAATTAATTAATTTGAATATAAATATTTGAGTAAAGCAGCAGCAGGGATTGTTAAATGCAGTGAAAGTAATTGTAGTCGAGACAAGGTTATTTTTGTTAAAATGTAAATACTGTATTATAATCACTTAGAGAAAATGGCTGAATGCAGAATATTCAGCACTTTAATGAGAAATTTTAATTTAAAAATACTGTTTCAATTTCAGGATGTTCTTGACATAATGCAGGAGCACCAATTACTTCCTGATATAATCACTTTTGGTTGCTTAGCTTTGGGTTGCCGGAATCTTGAAGATGCAATTGGCCTGTTACGAGAAATGGAAGCAGCTGAATTCAGGTAATAAATACAATGTATCTGTTTCTGGGTAAGGTCACTCGGTAGCTTCCCTCTGCTTATGTCACTGGCACTCATGTTAGGTACTGGACACACTTGGCTCTTGTGACTAACTCGACCCACCTAGTACAAGAACTTCTGCAAGCCCCTTTACCCTCCCTATGGGGCAAGGATCTCGTGGAAACCAGAGATCAACCCAGTACCAAGATGAACTGCCCACAAAAAGCATTGAAAATAGGTCACAAGACACTCGACCTTCCTCTTGAGAAATGTTTGGCAGTTGCCAACGAACGTATGTTTCCAGCATTTCCCCAACCCACCACCATGGGACATCCTGTGTCACTCAAGGTCCTAGAGAGATGATGCCACACACTCTTGCCTGGCAATCAGTTGGACTCATCTTTTGGTTCACATGAAGAACACTTATCATTATCTAAGTTAAGTGTTCAGTTTTCCTTTATGTCAAACAAATAGGGTTTAATCCTTAAATGTTCCATTAGCTTGTGTGCTGTTCACATTGAGTTTCTCTGGCTACTGTGATCTGCTTCAGCTTTGTTTTCAGGATGTCCTTCCCTGGTACTGCTGTCAAAGATCATTCACCAACAAGGTTGTCTTCACCGAGGTGTTAGAGGTCCTCCTTTGGGAAGACTTCCCATGAGTCAATCCTGTCTCGGATGAAGCTCTGATCCCTTGTTCCGTTTAATGGGAGTTGATACAATTAATGAATGCATGAGTGTGCATGCTAGTACTGTGCCTCCACCTTCTTTGTAGAGCTGGGACTGTGGGGTTATGTGATTCAAGTTATTTTCATTGTTATCCTAACTTCAATGGACTACTTCATAAGGTTGTTTATTATATTTACATAACTCCACATGTGGGGGGAGGGTTATAGCGTTTTACTATTTAATTTATGTATGATTAGTTCACTCAGTGTTGCAAGATTTAATTAGAACTTAAGCTAAACATTTAGTAAATTAAATTGACCAAAATTTCTTCCTAAATTATTAACTTTGAAGGACCAGCCTGTTGGCATTTACTGTACAGTACTTGTTTTTATATTTGTCATTAAATGAACAAATTTGTATTGTAAATTACTAAATTATAATTAAATTGAGTTAAATTATTAATTAATTTAAGCCAAAAATCTATGGTTACACCAAACAGCCATATTTCATTAATCTTGTATTTTATGTAATATTTGGATGCATTTCTAATCCTGGTACTGCATCAAATACTTGATTTTTTTTTTAAATTCTAGCTATATCATGGTTTGTGTATAACCTTTTGTTTAAAAAAAAAAATAATATTTTTTGTATATTCCTCAGACCTAATCTGGAGATAATGACAATTCTGGCAAAGAATAGCTTATTGAAGCAGGATTATTTCTTCACATTAGAGATGCTAAAAGAAATGCATCAGCATAACATTGAACCGGATGTTAATCTTCTCAAGCTTCTTGAATCTGCCAGGACTAAAGCACGCAACACTATCTTGCAAATGGTAAATAACTTCTTGTACTATATCACTTTGAGGTATAAGTGACCTTCCTAAATGGATTTCAGGGTCCTAATGGAATTTATGTTCTTGAAGTTTAAAGTGCTAATAAAACTATTTTCTTGTAAAGCCTTCTAATGCCTATATGCACTTTATCTGGTTCAGTAACGATTAATATTTCATGTACTGTATAGACATCTGTTAAATTTTGATTTATTGATAACTATATGCATTTCATAATGTACAGTAAAGCGATGAAATGATTTTGTTTTTTATAGATAGGTTAAAAATCAGGATGTTAATTAAAAGTAATAATTATGATAATACTGTATTAGGTTTGGGCCAGAGCAAATGATCTGGCCTCTGATCAAATGACACTGTAAAAACAGCCTAAGCTACTCTATCGTTTTGTGATGTATTTTATTATCTCAATAAACTTACTTGAGATTTTAGCCTATTACTGTATCATGTAGCTATTCACTGCTATATTGTACACTTAACAAATATAAATGACATTCATTCATGATCACTTTTTTTTTAAATATTTTTCAGTATTAAAAATAAACATGTAATTCTATACATTTTATTAATGAATTGTAGTAATCCATATTTATCAATAATGGATAGTTACTATTACTTTCCTGTTACAGGAAAGAGAGAAATCTTCTATGAAAATCAGCAAAAGGAAGATGGAGGGTATAAGGATCTATCTCTTAGAGTACAAAAATTGGCTTAAGAAATCACCGATACAACTTCCAGATCATCCTTGGGCACAATACAAGGCAGCATCAAGTGCAGTTAACAGCACTTAGATTTTGTCTCTGTCTTTGTATGGCAGAAATTCAGGTGAATTTGTCCCATATCTTGTCTCCTGGTCACAAAATTGTAGTGCACTGCTCACCTGTTTTAATGTTATATCAGGAACAATTTTGATTATAACAAATTCCCAATGTAGCTTAATTCTAGTTTGTATGAGATCCAATAAGAAATATTATCCTAAGTTGTTAAGAACACACACAATTTGCGAATGTTGAAATCTTAGTTTTTTTGTTATTATTGTATATTTTGTGAAGTTCTATACAGATCAAGTTTTCACAATGAAGACAAAACATACAACATGTTGTGTGTCTCAAGTTAACATTACTTTTTACAGGTACTGTACTGTGTGTGTGTAATATTTTGTAAAGAAACATTGTATAATATTTGTATCATCTTAGTTACACTGTGCTATACATCTGTAATATATTGTACATATAGGAAATGCTTTATTGTTTAATACTGTACTGTACTGTATATACTCTATGTATATTTATACAAACATTGCTTAATCAAGACTTGCTATAATTGATAAATTTTGTAAAATACACTAGACGAATTTTAAATGAAAACCCTTTTAGAATGATGCTGAAATATATTGTATAAGTTATGTATCTTTATTTGATTTAAAATTAAACTTGAATTTGCAAATACAGTATATTGCAATGAATTTTTACTGAATTTGGGCCACTACCTCTCATCCCATGTTTTGTACAATGAATGTTGACCAAAGAATAATCAGAAATTTATAGGGCTCTTACTAAGATTATCATTCTAGTCAAGTTTAAGGAAAAGAAATTCACATGAAACATATTTTGGCTGTGATAGTGAGAAAGTCTTTACCAGTCTCTGGTGTAGTGGTAAGACACTCGCCTGGCATTCCGCGAGCGCTTTGTCATGGGTTCGTATCCTGGCCGGGGAGGATTTACTGGGCGCAAATCCTTAACTGTAGCCTCTGTTTAACTCAACAATAAGATGTGTACTTGGTTGTAACAACGATTCTTCGCGGCGGGGATCGTATTCCAGGGACCTGCCCGAAACGCTACGCGTACTAGTGGCTGTACAAGAATGTAACAACTCTTGTATATATATACAAAGAAAAAAAAAAAAAAAAAAAAGGTAAGGTAATGTACAGGTGCTAGAAAAGGCCCCGGCCAGACTGTTTCAGCCAAGCCATATGGTGGGAGTTGCCACAAATATTACTTAATTACTTCAACATAACTCGATTGATTTTTTCCTGTTTTTTTGCAGGAAGTATTTTTCCTATATTTTGATAGGGAATAGCCATCCACCCCATGAACAGGGCAGACTGCCAAACCAACACCAGACTGCAGTCTAGCCAAGGAGGGCCAGGTCTTAAACTCAGATCTGGACAAAAAGAATTGGGTGTTGATTTGGATGATTTTTAGCCAACACTACCTCAACAACAGATACTTGATGGAAACAGAACTCGGCCAACACAACGCAGACATACTACTACTGAATGAAACCTCGGCACGCCCCAACACATGAAAACCCAGGGTAAACATATAGGACAAACTTAAATAAATATATATATAATTACCATATTTTGAGAATGAAGAGAATGACGATAATTTTCTTAACACTTTCGCGCTTTCCGCGAAGGTCACTCAGCCAACCGAATGTGCGCGCGGCGTTTTTATCGCTTAAGCGTAAAAACAAAAATGTGTATACTCTTTTTACTCTTCTGACCTTAGTTCTCATGCTACGTATTTCATTTTGGTACCAACGTGTTCGCAATAAAATTCTCTAGAAGAACATCAGTAAAAAAAGTCACGAAACGTATAGGGATACCAGCACCAAATAAATAACTACGAAGATGACTCGCCGTGAGCGCCCATCAGCAACAAAATGTTTTTACTCTTGGGATTGTAATCACCTCCACACTTATTCTACAGCGTTAATTTTGGTATCAATGGACTCGCAATGAAATTCCCAACACGGTGATATGAATATAAGCGTAGAATAATGATGCGGCCAGCCCGCAAGAGTGTGGGAAGTGGTGAAATTGTTACCCGGTATCGGTGACGGGACGACGCACGGCGCTTTGAAAGTTTATACTTATTTCACTCTCATGACATTAATTTTCTATGTACGTCATTCATTTTTGTGTCAATGTGTTCGCAATAGAATGTTCTATGTGCCCATAGGTAAAAAATATCAACAAAGCGTAAGTTAGAATAGCGCCAAATATAAAACAACGCTGGAACATATCAGTGAGCGTCAAACACACACGAAATGTTTTTACTTTTGTTATGTTTGTCAAGTTTATACTTGTTGCACACAGTTATTTTTGGTTGTATATTGATCGGAATAAAATTCCCTAAACAGACATATGCATATAATACATGATATGGGGGAAGCATTACCAGTATAAACGGCTAAAGTCACCCACCTGCAACCCGTTTGGGACAAAATACCATTTGATCGAAGTTATCCACACCTTTCATGAAATTATTGTACCATGCAGCCTAGTGGTGAGAAAGAGAGCCTCATAGCGCGCAGTTTGAAACAAACCCAAAGTAAATCGGATAAAAATTGAATTTTATACAAATATTTTAAAAGAGGACTCAACTTTATGTCCACTATGCGTTAGCGTTAGACGAAACGGGACGCGCCGGCGTGTCCAGATAGCGCGAAAGTGTTAATTAGCTGGGCTTGCCGGGACAGTTAGTGCCTCCCTACCTTTCCCTCACACCCGAGTCGACATAATGGTACTGGCTTTGTGCTTTATCCTGATAACTACCACGATAAATTACTATGAGAGTTACCATTGTTCTAACAACTGGTTAAATTGTCAACTGGTGAGACAAGGTGCGAAAAAGGTTTAACTTGTGTTGCCCAACCATTTGTTGGACGGTAGAGCGACGGTCTCGCTTCATGCAGGTCTGCGTTCAATCCCCGACAATCCAAGTGATTGGGCACCATTCCTTCCCCCCCCCCCATCCCAACTCATTATCCTGACCCCTTCCAAGTGCTGTAAAGTCAAAATGGCTTGGCACTTTCTTCTGATAGTTCCATTCTATTGTGTTGCTAATTACAAAGTTGAAGTGGATGATGCGCGGTTAGAGAACACAGAACTGTGTAGCCATCAGTGGATAGTGGCCGGCAATATGAACGTCTTAATACTAGAGGCAGTACCCAGCATTCCTAAGGTGTCTGTACTCTTGGTGCCTGTATTACATTTGAGTGCGGAGGTGATGGGGCCCAGCACCCCCCAGTAAGAGTGGGTGTAAAAGGTAACCCGAAGTGTTACTCCTGAGACTGATGGATGCCTACTATAATGCTCCACAACGAGAGATGAAGCCGTTCCAAGTGATGAAGTGGTCACCACTGAGAGATCTTCTGACTCCGTCAGAGGAGTCAGAAGCAGCAGCTTGGTCTGGGCCCAATGTAGCGGGGGCTAGAGCCCGTCTTTCCATCAGTCTGACTTCTGGGCCTGGTCACCCACCCCACGAGTCTGAGAATTGAATGAGGGTCAGAAATTGGAATGAAAACATGAAAATAATTTCATCCACGGTTAAGTTCCTATACCCACCATGGAGCGACAATTATAGGATAGGAGACACCCCACAATCGTCACCTTAAGAACCATCTGTCCGTCGCAGTCGGGTTCAGCAACGAAGGCAAGGTTTGACAATAAAAGCTTCCCCTCACTCAACATCAGGTCCCACAGTTCTACGGGCGAGAGAGAGAGAAAGAATGCCTTCCCAATTACCCACTGCCAAAACAGAATTAGGTATCGGAATTAATATTCAAGAATGGCACAAAGTCGGCTAGAAGGAACAATCAGAAAGGAGAAGAGGTGGAGAGGAAAATGAAATACAGTATGAGGAAGAGGAAAAAAGATACCAGCAAAATTAGTAAAGACAGCTGCAGGAGCATAAGGCTTCAAAAGGGCAGATGTTCCATGTAGCATTACACTCTTAACAACCACCCACCAAGCCCTCACGTCAACAATGGGCTGGAAGGGGGATTTCACAAGTAAGAGTGTCTTACATGTGAACTGTACTGCTGGTGGACTGTAGTAAGTTTCACTATACCAAGGTGAAACCCTTAACTACTGTGCTGGGCCAACCAAGAAATCTTGTTCCGAGAGTTATGCTATTTTTTTTTAAATAGGCTAATTTTAATGTTTTTTAATGTTTTCATCACTGTTTTTAATTGAAAATGAGTTTTCATTGAGTTTGGAAACATTTTGACATTAACTTTACCTGAACATTTATAAAAACAACAAAAATATGTCTTTAACAATTGCATAATGAAGTTTTTGCCAAAAACAGGTGCACACTGTAAGGGGTTACATGATAAAAACCAATTAAACTATACCATGCAAAACAATCCCTTGCACATTTTATTACAATTTATAATTATCAATGTTGTTGTTTTAGATTCAGCTGCTCGAAACCAAAAGTTCCAAGTAGCACGGGCTACGGTGAGCCCGTAGTGGACTTACTTGGCACAGGCTGTAACTGATTATAAATGAAAACATTATTTACAGTAATATGTTTTTCTCAGTTTTTTTATTCTATTACTCAAATGACAGAGACAACAAATTAAACTGATCCTAATTAAGCATTGTATGAGTATCCACCCATAATTTCTGGTTATTTAATCACAAATACATACAGTGTAAACTCAAGAATTTTGTATACAGTATCAATTTTCCTTATATAATTTTCATTATATCACACCACATTAAATCAAGGTTGAGATTGATTTAATGTGGTGACCATCAAACTACACCAAAACAAAACAGAGAAAGGATATTGCCTGCTTAGACAGGCAATATTTAAGAAAGTGACTACACTTCACTTGACCCACCATGTTACATGAGAGCAGTGAATATTAAAGTGCTGCTCTAACAAACAGTGTGGAAGCTGTTCATGCCACTCACTGAAGATATGACAGTGGGATCATGTAACATGGAATTCTATATAGAAATGTTTTGGACAAGCAAAAACAATAATAGATTACAAGCACAATGAAGCATCAAGATTAATGGGAAATCAGTATACTGTACATCACCCTCACCCAAAACAAATACACGATGACTCAATAACGTGGCTGAAGACATTATGACCAAACCATAACTGAAGATGGAGAAGTGACAATGTTTTGGTCCATTCTTGACCATTATCAAGTCATGTGATGATTCAGAGAAGAAGGTACAGGCAAAGTTCCTCACCTCTCACCTTATTCTCTTACCTTATATTTGCCTGTACCTTTCTCTCTTCTATCACACGACTTGATAACGGTCCAGGACAGACCGAAATGTCGTCACTTCTTCATCTTCCGAGTTGTGGTTTGGTCATCAATAAATTATGATAAAGTGAGCTGAACAGTTTAGATTAACATGGTAATGTTAGCATGGAGGGTGGTCTATTGTGGCAACTCCCTTCCCAGACCAAACAAGGTCTCTTGTGATTACATACTGTTCATAGACAAAAATTATTATTATCCACTTTAGCAATTCAGAATACTGTATCCTGATCAAACCTAAAAATCTAATAAGAGTTAACTTGACACTAGTGAATGAACTGGTTGCTGCCAGCATAACTGGCAAATTTTTGTTGTTGTTTTTAAACAATTTAAATATTAATCAGATATGTTGAAACAAGCATATTACACAATGTAATTACTGTATCTTACATTGTGTAATATGCTTGCATTATCAAATTATTACAATCTTATTTTATTTGGTCATAAATGTTCAATCATGATATCAAGAACTCATCGTTATCAGAACCTTCATTACTGGAGAGGTCACTATCACTGATTCCACCTGGTAGCCCTCCATTCTTCTTTACTTGAGTATTCACACCTACATCACACCAATTGCTTTCATTATCACTACTAGATATTTCATCATTATCACAAAGAGTCTGATAGTCTGCCCTCAACCATGGCCGTCGTTTACCATTTGCAAATAAACTTTGCCATTTTACTTTTGCAGCCTTAGTGAGGGTGATTGCTACACATGTTCCCTTTACACATATAGATGAAAGCTCGGCATCTATTTCTCCTCCTAAATCTTCATCAAGGACATAAAACTTTTCTCCTAATAGGGTCATGAACATCAGTCGAGATGATTCAATACGACACTTGTACAGCTTTACCCCCATGAGATGAATAATCACAGATACTGAATCATCTTTTTGACTCCATGATGTTTCTGGAGATAGTTTAGAGGTGATGCCTTCGACAGCTTCCAGGGGTGGCACAATAAGGCACATATGTTGAAAATCTTTTGAAGCCATTTCAATTGCTCTCTGATTTTTATTAGGCTTACTGATGTTAGCCACATTCTCTGTCTGCTGAACCCTAACTTTTGCAGACTTGTTCATAATATGAGGTTTGCAAGATTTCAATGATCCAATATTTTTCTCGAGTTTTAAGACACTGTTTTCTTCTTGTTCACCAGTCTTTTTATTTTCCAACATTTTATTATTGATAAGACTGTTTTCTATGTAATCATTTACCTTATTTTTTAAGTCAGGATTAACTGTGGATATGCAAGAGTCTTCACAACCTACAGCGATCTCGTCATCTGAATTCTCTAATTCTCTTTCAGCATGCTTTTCTTTCTCTAGGTCAGAATTAACAATGTGAAGTAAGGATGCAATCGAATAATCACATGATGCAGTCGTCCTGTCATTTGCCTTTTCTAATGCTTCACCAACATGCTGTTCTCTAACTTTTTCTATTTGAGCCTTTACTGAGGGTATACTCAACAGGAAATCGGCAGCCTCCTTACCATCTATACAGGAGTCATTAAGAATGTCCAGTGGTGGAGATTTTTCATCATTAGTTTCCTCCATTTGGTCTGCTTGAATGGCAAGTCCTGCACATACAAGTTCTTGCCACATTTGCTTGGGAGGGTCAACCGAGATGTCAATCAATTCCACACTACATATCTGCTCCTCAATTATTTTTCGAATCTCAACTGCCTTAGCAATCCATACACCAGCAGTGCTGGCCAAATGCAACATAAACCTCTTTGCCTTCTCTTTCATGTCATTGGGAATAATAATGTGAGCCAGACAACAAACAATTGCCTGAGCAGGAAGAGCCTCCAGAATGGTGCATGGACACGCATGAACCTCATGTGCTGGTATCGTCAACGTTTCTCCATGGTCCACATAAAATACGGTCACGTTTCCATCACGTTCACTGGACTCTACCCATCCTCGATAGTACATGTTATCAGTAAATTTTGCAATGCAGTAGCTGCAGGATGGTATACAGATATTATGCTGGAGGCCTTCAGTATAGTCTTTTTTACCACCATTAAACTTTTTTGTCAAATTAGCCAAGTCTATCTCAAGGATGTTTAGCTGATCAAGTTTATCTTCCCGAAGAACAAAGAACCGGTCAGGTGAAACAATTTCACCTATCTCCACTCGTATTTCTACATTCAGTGGCAGATCTTCTCGTGCAAGGAGATAGGTTGCTGTGTCACTTGTAGGGGAGGTGCAGGTATGCTGGATCAATTTGTCTTTTGAGTCTCTGTTTGCTCTCTCACTTAATGATGAGGTACAAGACAACCTGTCATCCTCAAGATAAGCATCTGCGTCTGTACTGCAGCCTAATCTATCTTCCATTTCGCAACCTTGTACCTCTAATTGTACGTCGCAGTTACTGACATCTGCACTTCTATCTATCTTTAAAGTATTGCTTTGTATGTCCTCCTCCAACTGTGAAATATATAACATATTATAAGCTTTATTTAAAGAACTTTTCCAATCAGTGTTACATAAAGTTTGGTGATTTAGTGACAGGCCAGCTTGGGAACAGAGTTGCTCTAACATTTTTAGATGTGTAGGATTATCAATTCCAAATCCTTTTGCGATTAATTTTCCCCTAAATGATTCTTTTTGTACAAATGATTTTCCTACTTGCACAAGTTCAACTACTGGACTTAGCCATAGTGTATGACAAAGTGCAAATGTTATTTGACCAACAAATCTGTTACTTTTACCACTGGTGAAGATCTCGTGTACATACTGGGATGCTTCATATGTCCACTCTCTGTCATAGTCAACAGGTTGAATACGGCACAGGTATACCTCAACAATTAATTCTGGCAAAGCTGCAAGATGTGATGGCAAAAGAAAAGCAGCTTTTAATTCAATATATAATTCTTTTCCTTCATCCACAAGAAACACTTTAACAGCAGGAGCAGCATCAGAGTAGTCAATTCGAATAACCTGTGCACGGGCCCATATTCCATTATCATCGACAGCACAAAACATTCCTGGTTCAACACTCTTCAACTGGATATGTTTAGCTGGATCGGCAAAGTACTGCTGAAGAGCTAGAATTAATTTATGATGATGATTTCTCAAGTCTAAACTAGGTGCTCCTGCCTTTTCACGATATTCTGTAAGGTGAACTAAATATCTTGAGGCATTTATAACTTTTACAATATCAAAAGTTACTTCTCCCATCCTTGGTAGGTAGCGTGGAACATCAGATATTTGTACTTTATGCTTAAATCCACAATTATTTTCAACAGGACACTTACCATAAGCCTTGATGTAGTAACACAATGAACTGTAGTGACAGAATTTGTCTCTGTCTACTGCAGAACCAGCAACAATTACCTCATCAGGTATGTATTCACACAGCCTTTGTATTTCATTAAAAAGATTAGGGACTGACTGGAATGTTTCTTCTGACACAAATATATGCGATTCACAATTCAGAGATTTATTGTTCAGATCAGTAGAAAACTTTCCGACCATAAAAGAATACCTGCACAAAAAGTTAGAAACTGGTGGAGCAATATAAGTATGAAAGATAGTATCAGCATCAGCAAGATCATGTCTCATGAGATATTGCTCGGTACCTCTGCACACAATCATGGTGACAGCTGACATCATGTGCCACTCAGAAACTATATTATGCAATTTGCACATAACAATGCTGCTGGGAATACTTATTGAATAAATGGCAGCAGTCTCTAACATGGACTTCAATTTGTCACCCATTAAATCACTGTATACAAAGATTAAATTTTTCTTGAGACTGTATGAATTTTGTACAAGTTCAACAACTTTTTGAAGTGAGGATTCTTCATCCAACACAAGGTGTACGTGGCTTGCAACCCTTGCACCAATGGCTGCCTCACTAGGAGCCGAAACAATAACCATTGGATCCATAGTGGATATTAAGGTCTGTGTTAAGGAATCAAACAATTTGGTCCACTTAGAACTTACTAATACAATTTGTTGTTGTAGGTCTCCACGTTCACGCCCCTTTCTCCCCTCTCCCCATAAAATAAGCAACTGCTTAATATCACTAGCAAAATATTTCAGGCTTGAATCAGCATCATCAATAACCAGATGGCAACATCTAGCTAAAGATTTAGCAAGTGTATCACTGTTTTCTGGATTAGGGTCTTCATCTTTGCTAATTGATTTACCTGAAAGAAGTCTTAGAAGACACGGGGGCGTTGTGACGAGGATATCACATCCTAAAAGTAGCTTAATTTTTGTATCTTTGCCCTTGTCATGCCCACAGCCACCCCAGGCTGTCATGACTTTCAGGTTGAAGGAAGCAGGCAGAATGTTAAGAATGTAGTTAGCAGTACATTCTGCATTTCGCCAGGTACTACACAATACTACCAAAACTGCCCCAATGCCATCAACCAAACGACGACTGATGTGCTGCCAGGTATCCATGATAGTGGAAATTAACGGTACAACATATCCCCTAGTTTTTCCACTGGCTTTCCCACCTACTATGATTGTTGAACCACCGTGTGTAATTGCCGGCCACGTATAAGCCTGCAATCGAGTGGGCTGCATACCTTCTTCATTTAGCACTTTAACAATATGGCTATTCAAAGTAGCATTCATCAAATTCTTATTAGTTATAATATCTTCATTTGCAAGGAGTGATTCACCAGCAACAAAAACTCTAAGCAATTTTGCTATATTAAGGACTTTAGAGACAGGACTTTTCAAACTCATTGGTAAAAATTCTCCTTCCTGTATATCATTAGTCAACTCGCTGGTCCAAATATCGCGGTTGTCAGACATAAAGGAGATGTTAAAAATCTCGTGCTCAACTTCATTGTGCTTATTCTGTTTTTCATGTGTCTTTTCTTTACAGCTAACTTTATAATCAGTTTTTGGCATGCTAATTTGGTTTATTTTATCAGTACTGTGACTGAAATCATTGCATATTTTTGGACTGACTCTGAAGTTAACCTTTTCTATATATTTATCTAGTTGTTTCTGATTAACATGCCTATCCTTTGAATTTTGATTCTCAGTTAATGCTGACATGTCTTCCAGTGTAATACCCAGCTCCATATGCTCCGAGTGATGTGAATCCCGATGAGTTTCCAGTGAGCATGCAGATACCCAATTTGAAATATCTACCTTGTGTAGGCCTTTTGTTTGCCCTTGAACATCTCTTGCAATAATGCCATTTCCAATATCACAATTAAACTCATCTGGCTGAATCAAAAGTCTCTCATTGACACATTCGTTCTTAAACATACATTTAATCTCTACTTCATTATCAGGTCCTTTTCCAGGGTTTTGTTGACCATCTACACCGTTACTAATTTTATCCTTTTCCTCATTATCAAGGCATTTAAGTCTATTCAGTAGGCTCAAGCCTGATGTGGTGAAAGATAGCTTAGGAGATTCTTTCTTAGCATATTCACTTAGAGATGGCACTAGAACAAGATCTTTGACTGTTGGAGACTTAGATGATGAAGTTATTCCTGCAAAAGGGCTATTAAGATGAATGTTATCAATGTCATTTGCTGCACCTTTGTAAGCTACTTTTTCACTGCTTCCTTGTGAATAATAATTTACATCACACTTCTCTTCTGTAATTTTATCTCCTGAAGCTTGGACTAATGTTGAAATCAATATTTCTGTTTCAAGAACAGGAGCAGGAATTTCTTCTACATCAGACAGCGAAGATGTAAGCTCACCTGAGGATCTATTTCCAACTGAAGTAGCCAAAATATTTTCCTCTAATGCCATATCAGATTGGAAGGAAGTACTTATTTGACTGTCTTCTGATCTGAAAATAAATAAATACAACTGATCAGTAAATATAAATAAATGAAGTACTGAACCATGAAATTGAAGGAGATATCCCAGTTTCAAGCAAGATCATAGAAATTATTTAAATGCTTAAAATTATACATTTTTGCAAAATTTCCATTACCCAAGCAAAATTCAAATGTGCAGCAAGGCCAAGTGATACCCAAGAATGAGTCCAACGAGAGTCCAACACAAAGGCGGACTGCCAAAAGCCCTGAAGTGTAATGGTAGCACAAACCCTGCACCTCACAAGTGATTTTACCTGGGTTCAAAAACAGACAGACAGATTGACCAGGTACCAATCCTTAACCATTTGACCCTTTTTACCAGCAGTAATTGGTATTATAAATTGGTTGTAAATTGATTGGGGTGTTGTTCCATGGAAGGCTTAACATAATTAAATTCATAATACTGTTATTTATCAGCCCATCAAATAAATACTACTTTTATAACTCACCTAAAAGAACAGCTACCAATTAACAGACTTTCAGAACTATCTGATGTTAACAAGGGTGTACTTGGAAGCAACGTCAAAAATTTCATCAAGCCACGGCCTTTGGCAGCAGATTGAAGCACTAATCCTTGGTACTCTCCATTGTCTACAGTTGGTACATCGCTTTCATTTATGCTATCAGTTTTAATGTTGGTTGCGTGGTTGTGGAGAAACACCTCGTCTGAGAAAGGCGAGTCACTGTTATCCTGCACGTTTGAGAAGAATAAATGTATTAACAATGAATACAAATACTGTACAGTACTTACATCTATCCTGAGACATAAATTAATGTTTTTAAATATTGTTTTACAAAAACTTTTCTGGGGAAAGCCCCTTGTGGCTCCATGAAGCTATACGCAGAGATGGTTACCATCTACTTTTCTCTCCAAGTTGTACTCACCTAGTTGTGCTTTGACTCTTTCGTCCTGCCTCTCAACCGTCAATCAACTGGCAAGATAAGCCGATGAGTTTTAAAGGCCTACCAGGTACTAGAGCCAGAACCTGATCTGTGGTGACCACTGGGCACTTTTTTTTTGTGGCAGGGATATTCCTGCATGGGCCCTAAGCCTCTGGCTGGCCCACTAAGTGTTTCTTGTTTGTTTTAACTAGGCTGTGGATGAGTATTTATTATTTGTATGTTTGTTTCAGTAAGATTATGCCCATTGTGTTTAACAACTTTTGCTCTGTTGAATCATAGTTGAAACCTTATTTGGTTTGTAACTGTGCACTATGTTAGATAATGTTCCAATGGTCCGTCGGGCATTTCTCCACAGTGATGACATTTTCTGTCATCTTCTGGAACCTGTAAACCTATTTCCCATGCACATTGGTATCCAAGCCTGATGCGATGAAAGTGTACGTCTGTTCTACTGCCTCTTTTTCATCAAAATTAGTGGTTCATGGTTGGTTGAATACATGTACAAACCCACAGATCTTCAGATGTTGTAGCAGCTGTGTTGTGGTCATTGTACATCTTCTGCATTGCTCTATTTCTAATTACTTTCTTAATCTGAGATAGACTGTGGTATGTAAATGTCTACATTTCTTCTCTTAGTTACAAGTTTTGCAGTCTCATCTGCAATGTCATTCCCACATGACTTGGCACCCAGTTGATAAGTATCTGACGGCCTTAACCTTTGAGTGTTTGCATTAATGCTATGGCATTTGTGATCAGATGGATGTTATCATGTATGCATTCTTGTTGCAAAGTTTCAATGCAGTTCTCAAATCTGTATGTATGATAACATGTTGTTAGTGTTCAGCAATAGCATGTTCCAAAGCCCTTTGAATGGCTACCCTGGAAACAAACCGTAACTGTTTCTATTTTCCGCTTGTTACAACTTGTAATAAAGTTGTTACATCTTGGCTTAACGTGTTTATGACGTATTAGAACGTTGTTACAACTTGTTACATTGGTTGTTATAACTGGTTAGGTGTTAAAACTTGTTCGAACGTTGTACCAACGTCATAGTTTCGGTGTGTATTTGGCAGGTAGCATCTCTGTAACGTTGAACACCCATTTGCGAGTCTCCAACTCACTACAGAATTTCCTGCCTTGACTGCAACTCCAGTTTCTTGTCCCTACTGGTTTACTGATCCATCTGTGAAGTATGTGAAGTCGTCAGATGCCAAGTTTGCTTCTATATGCATCTGTGGAATATTACATAGCAGATGAGGTCTGGTTCTTTTTTCCTTCAAGAGCCATAATCTTAAAATCTGCTGGCAGCAATTCCCAGGGGGCTTGCATAACTAAATCTGCACGTATTTTGTCGACACCCCTCTCAGTGACTGTATTTGTTATATCAAATGTATTGATGGTGTTTATTGCATAATTAGTCAACCTGTTGCTATTGAAAGCTATTCTGCCCTGAGTTAGTACTCCAGATATTATATCTTTAATTGAACTTATTCTTGGTCTAGTTAATATCTTAGTATGTATGCAGCAATCCCCTTTTACCCTTATTTCAATCTATGTTAGTTTGGTTTCTAGTCTTAAGTTCTGTATTTTAGTCCATGTGGGAGCCCTTGTTATGACTCGCATTGCATCATTTTGAATAACCTCAACTTTTGCCAATGCCCAGGAGAAAGAGTGAGCTAATAGTTATGAGCAATCTCAGCAAGATAGCTTTAGGGAATCACTGGTGGGGCTCCCCCCAGAAAAATATATTACAAATATAAGGATGAAAATGTTATTCATATACCTCAACAAACGTGAAATTCCAAGCATGGAGAGGAAATATGCATTGGATATTGAAGAGTTTAAGATTTAATCTTACCAAGTAAGAGGATGACTTCTTGAATACATTATCTAATTTTTGTTCACACTCTGCTGTCTGAAAGCCTAAAACAAAAGAAAAGTATTAACACACACAAAATATAAATATATTTAGAAAAAATATTTATTTACCCAAATTCATCCGAATTTTGCCATTTATGGCTTTGGCCAAACTGTTCAGTATTTTAAAAGTTTCAACGAGATCAGCCCTATCATGTCTGGTTTGCAGTGTTTTTAGCACTGTGGCCCCTCAACTATTTATAAAGCAAGCTGCATCATTCAGCTTCCATAATACATTCATCTAACCTCTACTTGGGCCCCTCTACATTTTCAGCACTAGGTATTCCTCTAAACTCAATTTGTGCCTCCTCTACTACCTTCTCAATACAGGTATCTCCCTACCCCTTCACTTATTTTCACGGGCATTCACAAGTTTTTTAAGATTCTTAATTGGATTTCTTGTAATAACTTTAAACTTGGATGTGTCTTGTAGAACAGTTCTAACTTTCTCAAAATAGATTAGTTAGCGACTAATCTGCCTTCCTCACTACAGTATTATGTTAATGTTATTACGCAAGTCCTTAGCAGCTTGGATTATTTGAGGTGCGAGGCAACCAGGAGTGTGGCGGTGTCGCTTTTCCGTGCTTTTGGCATGTAGCTCTTCCTGAAAATCTGGGATGATTTCGATTTTACCTTCCTGTCAAAGTTTAAAGTTATTACACAAAACCCAACTGAGAACCTTAAAAAATCATGTGAATGCCCTCATACATGCAGCAAATGCCGAGATTGGAGGCCTAAAATTTGAAAGAGTAACAAGTGATTTTGGACCAAGTTATTTCTACGGTAATGTGAAGACCCATAAGCCTGGCTACCAACTTAGGCCTATATTTTCACAGCTCTTATAAATTTGCAAAAAGATTGAACACAAAAATATCTCCGTACAATCCAACTACATTCTCCCTTAAACTCTGGGTGATGCAGCTATTTAGCATTAACAGCTAACAACACTGCAGTGCACAAGAAAAAAAATTCCACTTTCTTCTAAGATTCTTAAAATTTGTTCCCTGATCATGGGAAAAATAAGAAAAAAATCATAGGCAACATATTTTGGTCGTGATCAGGCAAGGAAGTCTGGCAAGATACAGGCGCTGAAAGAGTACACATCCGGGGCCGGTCTGCTCCACATGTACCGTCAGGTGGGAGTTACCACAAAGATATTATTACCTAATTATTTCATTGTCTCGGATTTTTTCTCCGATATTTTGCTGTAATATTATTCGATACAGTATAAGAGAAGCGTCATCAATGCAAATGTAGGTCTTGCAATACATACATGCTCTTCTTGGCAACTCTTGCCCCACGAACTTCAACAAATCTGCTTAATTATTGTGAACGATTATAGCAATTCAAAATTTAACGAGTTTTATGAAGCTAGGCCACCATCTGACTGAGGATAATCAGGGCCCCAGGGGTGGAAAACCAGCCCCTGAGGGAAGACAGCATACAGTATTATAAAATACAAATACTCAGGTATATAAGGATGAAAAGGTGACAAGAGATATAATTGACAGGAATTGTAAACCTTGCAGTGAAAATGCAAGGATTCGTCCTATCATTTATTATAACAATCGTCATACAGCTTCCCTCATTATGAGAAATAACATCTCTGCTTCCTCTGACAAACTGAGGTGTACTAATGTAGTGTATCAATACAAATGCAGCTCTGGAGACAGTGCACTCTGAAAAATATGTTACATTGGACATACCACGAATACACTGAGTCGGGGTATTAATATTTTTGCTGCTGCATAGAAGGACCTTTAGATACATAAAATGTTTATGGTTAGGCACGCACCCAGGAGGCAGAACATTAAAGTGTTAAGGGAGCAGCTGATGATTGGTATATGTATAAATTTTCACAAATGTTTTGGAGGATATAGAGAGAGCAAAAAAACAGACTTACCATTCTTCTCTAAACAGCTTTTTCTTGAATTTTCTTCTTTCTCCCTTTGTTTTAATATTTCTTCTTTCTTCTTTTGTTTTAATATCTCTATTAAATTTGTATCCCATGATGCAAAGCCACACTTAACTAAAATCAAGGCAAGGTCTACTATTACAGTCTCTTTCTGAGTTTCAAGATGACAAAGAGGTGATAACCGTGTTAGAACTTCACAGAATTCTCTGCCAAGATGTACAGTCAAGGAACCTTGTAAGCAACCTGTGGATCAATAATTTTGAGACATTAACTAATGTAATTATTAACCACCACTCCTTTCACATTTTAATGTAGACAATGAACAGCCCCCCTCATGCTCATTCATGAGGGGGGCTGTTCATTGTCTACATTAAAGATCTACCAAAAGGAATTCAGAATTATACGAACAAGTTTGTGGATGATGCAAAGATACTGGGAAGATAGGAGATGCAGACAATTGTCATGCCATTCAATTTGATCTAGATAAAATTCGAGCTTGGAGCGTCAAGTCGCAAATGGAATTCAATGTGAATAAATGCCATGTTATAGAATGTAGAAATGGAGAAAATAGACCACACACAAAATCTACAAATTGTGGGAAGGAATTCAAGAACTTTAATGAAGAATGAGCCCGTTGTGGTTTTGGATAGGAAAGTGCCACCAAAGGAAATAATAAAGAACATTATGAGAGGAGAGTATGTGTCGCTTTCCAACTTCAGATTTGCTTTTAATTATATGAATGGTGAAATACTAAAGAAACTGTTTGTGACTTTTGTGAGACCAAAACGGGAGTATGCAGCAGATGTATGGTGCCCATATCTCAAGAGGCACAAAAATAAACTGATAAAGGTGCAAAAGCATGCTACAAAATAGCTTCCAGAACTAAAAAACAAGAGTTACGAGGAGAGACTAGAGGCGTTTAACATGCCAAACCTAAAACAAAACGAAGTAATATGATCACCACCTAGAAAATACTAACTGGAATCAACCAAATTGACAGAGGAATTCATGAAACCAACAACTTCAAGAACAAGAGGACACAGATTCAAGCTAGGTAAACAAAGGTGCCAAAAAAATATTATGAAGTTTTCTTTTGCAGAGTAGTAAATAGTTGGAACAAGTTAAGTGAGAAGGTGATGGAGGCCAAAACCGTCAGTAGTTTTCTTTTGCAAACAAAGTGGTAGATGGTTGGAACAAGTTAAATGTGGTGGTGGTGGAAGCCAAAACTGTCAGTAATTTCAAAGCTTTATATGACAAAGAGTACTGGAAAGATGGGACACCACAAGTGTAGCTCTCATCCTGTAACTACACTTAGGTAATTACAGAGCAGACAGCCAGATTCCAGCCTTGTCAAGCTACCATATGCAGGTCCTGCATTCAAGCTCTTCGACCTGTGTTTGTCTGTGATAAAGGGAAGGGAAGGGAACTATAAGGGGGAAAGCACCAAGTGATTATGACTATATAGCACTGGGAAGGGGTCAGGATAAGGATTTTGGGATGGGACGGGGGAGGGAAGGAGTGGTGCCCAACCACTTGGACAGTTGGGAATTGAACGCTGACCTGCATGAAGCGAGACCGTCGCTCTACCGTCCAGCCCAAGTGGTTGAGTTTGTCTGTGATAAGTTTCTGATTATTTGTGAAGATCAGGCACATTTTCCTATCTTGTTGGCTCCACTATCTGCTTGTTCAACATCTACACAAGTCCAGAAACCTGCTCGACTTGTGTGTGTCAGTTGCACAAGAGCCTAATGTACCAGGGAGCTACTATACGCCACCAAGAAAAGAATGTTTCATTACATTCAATGCTACACTTTTTCAAGGTAGCATTTCTACATTTCTACTAGATATATCCTTGAGCTAACAAAAATAAAAATCAGCAATATTTATAATAAAAATTATTATTATAAAGAGATGCCCAGAAAATATGGAAGCAAATGCAATGTAGACAATTACAAGTGCTTTAAGAACATATAGAAAATATGCTTACAAAGAAAAATTACACAAATGCAAATACCATACTGCATTTTATTTCAAGCTTTATAATTATCATAATAACCCTACTCATTAGAAGACATCAAACTCACTTATCATTTACAATTTCAAACACCTTACCATCTGGGCCACGCATCAAGGGTACAAACTCGGCATATGGTTTCTTCTTAGCAATTTTGTTTACAAAGTCATTAGCTGCCTGATCCCACGTACTGGATGCCCTGGCAAAATAATTAAGTAAATAAATAAATAAATAAATAAAACCAGCATCGAATGTAATGAAATGCCTCATATACATATATACATATATACACACACACACACACACACACACACTGTACAGTATGTCGTACCTAATAGCCAGAACGCACTTCTTGGCCTACTATGCAAGGCCTGATTTGCCTAATAGGTCGAGTAATTTTCTTTATTTAAAAAACATTCCAATTGGTTTACTTGAATTATTAATATTATATTATATTAGGAACATAAATTATTGACTTAGTTTAGTTTAGGTTAGGTAGGGTAGGGTAGGTTATGTTCGGTACAGTCATATATCTATGTTAGTTTTAATTCAAATTAAAAAAAAAAACAGGGTTGAATATAACGAATTGCCATTTTCTGAGTGAGTCCCGGAAGCTCCCCAGCATCCCTCCCTCCCTCCGGTCAGTGATTTTTTCGCATGTTTTTGACATCCAGCCTCAAAACTAGGGTGTGGATCACAGGCGCAGTAGGTCTGGGGCTTCCCCTTCCCCCTCCCGGGGAGGAGGGGGGGGGCTGCGCAGACAGGGGCGCGTGCATGGGGGAATTGTGTCAAATCCTGGTTTGTGTCTCAGAGAGGCTGAAGGATGTAAGTAAATTCAGTAGAATTTCTGGTTGCAATTCTTATACCATGTCGTAGCTCAGTCGATTAAGGCAGCGCCTGGGATGCTCTCGGACGTAGGTTCGAATCCTCGCCATGGCCCTTGTGGATTTGTTCACTGGAACTCCAAGAACAAGAAGACATAGATTTAAGCTAACTAAACAAAACTACTGAAAAAATGTAAGGAAATTCACTGTCAGAGAATGGTAGACGGTTGGAACATGTTGAGTGAGGTGATGTTGGCGAGTGAGCCAAAACCGTCAGTACTGTAGTTTCAAAGCATTATATGACAAAGAGTACTGGGAAGACTAGACACCACAAGCATAGCAATTATCCTGTAACTACACTAGGGTAATTACATTTTGAGAGTTAATTTAAATTAAAATATGTGAAACTTACTTTGGTATAATTTTCAAGTCCAAAGCAGTGAATGAATATTCCAGTGAAACAGCTGAAACACCAAATATATGAATCCGCTTAGCTTGGTAGGGAACACTCGTCCACTGGTCAGGACCCAGGCAAATTATAGAAGAACCCTATTAAAAAATGAAAATTATTTAACACACACAGAGTATATAGGAATGGTCTCCCTGCCGGCAAATGAAAACTGTAGTCAAGATGAGAGAATACAAAAGATTTCTAAAGTTAAATGACTGTTTTCTATCCTTAACCACAGCACTGCACATAGCACCTTAAGGCATTATCAGTGGTACGTGTAGTGTCTTAAGGTGCTCGATTGGTCGTGTGTATAGTGCCTTAACACACTCATAGGTATACCATAGGATTCAAAATTGATGTGTGGTCACTTGGATATGAGATGGAGGCCCGAGACCTCCAGTGAGTGTCTGCCTTCTTAAAAAAAATTCTCAGCATGCCCCACGGCCATGGGTACGTTCAATTTCCTCAACAACACTTGACCACATTGTTGAGAAAACTCACATGTTGATATTGCAGGGCATATTGTTAGAAGATGAATGTGCTAGTGATATTGAAGACCCAAGTCAGGAAAAAGGCCTAGCACGCATGTCTGATACGAGTGATATGAATATTGAAGTGGACAATGTGGAGTATGTGTACAGGAAACGGCTCTCACCAGCCCTGTCGTCCTGCCCTAGGTCAACAGCAGTTTACCATCACCACCTCTGCCATCTGACATGTCTCTACAAAGTGAGAACATAGGTGACGAGTCATTTTCTGGGTTCAATGACATGGGCTCAAATACAAGCAGCGTTGATGAACCAAAGGCAAGCGGCTATAAAGGTGCTGTTACTAGGCAAGGATTTATTACCTCAGCCACACGGCGAGCCAAGAGCCAGTGTCTCACGAGTCCTGAGGACAAAGATGACTGTGCCCTCAATGTCAGGTGTTCATGGTAAGCCTATACCACACGAAAGAACCTCATCACCTCCCATACGCAGTTCTAGCACAAGATGACAGAGCCGTGTTGTTAGTGTCCATGCTGGTGGTGCTTGTGGTGATACAAGCCATGGTGTTGGCATCAATACAACAAGCATGGGTGTACTGGTGTGGGAGGATTTTGACGCTTATCCTACATTTGATAATACCGATGCTGGTGTGACACCCACATTTCCCTATACTGGTGACAAAAAGCCCAAGTTGGAATATTTTATTGCGTATTTCAATGAGTCATTCATGCAGCATCTTGTTGTGGAGACAAACAAATATGCTGTGGAACTCATTGCATTAGGATTTTTACGTCCTCCCAAATAACATGACTATTAATGAGACTTTTGTGTTTTTATTACTGTGCATGATGAAACATTCAGATGAACATGTGATCCAGGATTATTGGAACAAAGACAGCCTTGTTCCAATTATAAAGGGAGACAGTCTTTATAACACATTATCTGTTAATACAGAGGAGTTGTGTGGGTACATTAGAGCTTAGAAAGTGGTTGAGATATTTCAAAGTGTACACCCAATAAAATTAATAAAGGAAATAGTTAGCTAAGATGCCACCAGAATGAGAATGTTGGTATCATTATATGGTGTCAAGTCATGCATGTCTTAAAACTATAATATAATTTAAAGCAATATTATCAACATCTGTAATTATTAAGGCCAGTCATGCAAACTTACACTAGTTTCAATTGTAATGCCATAGTCAAGAAGGAAAATGGTTGCATTCTGGTCAGTGTTACTGTCCTCGATGCTCTCCACCAGCCCACGAAACCAATGACCCTTGTGCTGGACTGCTACAATCTGTGGAGTGCATCATAAATTACAAGTAGCAAATTCTGGTCTCATGCTATGTTCCTTAACCCTGTACTAGTGCACTAGAACTGCATGACAAATCTGGTGTGAAAAAAAATAAATGCTGAAAAATTATTTTGTTTTATCCCCTGCACTGTTCACCCGTTTCACATGACGACTATTATGTGGCGTGCTAATATAAAAAAAATTGTTGCCCTTTATAATATTGTTAACCCTCAACATGCAGATATTGATATACAGTATGGTCATTTCCGCCTATGAACAAAAAATTTAACAAATTCCAAGAAATATTGTTTTCTTAGAGCATAATTAACTTGTATGCAAAATTTAAGAAAAACAAAAAATCAGCTTTTGATTTAATGAAATGCCAAGTTTTGGGAGAGTCCCAGTGGCTCTCTGTAGCTAACATCTCCAATGTGTGTAATGTCTAGTAGTTGCCATCAGTCACGGAGTTCTCTGGCCTACCTGAGACCCAGAGCCAGAACCTGGTCACCTCAAAGAAGTGCAAGGAGCATTGGCATTTATCTTTTTTTATATACCACCACCAAGGAAAGGCACCCAGAAAGTCAACAAGACAAAACAGGCCACAACTGGCTACTTCCTATACCTGCAGACTTGAAAACAGCCACCTTCCATTTCCCAGGAAGTTGGGGGGATTGGTTTTTCTCATCATAGAACTGAAGATGAAGCAGCCAGCTGACCCAGTCTGCTGCCCTCCTCCTCCCAAATAAGGGGGAGGGAGGTGGGGCCAACAAGCTGGCACTCGTTTCATGAATTTTTGATAGTTTGTTTACATTTTGGGAAGTTCTTTTAGCAATTTTGAAGTCTTCATTTTTATAACCAGCAGTGGTCTGTTTCTTTCACTGACTTTGTGGGTGCTTTCCTGGTGGTGGCGGCAGACATGATTAAAATTTACTGACATCATCATTGTACAGCCACTCTCTATGCTTCATTAGAGGGGCCCCATGTTTTGGCTTGTGGTTTTCAGTAGGCCTACAAAAATTTTGTGACTGAAGCACCTCAAGATGGCACCTAGTAGTTATCTCGAGATGATTTCGGGGCTTAGTGTCCCCGCAGACCAGTCCTCGACCAGGCCTCCAACCCCCAGGAAGCAGCCCATCAGGCGCCCATGGGGCACCTAGTATAGTGGCCTAGTGGCCACTAGTAGCTTAGTGGCCTATATAGTTGGGCACTGTATCAGCATTGTATTTTCAGACTTACACAGAAATTGGCATTTCATTATATTCAATGCTGTTTAATTTATTTATTCCATCTCTATGTTTCCCCTGAAACACAATGAATTAAGTTCCACTGAAACACAAATGTAACTATTAATGCATCTAATCTTGTTAGGAAATACAATGTTTATGTCAACATCTGTAATCCAACACCTCAGCTCCTGCAAAGTATCTCTTTAAAATTAAAATATTTAATTATTTATATTTTCAGGAAACTATAAGAGGTTATATTTAAACAAAATTAAGGTTAACTGGTACAGTCATTCAAAGACAAATATTTTTAGTTATATAGCTAGCTCTTCTAACTCAAATTTCAGATTCTGAGATTTTATTTGCATACAAAGAGTTAAATGACACCTTTACACTCACATCTTTAACTTTAGCTGGAAACTGCAATAAATTATATCTTGGTGTTCTCATTTTAAAGTAATTGTTCAGCTGCTTTTCCATCTGTTGGAAATGCATGAGCTCACAAGACATGGAACTCGAGTGCGTTTCTCGAACCCATAATGTGCTTGCACACTCAACCTGAAAAACAACGAAACTTTTAGCCACACAATACATAAAGATATTTCAATTATTGTACATGAAATGTGTTGAAAGTGAGGTGCCAGGAGGAGCAATGTCTCAATGATCCTCAGACAACACTGCTTTATTGCAATGGTGGATTAGCATAAATTTGTATTTACAATCAGTATACATACCAGATGAGCCAGTCCAAGCATAAATAAAGAAGAAATACATTACCCCTTAGAGAAAGCCGCTATTGTATTAATAAATGGTCATTCCTGCCTATGCACAAAAAAATAAAAATATTAAGATTTAAACATTTAAATGGAAAATGCAAGTGAAAAAATATAAATACGGTACACATTTTTACTAGTTGCAAGAGTTGTGAAAGGTTACGCTGTGGGGTCATCTGTCGACACCTGATAACAACTTTGCTGACACAGTCTATACAAGATACAACTCCAATGTTCACCCAAACAAGACTGATACAAGCATACTAACCAAACAGATCTGGAGATTTTTCCATGTGATATGCGCTTCTGCAGGCACCCAAGAAGAGTGTAACTCAGACATCTCTCTCCCTCTCTCTTATTACAGGTTTTCATTATATACAGTATATCTGAAGAAAACAAACATTACACTGAATATTACTGCAATCATATGTCTACAAATTAACATGTCAGGTTAGAAGTACATAATACAGTACACATGGTTCTATAGTAGTGATGGAAGCAGTGGTGGGAGTCACCTTTTTGGTCACCTTAGTGCTGGTCCTCGGCCGAATATAGTAAGCGCTCTAATTCAGACCTCAGTAGCGTGAATACGTTTACTCTAGCCTAAATCGAGACTAAATGTTAGGTACTTAGTATGGACAGAAATACAAATCTTAGGTCTTTGTCATCAGGTTACTGAATATCTTGCAGTCTTTTATAAAAAGATACAAGTCCATTAAAATAATGAATCAATAAATAGCATTCTACCATTTATTCCATGTGGCTGTAATTTCCTCACAAGTCTCATGTGGTACCTTATCAAAAGCTTTAGCAAAATCCATGTAAACTACATCCACCAGAATTCCTTTGTCCGAATATAAATGAAAAGGTATATTGTAGCAAGATTTTATATCAACAAATAACTACAATACAGTACCTATATAAAAATATAATACATAATATAATTAGTGTACCAGTATGATTAAAATACCAACACAGTATTAGTCTACAGAGCTCCTGGGTTCAATTCCCGGGAAGCACAGAAATGGTTGGGCACAGTCCCTTTCATCAGGAGTTAGGCAACTGTTGTGGGTTGCATCCTGGGTTAAGTCAGTGGTTTAACCTCGATATAAGCCAGGCTTCCTGTCCCCAATAATCAAGCCAGCTCACCAACGGACTTTAAAACCTACCTCACTTAACCTTACCTAGCCCCACCAACCTGTCCTCTGCTGATATATAAGTGAATACATAAAATAATCTAAACATACGCCTCCTTTCTTAATTCCTGATACAATGACAGAGACAGTGGCACACAGGAGTTCCAGCCCCGCTCCTATACCAAGGTAAGTCCACCACGGGCTCACCATAACCCATGCTACTTGCAACTTTTGGTTCCCAGCCGCTGAATCTTAAAACAACAAATGGTACACAGACCACTGAGGATAATGACTCACAGAGGGAAGGGATAATGACGACACACAGGGTCGTCGTTGCTGTTAGTTGATATAAAAAGCGAGGAGAGTGCCTGAAGCAGGGCACCCCCAGGGCACCGCGTCCCGTACTGCTCGTGTGTGTGTGCTGGCAGGTCCCTGGCCTCGCCGCCCTCCACCTTTATAGGAAATGTAGATGTTTACCTCTCAGAATGTTTGGTAATATATTAATTGTTTGTGATGTGTGTGTATGTATGTATTAACACGATGTACTGAACGGGGTGGGAATAGCTTGAGCTACCTCAGCCCTTTGTGTGTGTTTTACCTCAATAAACTTATTTCAATTTCTACCTTGATTTGTCACCGCTAGTTATATCACTGCTACCTCATACGAGCTAATAACTGGCCTTTATTTTGTATAAGAAATTCGTCTTATACGAGAGCGGTCAGCCAAGTTGAGCACCAACTGTAGCCAGCAATTACTTGGGTGACCTGTTGTTATAGATTCAGCTACTCGAAACAAGTTCCAAGTAGCACGGGCTATGGCGAGCCCGTAACTTACCAGGCACAGGAGCGGGGCAATTAGCACGGGCTATGGTGAGCCCGTAGTGGACTTACCTGGCACAGGAGCGGTGCCGACCTGGTTGGGTTACCGCACGGATACACCATTAATGTCTCCAGAGATAAGCTTACGTTTGTTATCAATTCAGCACTTGTTATCTATAACAGCCGTTAACGGGGCTATTAAATTACCCGAATTTACTTGAGGGCCACTAAAACTAGTGGCCTCGACGAGGACAGAAAGCCGGCGGCTTGTCAATGGTCTCCTGATTTGCCCCACCCCCTTTAAGTATATATTTACCGAGGACCACTAATCCTACATACTTGTGTAAAGGAGGAATGTATATATTTATCTCTCAGAATGTTCGGTAATATGTTTATTGTTTGTGATATGTGTCTATATATGTATTAACACGATGTACTGAACGGGGTGAGAATAGCTTGAGCTACCTCGTCCCTTTGTGTGTATTTTACCTCAATAAACTTATTTCAATTTCAATTTTCAACTAATCCTACACGGGAGACATCTCCCGTCACGCAGGGTGCAGTCGCACCTCCACAGATCTCCAGTATCATCTATTGATACTGGTAATGGCTCAAAAGGGCCACCACTTACGGGATATTCATGCCCGTGCCACCTTTTGGGTGGCTTAATCTTCATCAATCAGTCAATCAATCAATCAATCAATCAATCAATCCTAGTGCAGAGATCACGACCTCTCCGTAGGGTGCAGTTGCACCTCCACAGATCTCCAGTATCATCTATTGATACTGGTAATGGCTCAAAAGGGCCACCACTTACGGGCTATTCATGACCGTGCCAATTTTTGGGTGGCTTAAACTTCATCAATCAATCCTAGTGGCCTCGACGAGGACAGGAAGCCAGCAGCTTGTCGAAGGTCCCTCCCCCCCATTTGCCTTGCAGTTCCATGGGTTAATAACCCTGTGGATGAAGAAGCATCTCGTGTTCTCAGTCCTACAGTGTGGCTTGTTGACCTTACAAATGTTCCAAAGATGTGTAAATTTAAAATTTCATTCAAAATGATATGCAACCAAAAATCTTGTCCAAATATCCCCAGTTTACTAACTGTAGGTAGTAACCGAGTGATTGTAACCTATCCACCGCTGCCCACTGGATGGGGGGCGGTGTGCAGGACAAACATATCAATTGTGACACTAGCTTTCCACATGTCAGTTTTTTTTTTGCTTAATTTAGAAACTGTACTTGTGGGCAATCTCGAACCCATTGATGATGTGACGATGTGTATTGAATTTTGTAACAAGCTCATCAAAGATTGTAACGTGCTTAATTGAATGAATTAATGTGGGGTTCAGTCCCTGAGTCCATTATGTGCCTCTATAACCCTTTCCACTACCGGCCACAGGATAACTATGGGGTGAATAATAAATAAACTAACTTAAAAACTGACCTTGAAACCGTTCCTAAAGTTTGTGTTACATCTAACCTTTCGAAGAAATTAGCTTATGGTTTTTTTCTTTTTTTTTCTATCACAGACTTGGCCCACGTCTGAATTCCCCAATGGTGAAAATTCCAATGGTAAACTATGTGAACAAGAGCTAGGACATACTCTCCAACACTATCCAAACCACATGGACTGGACGGTATAATGACGGTCTCGCTTCCTTCAGGTCGGCGTTCAATCCCCGACCGTCTAAGTGGTTAGGCACCATTTCTTCTCCCCGTCCCATCCCAAATCCTGATCCCTTCCAAGTGCTATATAGTCGTAATGGTTTGGCGCTTTCTCATCCTGATAGTTGCGAGTTATATTTGTGATTGCCCTGTTTGTCAGTGACTTCAGACCAAATGGAATAAGGTACCTTGAGATCTGTAATTACTGCATATACTCAGGAATATTGGAATATATTTGTGTGCTGTACCCAGATTTTGCTAGTGTAGGCTAATAGATCAGCCTTACATGTCATGCTCTCTCCTGATTCCATGTATGACTTGCCGTCCTGTGAGGTGGGTTCAGGCTCAAGTATGTTTATTGAGACAAGAAAAAAAACATCTCAAAGGGATAGAGTAGTTTAGGCTATTTCTACCCTCCCCCCCTCTCTACTCCAAGTCCCTCAAGGGGCGCACAAAATTCAGTGAGTACGAATACACAAATCACAATACAAGATTTCCCTTACGGGCTATTCATGCCCGTGCCACCTCTTGGGTGGCCTAATCTTGATCAATCTACAAGAGTCCCATTTAACATTGCATTATGTGTGAGGTGGGGGATGTTGGATGAGCTTGTAGCTGGGTTTTAATCTACACTGTATAGTCCTTCATACAGAATAGGTAGCAGTACATTGCTGTATTCACCTAGTTGTGCTTGCGGGGGTTGAGCTCTGCTCTTTCGACCCGCCTCTCAACTGTCAATCAACTGTTATTAACTACTATTTTTTTCCCCACACCACACACACGCACACACACCAGGAAGCAGCCCGCGACAGCTGACTAACTCCCAGGTACCTATTTACTACTAGGTAACAAGGGGCATTAGGGTGAAAGAAATTCTTCCCATTGTTTCTCGCCGGCGCCCGGGATCACGCGTCCAGCGTGCTGTTCGCTCAGCCACCGGCCCCCTTTGCTGTGTATACCTAAGCTTGTTAACAAAGAAAAGACATTGTTTGAGCAGAGTCTTGTAGAAACTGGTAAGAGTAATTATAATATAATGTTTCCATGATTCAGTGCTTAGCTCTTGTGAAAATCGTGAAGTTGTTGTTTAGTCAGTTCATTTTTTTTTTTTATTGAGGCAGGTATTTTCTTCTCTGATTCCATGTATAACTAACCATCCTGTGAGATGGGAACATTAGACGAACTTATAGCTAGTTTTTCTTATGTAATCTTTCATATAGAATAGGGTAGCAACACATTGCTGTATATACCTAAGCTTGTTAATTAAAAAAAATATTATTGCGTTAGCTATGAGGCATGATATATATCTTAGGCCGTCCAGTAAGGTTCCATCCTTACCAAACTCTAAGATTATTGAAGAATTCAGGCAGGTGAGAGAATATATATATATATATATATATATATATATATATATATATATATATATATATATATATATATATATATATATATATATATATATATATATATATATATATATATAAATAACAACTGTTTTCTTAGTTATAAATATTTAAATATTTAGGATAAACTTGGTAAGAGAAGAGAGTATATTCCCACCTTGCCCGAAACACTGTTCCGGACCAAAGAGCCAAAGCTCAACCCCCGCAAGCACAATTAGGTGAGTACTGTGAATATTAGTGGCTTTAGGTATTGTACATACTAACTATATATCTATAAATCCAACATTATATTTGTAACTCACCTATTTATGTAGTTTTACATGAATAAACATTTTTATTTGATATTTTTTTTTGTATTAGTAAGGCAATAATAGGGCGATGAAGTAGGTGAGAATTAGTAACATTCCCCGCGCCTGACTAACCATCACGGGCGTGGGGTTGAGAGCGGGCCTTCCCCAGGGCGGGTCACTCACTGCTGTGGATCAAGACGGCGCCGCTCCTGTCTCTCTCTGTCTCTCCCGCTGCTTCTGTCAGTGTGGCCACCATGCTTACGCCCTGGGCATTAACGTTGTCTCTGTTAATAATTCACGGTAAGTGCCGTTACAGTTGTGAGCGTGGTGTGTTATAATGTGTAGTATAGGCAGGTGCCGGGCAAAAATGGTGGTGCTGGAGACTTCAATGCTTCGGCAGGAAGTAACAGGAACAGCAGCAAGTGGGGAGGAATTTTTCACCCTATTTGATGTTTAAACTAGAGGCTGAGGCCGCCTTCATGTGTGGCAAACAGCCCATTAAATAGAAGTTAAGAGAGAGAGGGAGAGACGCCATGGCATCCTCTACGAGCGTCTCGGGAGGGTGCAGATGCTCGATGACTCTTGAGGGAAAGTTTGTGTTTGTCAGCATTGTTTACAGTCTGGTGTTGTCTTGAACAGCTGTTGTGTATACCGGGTGTGTATACCGGGTGTGTATACCGGGTGTATATACCGGGTGTGTACAGCGGGTGTATATACCGGGTGTGTACAGCGGGTGTATATACCGGGTGTGTACAGCGGGTGTATATACTGGGTGTGTACAGCGGGTGTATATACCGGGTGTGTACAGCGGGTGTATATACCGGGTGTGTACAGCGGGTGTATATACCGGGTGTGTACAGCGGGTGTATATACCGGGTGTGTACAGCGGGTGTATATACCGGGTGTGTACAGCGGGTGTATATACCGGGTGTGTACAGCGGGTGTATACAGCGGGTGTATATACCGGGTGTGTACAGCGGGTGTGTACACCGGGTGTGTACAGCGGGTGTATATACCGGGTGTGTACAGCGGGTGTATATACCGGGTGTGTACAGCGGGTGTGTACAGCGGGTGTGTATACCGGGTGTATATACCGGGTGTGTACAGCGGGTGTATATACCGGGTGTGTACAGCGGGTGTATATACCGGGTGTGTACAGCGGGTGTATATACCGGGTGTGTACAGCGGGTGTATATACCGGGTGTGTACAGCGGGTGTATATACCGGGTGTGTACAGCGGGTGTATATACCGGGTGTGTACAGCGGGTGTATATACCGGGTGTGTACAGCGGGTGTATATACCGGGTGTGTACAGCGGGTGTATATACCGGGTGTGTACAGCGGGTGTATATACCGGGTGTGTACAGCGGGTGTATATACCGGGTGTGTACAGCGGGTGTATATACCGGGTGTGTACAGCGGGTGTATATACCGGGTGTGTACAGCGGGTGTATATACCGGGTGTGTACAGCGGGTGTATATACCGGGTGTGTACAGCGGGTGTGTATACCGGGTGTGTACAGCGGGTGTGTATACCGGGTGTGTACAGCGGGTGTGTATACCGGGTGTGTACAGCGGGTGTGTATACCGGGTGTGTACAGCGGGTGTGTATACCGGGTGTGTACAGCGGGTGTGTATACCGGGTGTGTACAGCGGGTGTGTATACCGGGTGTGTACAGCGGGTGTGTACAGCGGGTGTGTATACCGGGTGTGTACAGCGGGTGTGTATACCGGGTGTGTACAGCGGGTGTGTATACCGGGTGTGTACAGCGGGTGTGTATACCGGGTGTGTATACCGGGTGTGTATACCGGGTGTGTATACCGGGTGTGTATACCGGGTGTGTATACCGGGTGTGTACAGTGGGTGTATTTACTGGGTGTGTACAGCGGGTGTATATACCGGGTGTGTACAGCGGGTGTATATACCGGGTGTGTACAGCGGGTGTGTACAGCGGGTGTATATACCGGGTGTGTATACCGGGTGTGTATACCGGGTGTGTATACCGGGTGTGTATACCGGGTGTGTATACCGGGTGTGTATACCGGGTGTGTATACCGGGTGTGTATACCGGGTGTGTATACCGGGTGTGTATACCGGGTGTGTATACCGGGTGTGTATACCGGGTGTGTATACCGGGTGTGTATACCGGGTGTGTATACCGGGTGTGTATACCGGGTGTGTATACCGGGTGTGTATACCGGGTGTGTATACCGGGTGTGTATACCGGGTGTGTATACCGGGTGTGTATACCGGGTGTGTATACCGGGTGTGTATACCGGGTGTGTATACCGGGTGTGTATACCGGGTGTGTATACCGGGTGTGTATACCGGGTGTGTACACCGGGTGTGTACCTATACAAGGCGTGTGCACCCGGCTGACACCACTGTTAAAGTACAGTTAGTAGTTGGTTGAGTACTCTTGGTGGGGGGGTTGGGCCGTGACGGGTCAGCTGTGGTACTCGCCTATTTGTACTCGCCTATTTGTGCTTGCGGCGGTTGAGCTCTGGCTCTTTGGTCCCTCCTCTCAAATGTCAATCAACAGGTGTACAGGCTTCCGAGCCTACTGGGCTTCTATCATATCTACACTTAAAACTGTGTATGGAGTCAGCCTCCACCACCTCACTGCCTAATGCATTCCATTTGTCAACCACTGACACTAAAAAAGTTCTTTCTAATATCTCTGTGGCTCATTTGGGCACTCAGTTTCCACCTGTGTCCCTTATGTTAAATAACCCGTCCACCGTCTGGTGGGGGGGGGGGGGGGGGAGAGGGTGACAGGTCTGCTGTGGTGGGGGGAAGAGAGTGACGGGTCTGCTGTGGTGGGGGGAAGAGAGTGACGGGTCTGCTGTGGTGGGGGGGGGAAGAGGGTGACGGGTCTGCTGTGGTGGGGGGAGAGGGTGACGGGTCTGCTGTGGTGGGGGGGGAGAGGGTGACGGGTCTGCTGTGGTGGGGGGGGGGGAGAGGGTGACGGGTCTGCTGTGGTGGGGGGGGGAAGAGAGGGTGACGGGTCTGCTGTGGTGTGGGGGGGGGGGGGGAGAGAGGGTGACGGGTCTGCTGTGGTGGGGGGGGGGGGGGGGAGAGAGGGTGACGGGTCTGCTGTGGTAACCGGTCCCAGGGTGGGGAGGACGGGTCTTCTGTGCTAGACGGTCCCAGTGGGAAGGGGGGGTTGGGGTAGACGGGTTAAAGTATGTTCGAGACAAGAAAATACATCTCAAAGGGATAGAGTAGATTAGGCTGGTTCTACCCTCCCTTTCCAGACGGGTCTTTTGTGCTAGACGGTCCCGAGGGGAGGGCGGGTCTGCTGTATTTACGGTCCCAGGGGGTGGGGGGGAAGGGCCGGTCTGCCGTGTAGACGGTCCCAAAAGGGAGGAGGGTAAGAGAACTGCAGTAGTGTAGGTCCCAAAAGGGGGGAGGGTAAGGGAATAAAGGGTGAGGGACTGCTGTATGGATGGACCCTTATCTCCCTCCCCCCCCCTTCCCCGTGCACACAGTCATTTTGCCTTGCCACCAACCCGTCTAGTTGCTCTCCCCTCCCCCACCTAGTGACCGTTCATTCTCCACACCCTCACAAAGTCAGCCCCCACAACTTTCGCATACAGCTATGATGAGACAGCAGTTTGCTGGGTTACATAGCAAACTGCTGCTGTGTGACAGTGTAACTGTTCTTGCCGCCTAACTGTCACTGGTAGTTTCCAAGGGAAATCATGCATACGAACATTTTCTCTTAAGACGACTTTTTCAGGAAGCCAAACTATACATAGGTGTCGGTTCCTATGCCGGTATCTGGAGAATGACAAGGCATTTTCCAGATTAGTGCCTACAGTAAACCTATGGTGGCAAGGCATATTCTCATAATTGCGACATACATCTCCGTTATGATAGTCATTTAATTAAGCTTGCGTCCTGGGGAAATGGGGTGAGGGGCGGAGGATACCATGGTAACCCAGAGTAGTATCGCACTGGTGCCACTAATATTATATAAATCACAAAACTGCTTTGAAATGAAATGTCAAATTTCGTACGTAGACTTGCACATAGGCCCATGTCAATTTCCATAAATTTAATAGTTTTGTAAATAAAAAAAATGCTCTTTCGAAGGTTTGTGAAATGTCTGAATAGGATTATAAATTTTTTTAATAACTTTGAATAATTTGAAATGTATGAAAATATTAAAATATACATAGACAAGAGACTGAACTTCAGCACTAACATAAAACACAGCCAAAAAAGTCTCAAATGATCGGTATACTTTCTAAAACCAGACGTGTTCCAAACTGATTTTCTCTTTATACTACGCACTAATCTATCCCAATCATACATACTAATAATAATAAATAATAATAATAAATGATAATAAATAATAGTAATTTAATAAATATTATTATTTATTATAATTATTATTTATTACTATTACTGTAATATTACTTAATATTTTATTATTTATAAATAATAATAATAAATATTAATGTTAATATAATAATAATTTATTATTATTTATTATAATTATTATTACTGTATTAATATTTATTTATAAATAAATATTAAATATTATTTATTTATAAATAATAATAATAAATACTAATTATTATTAATAAATAATTTATTAATATTAATGTAATTATTAATAATAATAATCATAAATAATAAATAATAATTTATTATTATTCATTTTATTTTATTTATTTATTAATAATAAATTAAAAATAATATTAATAATAGTATTAATAATAAATATTATTTATTAATTATTTATTATTATTTATTATTATTTAATATTATTAATATCAATTATTATTAATGATATTAAATATTATTATTAATTATTATTAATATTAATTATTAATAATAATATTAATGATTAATAATATTAATAATACTTTAACAAATAAATAGATAATAATAATTAAGAAATAATAATAAATAATAAATCATATGTTAATTATTATTTATTATTAAATAATAATAATAAATAATAATAAATATTAATATTAATAATAATAATTATTAATTATTACTATTATTATTATTTTAATATTTTATTAATCTATTGAATAATAAATAATATTAATAATAATTTTAATAAATAATAATAGTAATAAAATAATAATAATAAATAATATAACAATATTAATATTAATAATTAATCATTATTTTTATTTTTTATTCATTATTTTAATATTTTATTACTTTATTACTAAATATTAATAATAATTTCAATAAATAATAAATAGTAATAATAAAATGATAATAAATATTACTAATAAAATAATAAATATTAATATAGCAATATTAATATTAATAATTTATATCATTATTTTATTATTAATTTATTAATAGTAATAATAATATAATAATTATTATTAATCTTAATAATAAAAATATTTTTATTTATATATTTATTTTTTAATTTATTTTTTATTTTATTTATTATAATTATTATTTATTATTATTAAATAATAATAATAATAATAAATAATAATAATAAAATACTAAATAATAATAATAATAAATAATAAATTTATTATTTATTACTTATTATTGTTAGGATTATTATTGATATTCTTATTTTTATTTTATTTTATTATTAATAATAAAGGTAACTGCAGAAGGATTTGCCTGAGGCAGATTCTTTGACCCACTTGAGAAAATTCAGCGACCCCCACATTACGTTGCTAACTATTGGAAGGTTGTCCCATACCTCAGTGTAGACTCATACTGTACTTTCCACTCGGTGGAACATATTTTAGTTCATTATGGTAAATAATTCATTATAGAATGTAGGCAGCAATGGTTAACCTTTTGAAACATGTTAGTGATGTAGAAGGTAATTTAGGCTAATTTTACTTATCATTTAAGATGTAAAAGAATTTACATAAAAATCATTGTGTTGCAGGAGTTGCAGCGAGTCGAGAGAGTGAATGCATCGAAGTTGGATTCGCACGAGCGGCGGGGTCCAACCTGAACCAGGGGTTTGATGCAGCCAAAGAGGCAGTGGTGGCCAGGTGGGCTGAGGAGGACACTCAAGGGCGACCCAAGTACACCTCTTTCTCTCCTCTCCTTAAGAATGTACGTAGCCTAGGAGTGGAAAGCACAGCAACACTGTTCAGGCTGGTTGTAGTCCTCAATACTGAATTGTCATAATATTAAGTAATCAGCTTAAACAGGTTTTCTGTACTAATTTCTTGTGAAAGTTAACAGCGTTAAACTTTACTAGTTCTTTCTTCAGTTACTGTATTAGTGTATTGATGCTGGGGAGTAAGGTGGTGATTGGATTTCTATATACATGTACTGTATATGAGAACAATTACTGTAGCCTTGTATTTACTTTCCACACAGGGATTAAAGTTGTAACAAATTGGTAAATTTTTTGTAATTAAATTTAATCTTAGTCCTTAAACTGTGTTATGCAACTTTACAAGAAATGAGCAAGACTGTTACTTGTAGCCAATCCAGGTGTTACCATAGGCTGCATGGCTTGGTATTCACCCACTTTCTGGCAAATGAAAGAATGTAAATAAAACTTTCTTTATAAATATTCTGTATGAAGATATTTAAAATTTTCAGGATCAACTTTGTCATTCTTTGCTGAATGCATTCTAGTAAACTCATTCATTTTGTAGTACAATAACCAAAACTGAACTTGTTAATCTAAATTGGGCCCAACATAAACATGATATAGCTTAAGAATGACATTTGATGTTTTATTGCTAATGCTTCTATAAATAAATCTCAGTACAGTATAGTATACTATATGCCTTATTTCAAACATTTATGCATTGATATTTTAGCTTTAAATTCTTACTAATCAATAACCCCAATTTGTTTTCTCCCATTGAACCTCACACTTTAAAAACCATCCAGCTGATATCTTGTAACACTCATCATTAGCCCCCATGTACTGTAAAAATAAGCAGATGCCACCCATACCTCTGTACAGCTCTAAATTATTTATCATGATTGTAATTTTGGTGTTTAGTTAAAAAATGTTTTTTCCTCCTGTATGCTTGGTGGTGTTAAGTGCTGCTTCTTGCAGGTGACGCGGACGGCACAGCTGCTGGAGGAGGCGTCGAAGGTGGTGGTGGAACTGATTCGTAAAACCCGGGTGGGTAAGAGGTGTAGGGGCGTGTGGCTGCTCACTGGCCTCGAGAAGCATGTCATTCCCCTCATTAATCTCGACAAGCCTCTCGCCGAGGATCTGGGACTAGGCAAGTGCCAGGGGTTTGTAGTAGATGAAGGAAGGAAAATAATGTATTTGTCCTAAGTAAATGCCATTTGTCGCTTTATTTTTTAATTTGCCATATTAGATTTGAGCACAAATGCACGACACTATAAAAAGTATTTTATATACTGTAGATGTTTTGTTGATCTAAATAAACAGCTGTGCTTTGTACAGGGTCTCTCAATGTTACCCAACATTAGACGGTTTGTTTGCTGGGCATGAAGGCGAATTTCACGCACAAGATTAATGCGGATAAAGTCATAGTTGATATACTGTACAGTACCTGTAATAATAAAATGTCATTGGGTCTCTGAATGGAAAAACACCAATTAAGAGTTGGCAGACATCAAAGTATGGCTATGTTTTGACACTTTGTATGTTAGATTGCAAGGCTTTAATATACTCGAAGTTGTGCATGTATAACCTAAGCTGATTTTGAATGACATTGTAACTTTTGGGTTATATTTTTTCAGTAATGTCATTTCGTTGCATGGTTGGATCACCATACCCCAATGTGGATGGTTCGTGTATCAGCCAGGAATCTCCTGACCTGGGGTCTGTTGGATCAAAGTTCCTCAGGCTCCAGCCAGCTGTTGCTGCCAAAGATGGTAAGTTGAGAAATATGGTTAATAACCGGAATAACTAGCTACTTGGTTTGATTACTGAATGTATCGGCTATGACTAGTTCTCGGCTCAGTTTTATGGTGTATCCTCAAAGTTGAAAGGCCTCCAAATGCCATTAGATTATTCATAATTTACTCTCATTTATGGTTCATTGGGCTCCCTTTCCCTTGTGCTCCACCTTCCCCTCTGTATGGCAAAATTGTCATTAATTCTGCCTGTTAACATGCTTGTCAGATACCCACAAAACATGCCAACCTCATCGCCCAAGCATTGCTAAATTATTTCAGTCAACGATATGTTAAATTTTCCTTGCTTTGTCACATTCTGCATATCTATTAGTCTTTTCCTTTCTCAGCACAAGATTTGTCTCATTTCTTTTAAAACTTCACTCAATGTTTAGTTCATCTAAACTGGCTTTGAACTGGGGCGGGAAAGGGGGAATTATTTAACATGACAATGCTGACAGTGCAGAAATTGGACCATAAGCAATTCTGGCTGTTACTGGACAAGTTTCATTAGAATATCTTGCTGGATTTAAATAAATCTCTAAAAGTTTGCATTTGCTGGGAGCACTTGTAAAATGAGGCATCACCAATCACTTCATGTTGGTATACTGCACTTTCATTCTTGCAAAGCCACCAACACTCATAGCATTTCAGGCAGTTCCTTAATCTAACAGAAGGTAACCTTATTAATAGGTACATAGTAGCAAAATTTGAGTTCATCATTACAATATAAACGCTGCTTTCAGAAAACACACGGTCCTCCCTCCTTAAATCCCTAAAGATGAACCTCCCCTCCACACACTCTTGTGCCATTTACATTTACAAAACCCTGTTCTTAAATGCAAACCGTTTTGAAACTTCCTGGACTGATGTAATAGGAATCATATTCACCACACCAGAAATATATATCTTTGATACAGTATACCCAGTCAAAATTAATCTGTGTAAACACACTATGCAAATAAAGGGACCTAATCTATGGAACTCACTCCCTTTTGAATTGAAAAACTGTCCAACTTTTGCCTTGTTCGAAAATCAAATCAAAAGGTACCTAATTTCATCTCCATAGTTCCCTACCTAGTGCTTTAAACTCACTGTAGCTAGTACTTCCCAATCCCCCAATATATGTACCTTAGCCATATAACTTTACCATTGTAATCATTGCCATCATCACACATCATGGTTGTTATATTGAATACTTATTTTACTGCTTTATACCTTGAAATAATCCTCATTATGCTATAATGTACCTGTTGATAACCCTCAAATTTTACTTTAATATACCTACTAAACTTTGTCAAATTTTTTTACAATGTACCTGGGTCTCTCAATGACCCCAGGTACATTTAAATTTTTTTTTTTAAATTTGCTAGAAATTATCTACTTAAAATTATCCAAAACTCTGCCAACAGGATTTGCTCCTCGGGAGTCTGTGAATGAGGAGAAGACGCTGCCCACAGCCCGCCAAGTGGCGCAAGTGCTGAGGAAACACATAAAGAAGCCACCTGTGACTGGCATTTTTTCTGAGTGGAGCCACTTCATCCAGAGAGACATCTTCAGCATCCCAGTAGGTTTCCCCAATAAAAATATAAAATTTTTTTGCTTTCCTTATGAACTAATTTTTTGACTTGGCATAATCAGTTTAGCACTCGTTAAGAAAACTTTTTCATCTAAATAGTCTTGTTTTCTGGGTTGTTTCTTAACTGGTGCACTGTTGGTTCAGCAAGGAATAATAAATGTACATTTCAAAATAAATTAAATTTTAAATTTTCTAATGTTGATCTGACTGTGACAAGTTTATACCCAGTAGATATCCTAGGAAGCATTTCTCCTCTAGTTTTAGCACCAGAGGTGGGAGACGTGTACCTGGTAACTACATTATACAAGTTTAGTGATGGATATCTTGGAGAGGACCAAATTTATGTAGTGGCAGTTTTGGCTTGACAAGTTTTTTCATGAGGTATTGAACAGCTTGAGGATAAATTCTCCACCTTGAGGATTGCCTCCACTGCCTTATCACATGTAGTAAGAGGTTGTTTGCTACAGTTGCATTCTATCAGTGCTCCTCTGTTTCCTTTTTTTTTTTTTTAAACCTTGTCAGTAATGTTGTCCGACTCCTCTAAGTCTCAAAATGGGGTACACCAGAGATTTGTGCATATTTAGGTATTTGTTGGATAAGGTGTTTAGGATCTGTTGGCAATTATTTGTATTGCATGGGTGAAGCATTTACAGCATAGTGGTTCGAACAAATCGGCGAACCCCTTGTTCCGAAAGTGTTTGGACGTCATTAGTTGGTAGTCTTGAGTAAACCATTTTTCATTTGAATCCCAAGTGGGACAGAAATTGTCTGACTCCCTTCTTGTCGGCTAATGCCCTGTTCACCTAGCAGTAAATAGATACCCAAAAGTTGACCTGTATCCTGTGGAGGGTTAATAATTTGACCTTTGGTAGGACTTCAATAAATCTAACATGCACATACAGTATACATTGGCTGCCTGACACAATGAATTATTTGGTAATTCGGATGTTTTCCAAGTAGTATAGGAATGCAGTAAATTTAGCATGTCAAAATCTCTCGGAAAAGAACCTGGCCATTCCTGGTCCTAAATTGAATTCGTGTTTGGGAAATGGGGTCATTTGGAAAGGGCAGGGAAGTGAGGGCAAGGTGGGAGCCATAGAGAGAACATATAATTATTGTGTGTAACAAGGGTGATAATAAATAATTGCATGCAAAGTATGTAAATGAGATCTAATAATCTTCCTGACCATTTTACCCAGGAGTCGCCATTGGCAGAGGATGTGGACTGCTGCCTGTCTCCAGAGGCAGAGGATTGTGCACCCATTCCTGTTGGCAAGGAGGACCCAATCTACTCTGTCCTAACTTGCATAAATTTCAGAAGATCTGCTCGAGCACAAGCAATCCTTGGTTAGTAATTGGGGATTTAAGGTTTTGACACAACCCATCATGCTTGCCTTGCAAACCTGTTTTTTCCAAATGGAGGGGGGGGGGGGCTACAATACTGGTAGTGTGAATTTCTACTAAAAATAGTTTTGTTTTCTGGAGGACTTTTTTTTTTTTTTTAAATTTAAAAAGTTTCAATAATACAGCTAGGAAATCTGGGTTCGAAACCTGGGTGCGACAGAAATTGTTCGGGTTCAAGATCGGCCAAAAGTACAGTTTCTAAATTAAGCAACCGACATGTGGAGAGCTAGTGTCATAATTCATAATTTTTTTCTTGCACACTGGCCCCCATCCAGTGGGCAGCGGTGGATTTGTTACAATCACTTACCTACTACCTACAGTTGGCAAACTGGGGATACTTGACTAAAATTTCTGGTAGCAGATCATTTTGAATGAAGTATTTACACATCTTCAGAAAATTTGTTATAGAATTCTTTGAAATCGGGTATCATTTTGCACTCCATCCCATAGTGATGTAGGATGTGTGAATAATTTTGTTGACACAATTTACATTTGGTCAGGTCTACATCAGCAGATAATGAGAATTCCTAGAAATACTTGTAGCAGTCGGTCCCAAAATTGGCATTTCATTACATTTAATGCTAAAAGAAAGGAAAGGAATATTGATACAAAAAATAACAATTTACTCTATTACATACAATGATAAACAAATAACATGAAATACACACAAAACTCCCCCAGCTTTAAACACTTGGTTAACACACACAAGCAAGATTAATACATATAAACTTTTGTTAACATAAAAATATGGGCGACACTGAATATATACATTGAACATTACAACATGAACACAAAGCATCAGAAGAAAAGTGTCGCGATGAGGCCATAATGTGTAATCCCCGAGCACCTGAGAGACTGATGAGATGACTGGGATCAAGGGTACTTGTACCCCTGACTGTGATGTCGCATCCTTTATCAAGGTGGGCTATAACGGATCACCTGGCTGCACCTGCAGTGGGTTTACGAGCAGGGTGGAGAGTACACTGGTAGGGTTGTCTAGATATTCATCTGGAACTTGATGGCACTCCATACCAGATGTTCTATTGGGTAAGTCAGTCCAGATGAAGTATAGTAGTCATGAGTAGCCTTCCAATGGCGAAAGTAAGAGAAGAGGCAGTTTTCCCAGCTATGCAGGGAAATTGTAGCAATAAGAAATGCAATTCTGTGCATAATGCCAAATGCATTGATGGGAGATCACACTGAGTGGGAGTCATATTGCATGTGTTCAAACTAATGCTAACCGTGTAGGGTATATTTTGTTAGTACAGTTAGTTTGATAATGGGTTTTAATTTTCCCCTTAATATGGTGACCTTTGGACCACTTTGTATTATATTGTCATAAACCTTGTATTAAAACTTTATTTACAGTAAGTAGACTCTTCCCAGAAAAGGTAGAGAGCCTCAGGTCTAGAATATAAAGCTTGATTGTAGGACTTTCAAATAATGTATTAAACAAATTGGGAGACATTAACTACATACTTAAAATTTCCAATGTAACTTGCACAAGGTGGGTGGGGACACCTTGAGAAATCAAAAAGTTAATGTAGGATAGGCAATGTAAACTTTCCTACATTCGTTAATAAATCCATGGAATCTACCACCATCTAAGTAGATGAAGTACATGCATCACCATCTGTAGCTGTGTTATCTTCTGCCATCTCATTCTTACCCATTATCTTAAACGTTCACTTGTACACCCTCCTCCCTCCAGGCTGCACTTTATCCTCCAAGTTGTGTTTATTTCCTTTAGAGTTTTGTCGAGTGAACTTTCTCTAACCTTTTGCAGGACATAGAGAATCTTTCTCTTTCGTCTCGACATACTTGGATGCTACACCTCTCTATGGACCTACAGACAGGGTTGCCTTCAATAGGAAGACAGGATACTTTGGTTACCTCAAGTAAGTTGGCTTATTATGTTTTGGTTGATCCATGACATTTAACCAATTGGGAAGGTGTTACTGTGGTGGGATGATTGGCTAGAGGGATGGTTGGATTAGTTAAACTAGCAAAGCTAATACTACTTGTGCTTTTTCTACATAGGTACAATAATTCTAATGCAATGGTACTAAAAGATTGTCTAGTAGTAGTTAAATTCACTAATGTCACTACACTAGTCTTATGAGATAAAGAATGCAAGGACCTGGTGTTAAGATTATGAACCTACTGTTGGCACAGCTTGTGCCAGTTTCACAATACTAAAATATCTGCCATGGTTTGTCCCTTGCATGTACCTGTACAACCTGGCACATCTATGGTTGTGTGACTGTACTTTTGTGCTGTGGCCTGGGCAGTGACCCCTTCTGCTATTTCTGAAAATTATAAATTTCTTAATGGTTTTATTTAATTTTTTTTGTATATACAATGTCAGTTTGCAGTCCCTTTTGATCCTCAGGGGTCCCGAGTCTGACGAGAAGACAGAAAAGGATAAACAAGGGGGAGAGAAGAATGTGAAATGTGCCGCGCCCGAGAACATGAAGGGATGCTTCCAGCTGCAGGAATCCGATGACTTGGTAAGTTCGAAGCTTTTCTAATCTAACTTTAGCATGTTTAACTACTTGTTTTGTAGTGTGGCTTGTAGAGGCAAGTGTCCTTTCCTAGGGAGTTTTTTTTAGTAAAGTTCATTTATTATGCACCCCATACCCATCTTGTGGGCGGTAGTGGAAAGTGTTGGAGGCACATAATGGGCTCAGGGACTGAACTCCACAATTCATTTAGCTAAAAAAGTTACAATCTTGATGTGCTAGTTACAAAACTCGGTAAGTTGTCACATCAACAATGGGTTCGAGATCGACCATAAGTTTCATGAATGGCTCGTCAAAATAAATCATAAAATACTTGCCTTTACTCATATTTTCACAAGAATATGGGAAAATGTCTGTAACACCAATATTCATATCATTAAATGTATACATTTCCGGTATAAAATTGTCAATCTTTAAACACAAGAAAACCTCTGCTGCTTGTGGTCCACCACAGCTCCATCTTATGATAAAACTTGGTTGGCTTGGAGATGAAGCAGTTGTACTGTGTATAGGGCAGCCATGAACAGTTAAAATTGAGGCCACTCTTACCTCTATTTCTCCTGGCTCATCACATGCCATTGCTTTGCAGGGCGAACTACTAACACTGCAAACCTCAACCTAGTAACACAATGAGAGCTGCTACCACTAGCTTCATCTATGCTGCTATTATCTGAACCAGTCAGTCTGAAAAAAGGAATCATCATCCATGTACTTAAGAGTGTAAAGGAATGGCAGGTGGCACAGATGGTGAAATGGAACTAGGGCAGTGTTGATCTGGGACACAGTGGCAGTAGTGTAATCCTCACACTGGACATGCTCACTGTATGTTGTTCATATCACTGATATCCAACCTTTGATAGGTCATTAGTCTCCGTGGTATTGTGGTAAGACACTCGCCTGGCGTTCCGCGAGCGCTTTGTCGTGGGTTCGTATCCTGGCCGGGGAGGATTTAATGGGCGCAAATCCTTAACTGTAGCCTCTGTTTAACTCGACAGTAAAATGTGTACTTGGTTGTAACGACGATTCTTTGTGGGGGTCGTATTCTAGGGACCTGCCCGAAACGTTACGTGTACTAGTCGCTGTACAAGAATGTAACAACTCTTGTCTATATCTCCAAAAAAAAAAAAAAAAAAAAAAAAAAAAATTGGGTTTTGTATTGTCAACATCACTGTCAAGGTCCAGTTTATAAAGTACCCGACATATTTCATCCTCGGTAATTTTTCTTCTATGTTACCTAAGTTTGACCCGGAGCTAGATTAAAAGTTTTTAAATTTTATTTCCATTAAATTTGCAAATCTTTCATTTGGCTTGATACTTTGATACGTTTTTAATTGTAATATTGTGGCCCCTAACTGTACAATTTGCTGGCTCTAAAAGTTGAAACCCAGACTTGAGTTAGTGCTCTTCCTGTAGTCCTTAGCTTTGATAGTCCTCCAAGCCTCTAAAACTAAAATTGTTAATTTTTGTCTCATAGATTGAAGACTTGAAGCTGCTGCTGGTACTAGAGCATAACAGACTAGCCGATGCCTTGGCCGAAATTAATCCTCACTTCGATGATGCCCTTCTGTATAATGAGGCAAGGTCAGTATCAAGGTGGTGGTAACTGTTGTGCATCTCTGCATTACATAAACCAACAATAACTCTACATCAACGTGCCAGATGTATCCATTGTAAGATGTATTTGCCGTAAAGAAGCAATTTTGTCATAAATTTACTGGAAATTGGAGTTCTGAATTATGAAAATGGTGAACATGTAAGAAATTAGATTTTTTAGGTACTGTATTTAAACTTTATTGATTTTTATGCAGGTCCTTAAGATAACTAAAATGTAATAGTTACAGTGTAGCAGAATTTGAGTTCAACATAATAACTAATATAAATTGATTGTATAGATTATACTCCTAAAGTTGCATGTCTTTAGGTACAAAAATTAGGCGAGTGGGGTAGTGCAAGATAATTTCCCACCTTGTGCTCAAAACTCTTAAGAGAATGGAATTGGGTTCTTTTTGGTTTTACTTTTGAAGGAAGTACTGTATAGGTTGGACATTTGTTTGAATTCATTAAGGCAAACCCTCATATACTAGGTCCTTTTATTTGCATGGAGTGTTTACAGATTGTCAGACTCTTAAGAATATCAGAGATGTTTATTTCTGGTGTGGTACCCATGGGTTCTATTACATCTATTAAGAGTTTCAGATCATGATCTGAATCACGATCATGATTCAGCATTTAGGATTAAGGTTTTGTACATGTAAATAGCACAAGAATGTATAGTGTGTTTAGCATGTTTAGGGATTTAAACAGGTGGTGGGTCTGTGTTGTCTGAAGTGTTATAGCTCTGATAGAAGATTGTTGCTGGGGGATGATGGGTTTGAGGTAATTTTCAGTGGTTGAACCCCATGCACACATACCATATGTTAGAGATAGATTAGTGAATACAGTAGTATAGTGTAAGAAAAGCAGGATGGGGAATATCAGATGTTTGAGAGAGTACCAACAATTTTTTATTTTTTTTGACTTGGCTGTGTTGTATGTGGTTGCTGAAGTATAGTGTCTTGTCTATATATAGACCAGAAATTCCCTTATTTTGAATGCTGATGTTGACATTGTCTCTGAAGGTAAATTTGGTTTGATTTACTTCCAAATAAAATGTAGTAGGTCTTTTACATGTTTAGTAAGTTTGTTGGTAGACATCTATGAGTAAATAATTTCTCTAATTCATTATTTACAATATTAGTGTGTGGGGGTTGGGGGTCTGAACAGATGAAGGTACAGTAGTATTGTCATCAAATAATATAGATTTAAGAATGTTAAAAGACAATTGGTAAATCATTGATGTATTTAAGAAATAGGAGAAGTATGAGATGCTGTCCTATGGCACTCCTATGGTTAATGGTAGAGTGGGGGAGGTTTGTTCACGGGGTACATATTGGTGTCTGTTATTAAGATATGATCAAATGTACAGTAGTTCAGAGCAATACCTCGGATTACATAATGATAGTTTAAGTAGGAGGTATTTATGGTTTACGGTATCAATGGCCTTTCTCAGGTCAATGAAGAGGCCAATTGGAAACTCAGTCAACACAGTCCTTGACACATATCAAGCAGACTGATAATGGTATTAATAAAAATCGTTTTGGGAACAGAAGCCAAACTGGCCAGGACTATATATGTTGAATTTTACAAGGTAGGAGTATAGCAGTTTGGAAATAATTATTTCAAATACTTTTATAGTATTGGTAGGTTTGATACTGGTCTGTAATTGTTTAATGCCTACAATTAAACTGTAATGTATACAGACGGATCCTCATAGCGGAGTATGACCACATCACCTATGGCGAATTCCTGCCGGTACTGATGGGGAAGGAAGTGGTGAAGAAACACTCCCTCAACCCTGGTGCTGAAGGAATAGCTGCTGGATACATTAAAGAAGTCAACCCAGGCATTCTCAACTCCTTTGCCCTGGCTGCCTACAGGAATCCTTCTGTGAGTGTTTTGTCGAGGTGCTAAGTTTTATAACAATATCTTGGTTTTTATTAGTATGTACACAGTGAAGTCATTTTTGAGAATCGGTAGGAGCCGTGAGCAGGATTTGAATCTCTGCTCTGGGTGTACTACCAAGTAAATGCTCTAGACCACTATACCATGACAACATAAGCATTGCAACTTGGGATTCAACTGAATTCTCTAGGATTTTTAAGGCTTCCACTGAAGCCTTAAACACTAGAGGCTTCAGTGAAACCTTGCACCACTACAAAATATGTATCTAGAACCACCTTTAGATGTAGTTATCAGAATTTTTTTTTTTTTAAGTTTCTCATAATTTGTAGGTTGTGTGTGATCTATTTTCTCCTATTCCACATTCCATAACATGGCGCATATTCACCTTAAATTTCATTTGCCAAATGGTGCTCCATACGCTTATTTTGTGTAGGTCTTCTTGAAGGGCATTACGATAATAGTAGTGTGTTCTCAAATTGTTAAAATGTTGTCTCCGATCACTGGAAACTAAAAATATTGTATGTGACATACTTTAGCTGTGATGGAGCTAAAAAGGTGAGCAATTTATTGGCACTGAGGGAGTAGGGGCCTGGACACGCTCATCCCAGCCACCCTATGGGGCAGTAGTGGGGCTGCGAATATAATGCTTCACAATTATTTCGATGTCTCGTTCGTTTCTTCGCAGTTTTTTTGCTGTAACATTATTCAAAAGTGTGTAATTCATGGAATTTATATACAATAGTTAAATGTGTGGAACATGGCTATGCTAAAAAATATGGGGCTCATATATGTTGACACATATATTCTTAGATCAATCAAATAGTGTTCTTGCTGTTTTTTATGGTATATACACACGTTGTATATAACTACTGCTATACATTTTTCTGCACTATAATGAACCACAAACATAATGTATTGAGAGTTTATATACAGGTATACAGAACAGGAATCCAAGGTCAGCCTTGCAACAAATAGCCTGTCGGTCACTGCCGACAGGGTGCGGCAGGGACTGCCCCAATACATTTTTATACACATATTTCGGTGTCTGTAAATGGTTTTATATCTAGTCTTTTTGCAGTGATATTATTCACTAGTGTGTGATTTATGGAATTGATATAGTTAAATGTATGGAACATAGGTATGCTCAAAAGTATTGGGCCCATATATATGGTGACACGTATATTCTAAGATTAATAATTTTTTTGCTGTCATTACATTATATACTGTGTACACGTTGTATATCACAATCAACATTGTTATGCACCATAACAAACTAAGCAGTTCTGGTGGGTATGGGGATGAAATCAAAATACAGCATGGAGCCACATGATATGAGCAAATGATATCAGTAGTTACATGATGCATGATAATGCCTCCATTATTCTACACATCTTATGACTAGCTACAAAAATGCCATTATTACCACATTCCTGTCACAAAATCCTGAATAGGAATCCATTTCCACAAGGTTACATTGTGAAAGAACATGGTTGTTTCATGGTGAAACAATGGGATGCAGGATGTAGAAAACAATAGCTAGGTGCTGTCTCTATCTCATACTGTGAATATCATAGCATTGTGTTCACCGATATCTAAATGTTGTACAGTCTTTATCACAGTCAGGATCATCTATGATACTACAAATGGTAAATGGTTAAATTACCTAATTTATTCATCATTATTTAGTGGTGCTGTGGCTCCTGCTGCATGTACCAGCCTTGGTTGCTTTCTCAGTACCGAGGCTCTCAGTCAGCATGGATGCTGGCCATTTTTTTTTTTCAAAAGCTGGCATCTGTTTACTGGTACACAGGATGCCATCCCTGTATACTGCGGGACTTTTGACTTGTTTCCTATACTGTACTTAAAAGCGTTGTATAGGGAATATGTATAAAGGTGGCTCTGTGCAGTGCAGTGGTTAAATCATTGTGCAGGCTGCCACATTTTTTTTAGGGTTGGCATCTATCTGCCTCGAAAATTAAGTAATTTACCGTATCAGGTGTGCAATTGGGGTAGCCTGGTGGCAATACTTCTGTGGGGAGTAGAGCATGTAGCAGTGACTGGCTGACCAGCCTTCTCAAAATTGCATCTTCTCTTTGCTTCGCTGCTATACGCTGCAATACAGGGTGGAGACCCTGTATTTTCAAAAATGGAGTGTGGATATCGGGGTTTAATTTTCAATTCAAGCTAATATCTAGGTTTTCTACAGATGCACACAGAGTGGCAGTCAGAGTGGGGACGGAGCAACATCATGGAGTCGATGCACTATAATTCTATCCGTGAGGACCCTTACCAAGACCTGTTGGCCATGGACGTACAGAGGGGCCGTGACCATGGTTAGTATCGAAGTAAAATGGTGGTGGTGATATGAAGAGATGAGACAAGTGGGGGTGTGATTATGGGGATGCTGTAGATTATTGTAAGGCAGAGAGTAGTTGCCTACACTGAAAGCACTCTGCCTTCCAACTACAACTTTGCCATGCCTACTACAGTATAGTTTTGAGTTAAGAAAGGTTTTTCTTTCTACGAAAGATTTTTTGGGTAATGGCTAAGATACCGAGATATGGAGTGGAGAAATCAAATTTGAAGGAATATTAGAAGTGCAGGTAGGATAATTTGTGCTAGGTTGGATGTAAAGAGTGTCTGTGGATCTATCGGAAGTTATTTGAGGGATGGCAGGCAGTTAAAATTTGGAGGTATTGTATCGAGATAGAAACATCTTTAGCATGTATATGTAAACTATTCATATGGTGAATTGAAGCCAGTACATTTTAAATGAATTGATAAGTGATGAAATTACTAATGCCAAAAGTACCATGAACATCTGACAGACTAGTTACTGTACTTAAATAATTCAGTTTCTTAATGAGTCTTTTTCATTTGTGTTAAAATGTTGACTATTTTTTAAATTACCTTCAAACCAACTCTGGGATATGATATCTAGACAAAAAATAAATACCAAATATGAATCATTAATTGTATTCAACACACTTTTGTATTAGTGTTGTATTGCTAATTTTTCTTAGCTTTATAATGTTCAAGGTCTGACCCCAATGAGAAATTTCCCAAAAGTTTCAGTAAATTTGGTTTAATAATAAGTATGCCCATTACAGTACCTGTAGCTCAAAGTGACTGCATAACCTCCCTGGTAGGAATAAAACTGCACAAAAATAACAGCAAATAAGTTTAATACTTGTAATTACATCAGTGATTTAAATCACCCCAGTGTCCGGTTAACATTACAGGCAGGTTTATTCAAATAAAAACATCACTAACATAGTCATTACCAAACAATATCAAAGACCACTGGTCTAACAAATCAAATTTATTGTATACAATTCATTCCTGTAAATATTAATGTCTATTACTTGGTATGATCTAGTTACAGAAAGGGTCTTGGTGTTTTTTTAGTCATGAGCTCACGGCCATTTTGTCCTTCCATAACCAGCATCCCGACCCAACTGCCACCTTGTGGCTGCTTGTTGCTACTCGTACAGGGGTCATTAAATAAGAACACTTTATGTACAGTAAAAACACTGCAATATGTTTTTACTGCATATATTACTTTACTGCATAATTACTACACTAGTAATTACAATTTCATTAAACATGCTATTTACACACTTCATATAAATAGTACCACATTATTCAGCTTCTGAACTCATAGGCTAATTCACTCATATTCCTAACAAATTACAATATGGCCTTAAAAATCCATAACATTTGGATAGTTAAAATTGTGTATAGAGCCAACTTCTCTTGGCCTATGTTTGAACCACTAGAAAATGTGTTGGTTGTCACTGAATCTGTTACTGGGTTTACAGGTCTGGCTGGGTACAGGGTGTGGCGTAAGTTCTGTGATGGTGACCACTCTTACGATTCCTTTGAGGACCTTAAACGAGGACTTCCCAAGGAGCTCGTAGAGGATCTTAAGTCCCTCTACCAGTAAGTGCCCAACCCATTTCCTTGACATTTTAATATTCTTATTATGAAACTTGTTTTAATTTACAGCATATGTGGATGTAAAAATTATTTACCTGAATTTACCAGAGGGGCCACTAATGCTAGTGGCCTTGACAAGGACAGGAAATAGATGGCTTGCCTAAGGGCCCCTTCACCCTTCCCCTCCCCCCGCCATTTACCCTGATCTTTTCCAGTTGGATTTTAAAATTTAACGGTTTTGGCAATTATGGTTTCAGAGGTAAGGCAGTTTCATGGGTTTATTACTGTGGTGAGAAAGCATCTCCTGTTCTCAGTCTTTGAGCCGAGTTGATCTCGGTTGTAGAGCTTGAAATCGTTGCTCCTTGTTCGTGTTGCATCTGACCTTTTGAAGAAATTGTCAGGATCAACATCCTCCAAATTGTTCAGCATTTTAAGTTTCAAAGAGATCTGCCCTGTCATGCCTGGTTTGCAGTGTTGTTAGCCCTGTTGCCCTTAACCGTTCTTGATAGGAGAGTTGGCTTTGCTCTGGAATGATTTTTCTTGTCCAGTGTTGCACTTTCTCCAGAGCAGCCGTTTCTTTCTGAAGATGCCTCCATGCCTAGATGCAAATAATCCATGTGGAGGCACACCAGAGACTTGTACAATTGAATGACAACCTTCATTTCCTTTAAGGTACGCTTGATTATTCCCAGGGTTTGGTTAGCTTTTTATATTACAGTATTTTACTGCTGCTTGCACTTGTGCAACATTCGGTGAATGATGAATTTTGACTCGATGGTCCTTTTCTACATCAATCTGCTGCAATTTACTGTAATGCTGTTAATTTGGTAGTTGTGATGTGGATTCTAATGCCCCACATGCAAAGTCTTGCATTTATTTATATTAAAAAGCATTTGCCAGTCTTCTGACCATTTGTGGAGCTTGTGTAGCTCTATAAGGTCTTGATATCATTTTAATTTAAAAAAATTAATGAATTAAAAAACAGCATTCAATTCTGTTTAAAAAAAACAGCATTGAATGTATTGAAAAACCAGTTTCTGGGTGTGCCCCAGAGTCTCTATGACGCTATCTATACTGATATAGTCCTACAGTATATTAGTTTGTGTCATCAGTTGCAGAGTTCTTGCTGAAATACATGTTAAGAACCTCACGCTTACAACTCCCTGATAAGAGAGAGCAAGCTTAGCTGCCAACACCCACTCATTGTCAGCAAGGCACACAGCCCGCCTGCTTTCATGACTCGCTGTTTTCCATTTTTAAACTTCCCTTCACTTATGTCTTTCCATCCTTTTTACTTACTCCCCCCCCCCCCTCCAAAAAAAAAGTGGTGGTTGAACTATTGTTAATGTTAGTATATGGATTTTAATGTGGTGTGACTTTCAGAGACGAGTTGGACGACCTGGACGCTCAGGTGGCGCTGCTGGAGGAGCCCACAGATGGAGGCATCATAGGAAAGACCTACACCTGCATTCTGGTATGTCTGGTTATGTGGCTGGGTAATATGGGTTTACTAGATACTTTTGTAAGGTCACGAAGCTTGTAAGCTGTACCCTAGAGTACAAACTCATGAAAGCCCATGAAACCTGCCCTTACTTTCTTATTTACAGTCCAAGACCTGCTTGATAGGGTTCTGGGAGGAGTTCTACTTCCCAAGCCTGGCCCTGAGGCCAGACTTGACTTGAGAGGTTGGTCCAACAGGCTGTTGCTTGGAGCAGCCCGCAGGCACGCACCCTGTTAGTTTGGTTTCCAACCAATTAAAAAATATGGTACCGGCTCCAAGTGTTCACCCTCGCATTTGAGGTGTTCATAATAACACTTGTTTTATATTTCCAATTTAAAGTGGAAGAGGTGTCATTTTCTCCATAACATAGTTTTACTGTGGTTTTGAAATAGTGATGCTTTCGCCTGTCGGCAATATTATTTGTATCATAGACTGTGTAGAATATTGGTACTCTGATACAGTATTCGTGTCACATAGTAACAAGAATTAACATTGTATTCTTTGAACAATAAATCAGTTTTTGCTTTTATTGCATTATATACACACAACCTATATACTGGTATATAATTTTTGATATGGTGACACGTTTACGTATTCAATTTTTAGATTAACCAAACGGTGTTCTTGCTGTTATTGCACTATATATGCATGTTAAATATCACTATCAGCATATATATGCACTATAACAAACTAATAAGCAGTTCTGGTGGGTATTGTGATGAAATCAAAACACAGCATGGAGCCACAAGCAGATGCCAGCAGTCTCATGACGCAAGACGGTGCCTCCAATATTCTTCACGTCTTGCTATGACTAGCTACAAAACTGCTGTTATTATTACATTCCTTTCACATAATCCTGAATATAAATCCATTTTAACAGGGTTATATTGTGAAAGAACATAAGGTTTTCATGATGCGTAGATGCAGAAAACAATAGCTGGGTGCTGTCTTTACCTCATGTTGTGAATATGATAACTAGCATTGTATTCACCTATATCAGATTGTTGTACAGTCTTTATCACAGTCGGGATCATCTATGACACTATAAACGCATAATAATTTCGGTTACCAATTTTTTTATCATTACCGAGTGGTTCTGTGGGCCCTAGCTGCACAGAGGTGCTGTGCACTGTTGCTGCATGCATCAGCCTTGGTAGTTCTCTCAGTACTAAGGCTCTCACTGCCAGCATAGATGCTGACAATTTTTTTCAAGGTGGCATCTGTTTACAAGAGTCCTGCCTGTGGCACAGGATGTGAACCCTGTGTACCCACGGGAGTTTTGAATTCGCTCCCTATACCCAAGTGCGCCTTATGCACTCTGCACACCCCCCTGATCGGGCGACTTATGGCGCTCTGCGCAGTGCAGGGGTTAATGCTATACTTGTTACAGTAAAACGAGATTACCTTAAAAACTGGAACAAGTTCTAAACCTCGTGGTCAGTATTTATAAAGATTTAAAACATACTTTTGGTTTTGCTTGTTCAATTTAACAAATAACAAGGTTAAAAGTTTATTAACAAGGTTTAACAATGCTTAAAAGGATAAATACTGTGTACTGCAAATGTTTTTTAATGAAGTGGAACAAACTGAAAGTGAATGCAAATTCTGTACTCCCGTAGGCTGATCAGTTTGCCCGTCTGAAGACTGGAAACCGACTGTACTGGGAGCATCCGAGCAGCCTCTTCACTGTAGAGCAGAAGGACTACGTTAAGACAGTGACATTGGCACACCTACTGTGTTCGAATTTGCATCTCCATGCTGTCCCCACCAATGCCTTCCTCCCTCAATCTGACAGGTGAATCAACTTTCTATATACTCTGTACCCATGTTCCCAGAGGGGAAGGGCTCTCCAAATATGTCTTTAATATATTTTCAACTAGGGTCAAGGAAAAATTCTCAGCTGCTTACCTTTATAAAATTATTTCACTCCTTGTATAATCTTTCACTAAGGTAAGGCCAAATACTGTATTGCCATACTTCTAAATATTGCCTATAATCTGGAGGACTAGATCCACTTAAGGGGTATCAAACTTCATTAAATTGCATTTTGGTGGTTTTTATATTATACTTTGATCATTATTTTTGATGAAGGTGGTAAGGCAAATGCTTGGAGGAAAGTAGAGCAAAGCAACTGGCACATGCCCCACTGCTTCAGAAAACACTGGCATTTTTCTGATGTCATTCTAAAATCCTTGTTCATCTTATCTTCAACCGATTGCCTTATAATTATTCCCTACCATTTCTAGTGTGCTGTTCACATATGCTTCCTGCTTAATAAATTCCTCATGTTCATCCTTTTTGCCTAACAATTATGTTCACCTATTAAATTCCAAGTTAGATATTCTCCTCAATCATAAAATTTAAAATTTTTTGCACGGTTTAAATATACATTATTTAGTCATTCTGCAACGAGCAACATTGCACGTTGCTCACTTCTACTGCTCAGATGTAATGCTTAAGGCTTGATACTCGTGTTCATTTATACAGTACCACCCCTTTATGCAGCACTCAAGCTACATCTCTTCGTATGTTTCTCTTAACCAGGGCTCATGATGCCATGTTCCATTTATAACATATTTTGAACACTTTTGTTAAAGGGCCATTATAATTTTTTTTCATAACACAAAGAAGTTTTTAACTATAGCTTGTAGTTTATTTGAAAGAAATAAGGCAAACCTAAGCAAAAATTGTCATTGACAAAAGCATTCAAAATAGCATAATATAATTATAGTATAATAAAATAAAATATAATATAGCAAAACAGTATAATGTGAAATTTTCCTATTATGAGAAGAGATTCAAAGCAGCAAAGGGAAACGTGAAAAGCACATGGAAAGTCATCTCGAACATCCTAGGATATAAACAGAAATCTCATAAGCGGATAACTCTCCAAGGATGGTTATAAACCTGCAACAGATGTTAAAACGGCCACTGAATTTAATGGGTTCTTTTCATCAGTTGGTACTAACTTTGCCAAAAAATTCCAGACACGACACATGTTACTACATATCTTGCCAGCAGCTCTCCTAACACTCTTCTTCTTTTACCAGTCAGCCCAACATGTTATGTCTATCATTCACTCGCAAAAAACTAAAGTTGGGAACTTTAGTGAAATACCGTCTATGGTATACAGGAGTGCTGCCCTTGCACCAACCATAGCTCTGCTATTCAACAAATCTCTAATGTCATACTTTCCCTGATATCCTTAAAAAAGCAAGAGTAATGCCAGTTCATAAAGAACGCGACTCACAATTGCTGCCTCTATAGATTGTATAGGTGGTAGTCAGGTGGACCCACCACCACCTGACCACCCTTTCCATTCATATGGAAATTTTTGTACCAACAGTACCGTTAGTGCCTTTAGCCGAAAATAATAATTTATTCATCGGCGCATAACAAATTTCAAGCATTGAGTTCTGAGAAGCTTAGTGTTTTGCATATTGTCTGCTACGTTATTAAATTATAATTAATTTAAGCAAAAGGCCTGCAATAGTAGTAATGCAATATCCTCTTTAAGCCAGTAATGTAATGAAGAAAAATTTAATCTTGCAGTAATCCTCTGGTGAAGTGTTCCGACTTGCCAGTTGGCGACCTCACCCCATGGAAGGACACGGCACTCATAGAGAAGATGAAGAAAATGAAGGCTGGGCAGGACAAGGCTGGGCAGGACAAGGCTGGGCAGGACAAGGCTGGGCAGGACAAGGCTGGGCAGGACAAGGCTGGGCAGGACAAGGCTGGGCAGGACAAGGCTGGGCAGGGAGAGCAGCAGGCACCGCAGCTGGAGAAGACCACCTCCAAAGAGGAACTGTAAATCAGCTGTTGCACACCTGATTCCTGAAGACACAGCTTTGTTATTCCACTTCTCACACATCCAGTGCTGCAGGGACTCGACTTGTTTAATGAAATTTCTAAGCTAACTTAATGGAATTACAATAATTATAATTGTAAATACAATACTGAAATTTTTCAGGACTAGTCGCGTTTAAAAAGTGCTAATGAGCATTACGATGTACTGGGTAGTTAGACGGGACAAGACACATTTGTCTCTTGTATTGTAAACCTTATGGTAAACGCGAGATTGGTTGCAACACTGTAGCGTCAGTTTCCCGTGTTTGCTGTTGGTCGGTTGTATCACTGTTTTGTTGCTTGTATGTTGTAAATGCAGTGCCTTGTTACAACTGTGTAATGTTCAAATTTATTTTTATACTTATAACATTGGTTGACTAAAATATATTTTGGTGTTAATTGTTTTGACTGGCAACAATGGCTCGCTAGTCCATAATGTTCGGTTATAATATTAAAGATTTGTTACTGTTGAACCATTGTTTGAACATATTCTATTGGAAATGTTTCTTCAAACTTACAGCTGGATCAAAAATCAAAAGCTGGTGAAGAGGGAAGTAATTAAAGACATCAAACAAGACTATTCACTTCCTAAACCGGCTAAAGAGAAAAGGCAAGTGTCTGCTTGCTTGTAGTAGTTTCTTGTCCAAATTGCATCGTCCCTCTTACGGTCATGCATATCCTTGTTGAATGTCCCCCCTCGTGGTCGTTGTCATCAGATCACTTTTGATAGTAGGTCTCTTCTGTCCTCCATAATTCTTGCTGGTGCCAGATACTCCGGTCAGCAGTACATTCCCTCTCCTAAGCTCTGCAATAGGTGCTGGAAATTTGGGCATGGTCCCCTCAAATGCACACATGTGGTGTGTAAGTAATTATCAAAAAAAAGGCACCAAGCCGGGAAGGCTATGTAGCACCAAAGTGCGGTGCGTGTATGCTGCTTGTGTGGAGAGACTGGACACCGAGTGCTCTTCCTCCCAAGCTCTGCATAAAGTGCGGTGACATCCACAATGCCTTCTACCGTGCATGTGTGCCCTACAAATTTGAGAAAGCCATCCTCAATTTGAAACATCATGACCCTTTATCTTTTATCTTGAGCAAGATGTCAAGTACGCCGTCTCCCCTCTTGTGTTGCCATGTCTTGTGTTCGTGAGTTGCATTCCACTTATAATTGCCCTCTCTCCCATCTCATTCTCACAAACGTTTCCAGGCCTTGGACCTGGACACCACCACCACCACCTCATCCGCTCCTTTTCGTTCTGAGCCAGAGGGTCTTTCCCCTTTTTCTCCGTCTGGTGTTTCCTTCCTTCCTTCCTTCCCAGTCTTCACTGTCTCCTGTGCCCTCTTTCACTCCCCCCCCCCCCCCATCATCCTCCTCAGCCCTTTCCCTGTCTCTTTTGGCCCTCCACACTGCCTATCTGTCCAGGCTGTTCTCCATCATCCTCCTGGCAATCTTCGTGTTGATCGCTCCCGTTCTCCTCCTGTTGAGACTATGGAGGCTGTCGCCCATTACGTTGTTGCTGGGACGCCTGTGTCCAAGTCAGAGACGTAAACCTGGCTCCATGCTTTTCTCCCCGGTGGATAAGAACGCATCGCTCTCTTCCTCTCCTTCCGACTCTCTCCCTGCGTCCCCTCCCATTTCGGTGGTAGTCCCTCCTGTCCCAGCTATGGAGGTTCCCTTGGTCCTCAATTCTCTCGGTTGCTGCTCTTGATGAGGTGCGCTTCCCCTGTTTGTCCCCTCCCTCTGATTCCATTGACTGCCCCTCTGCAATGCCTTCTCCCACTCCAGACTCTTTCTGTCCCTCGCTGGTCCATCCTACTGGTCCTTTGCTTCCATCATCCTTGCTAGATTTGCCTATGCCCCGTAACCCTGATTTCACTGATCCTGATTTTACTTAATATACTGTGTTGTTGTTTGGCTTTGTTCCTTCCTTGTTCTCTGTAAAAAAATACACACACCCGAAACAATGTCTATTCTTCAAAGGAATATTCGTGGAGTTTATACCACCTTCCATGAACTCCAATTTATGATGACAGTTTTCACCGCTTTGTGTCAGACTCCATGAACCGATGCTTGGTGCTCGTCCTGGTCACCCCCGTGGTTATTCCTTTCTCTTCATACCCCCCACCCCCCCCTGCTTTTGCGGGGCCCATAACTACTACTACTCTTGATTCATACTGAAACTCCCTTCGTCCCCCTACTTTTTCGGTCGCCCATTCAGTGTTCTGCGGCCCATATCTGTTGAGAAAATGATATACAGTCTGTTCCATTGCTATCTGCCCCTCACATGTCCCACTTTCTCCGTAATCTTACACCTATTGAACTCCTTACCGGAGCCTGTGCTCCTGTTGGGTGATTGTAACTGTTGGCATACCCTCTGGGGTAATGCTCTGACAGAAGAGTCAAAATGAGTCAACCCATGTTGATTCCCGTACTCTCATCCTCTCCTGTCTTGATCTCTCTGCTCGTCTCCTCTCTGTTTAGATTTCACATGGCGGATTCATGACCTCCATAAGTGACCATTTCCCCATCCTTGTTACATTTTCTTCTCTTTTTTTCACCCTTCCCTATCCTTCCTCAGGTGGCAGTTTGCCAAGGCTGACTGGAATCTATTCGCCTTCCATACTGTTCTTTCCGATGTCTCCGCTCTGCCTCTCCCTCTCCCTCGAGCCCTCCTTTTTCATAACGCCGTCTTCGACGCTGCCCCCTGCTCCCTCTACCTCCCGGGGCACTCAGAAGTGCGTTCCCTGGTGGAATGCAGACTATTAAGTCCGGGGCTGTTGGGGGTCCGGGGCTGTTGGGGAGGTCCGGGGCTGTTGGGGGGGTCCGGGGCTGTTTGGGAGGTCCGGGTCTGTTTGGGAGGTCCGGGGCTGTTGGGGAGGTCCGGGGCTGTTGGGGGGGGGGGGGGGGGGTCCGGGTCTGTTGGAGGTCCGGGTCTGTTGGGGGTCCGGGTCTGTTGGGGGGGGGGGGGGTCCGGGTCTGTTGGGAGTCCGGGTCTGTTGGGGGTCCGGGGCTGTTGGGGGGTCCGGAGCTGTTATCAAGACATCGTATACAAAGAGCATCGCAATAATAACAAATACTGTACAGTACCTTGTTCTCGGACAATTTCCCAGTTTGTATTCAATGCAGAGTTGGAACACGCATAAAACAATGATTCCGTTTGATCAAAGATCTTGTCTGGTTTATCTATTACGATGTTAGAGTGGAAACGTTCCATACGTGAGGAATGCCTCACTCTGCCTTGAGCAGAATGAGGTCAGTCAGTCATTCCAGTCAGCCTTGGTAAACTGCCACCTGGGGAAGGAGAGGGAAGGGTGAAAAAGAGAAAAAAAGGTGACAAGGATGGGGAACGGATCTCCCCCCAGCCACAGCGTGGGCATCCCCCCCCCTTCGTCAAGCCACAGCGTGGTCATCTCCCCCTTGAATCATTGCGTGGGAATCTACCACAGCAACAGCGTGGGCATCTATTCCCACCCGTGGCTTTGGCATCTCCCACCAGCCTCAGCGTGGGCATCTTTCCCACAGCTTCAGCGTGGGCTCCACCCCAGAGACTGCATGGGCGTCACCCAGCCTCACTCAGGGAGGTCATCAATCACCACCCGTCAACTATTAGCCCGTCATTCATCTCCCCGTTGATGTGGCACTAATGATGGAGTGAGCAATAAATTCCCTCTTAAGTGGCTGTTTCCGTAACTGCTCGAGGAACGATTCCATCACCATTTCAAGAAGAGAATCGTGTTCCTGCGGGAAGTATGACCCGTAAACACACTCCAAACTTCCTCCCGCTTCCAGGGCAATGATGGGCAAGCAATGGTCCAGGAATTATCATGGCCCAAGACTGATAATGGTCCAGAACTGATAAATTGGTCTATAATAGCGATCAAAAGATAACAGAACAGCAACATATCCCAATACATAGTGCCGCTCCACCGTTTGCTAGTTCCCACCACTGTTGTAATGATGGCTTTGAGCCTCACACACTTCAGCTTCACCTATTAAGGAAGTAATGTAATTTTGCTCATATTGTATAGGACGTAGAATGAGGCTATCGGAAGCGAAGTTTTGCCTGGATAGTATTCAATTATGCAAATAGCTTTCATTATGCAAATTGGAGCATTAATATTAGCAGCGCTTTGCCATTAGCGCGGTTATCTAAAATACTGGGTGCAATTTCACGGCCTGTGATTTATTGTTGCGAGGAAAAGGTGTTTTGTAAATATGTGTATATGTAGTGATTTGTGTGGACATTATAGCAGCCTTGGTGATGTGTGTAAGGATGTGTGAGGGGTCTTGGCAGTCAGGGAGAACCAGCTGTGATCCTTCACTGACCACCTGGCAGGTACAGAGAGCCAGCTGTTGCCTTCTCACTGACCCTCTGCCTGACACACACGGACGCACGCACGCGAGAGGAGAGACTACGGGAATTAAACCTCACGTCACTTGGAAACAGAAGAGTTAGAGGGGACATGATCACCACATACAAGATTCTCAGAGGAATTGATAGGGTAGATAAAGACAGACTTTTTAACACAAGGGGCACACGTACTAGGGGGCACAGGTGGAAATTGAGTGCCCAAATAAGCCATAGAGATGTTAGAAATAATTTTTTCAGTGTCAGAGTAGTAGACAAATGGAATGCATTAGGAAGTGATGTGGTGGAGACAGACTCCATACACAGCTTCAAGTGTAGATATGATAGAGCCCAGTAGGCACAGGAACCTGTACATCAGTTGATTGACAGTTGAGAGGCGGGCCGAAAGAGCAGAACTCAACCCTCGCAAGAACAACTAGGTGAATACCCACCCACCCATCTCACGTCCTCTGCAAGTTACTGTCAGCAATCAACTCTTGCAGGCAAGCTGTTAAACCAGTATTTGATGGCAAGCTCTTAAACCGCTACTAGCTATAGCATGCTGCTAAACCAGTAATTGGTGGCATGCTGCTGTTAGTGACAAGTTTTGTCAAAACCTTTATTAAAGAGTTTATAGATCCGCTACATATTTTAAGTATATAACACCATCTTGAGCCAATTTGTTGGAGCGGCCTTACCACTAGATCCATTTTCTCCCGTAGAAAGCCGGGAATTTGGCCCATAACTCAATAATCCAGAGGGTGGAAATATATTTTATGACGTTTAGATTCATCCAATTTTATGGCTGAATCCTGGGAGATAGAAGGAAATATTTTGGGTTTGGTGTAGTGTACAAATAGAGGTGAATTGTTGTACCTTTCTTGTGTGATTTTAATCTTGTGGCTTATTCCCGTGTCTTTGTTATTCATCACGTTTTTGGTTTGTATGAGTTTTACTCTATTGTTTTGCTTGGTGATGTAGCTCTGGTTATTATTAGGTGGTGTGTGTGTGTGTGTGTGTGTGTGTGTGTGTGTGTGTGTGTGTGTGTGTGTGTGTATACTCGCCTAATTGTGCTTGCAGGGGCTGAACTTCGGCTCTTTGGTTTGTGTGTACTCACCTAGTAGTAC